TGCTTCTGCTTCATATTTTCATGGAAACCGTGATTCTTTAATGAATAAAAACTTATATCAAACACATATAGAATTCTTATAATCTTTTGTAACATTATAAATGCATTTACTGGCACTTTTAAACAAATTCAATGTGTCCTTGCTGAAAAAAAATATTACTTTCTTTTTTTACCTTTACTGACCGAATTAGCCTAATGAAGTTTTTTTTTATTCGTAGTTAAGCCAACGCTGCCATTGCTAGACGGGTTTGCACACGCTTTTATGTTCTTAATTAATTGCATAATAAAATATTTTAATAAGACTCGTGTGACATAATTTGTAATTGATACATTATTTGACATATTATTAAGCAATATCTGACTGCTGGTGCGGCGATAGAACAATTCGTATAGTGTAATGTTTGCCACTTCACTTTATTGCCTCTAGGAGTCGCCAATGGACAAAAATAAGGAAAAATGTACGTACGCCAGACTGATGATGTTTACTTGGAGGAACGCACATTCTTACGTTAATTTCACTGCTAGTAGGCCTACATCTGGCTTTGAACGTGAAAACTGGCCTAGGCCGTGTTTTTGTACGTACGCAGTGTTGATACATAAGGCCCCAGTTGTATTATTCCTTCTTAGAGACCTGTCGACAGCGGTCAGGTTAATAAGGGGCAAAGGTAGACAGCTGAAGACAGTCCTAACATAAAATGAATAGTTATAAAGATTTTTTGAAAGAGAATTGTATTTATCCTGGAATAATTTTTCATGAATCATGTGACACTAAAGACTGATGAGGAATGGCTGCTGAAAATGAAGCTTTCAGCCATCATAGAAATAAATTACATTTTCACATTTCAAATGGCAGAGCACATTGTTTTATAACTCGCCCTAAAATGTAACTTGACAAGTTACAGTAAATACACTGAAAATGTATAATTCTCAAGTTTGTTGTGTTGGTTCACCTTGGCAACTTAAAAACACATGCTTAAATGTTGTATTTTTCAGCTGAGAGAAAAAAAAAACTATCTGAAAACACACTGATTGTCACGAAAGCCTAAGTGTAAGGGGTCACTAATGAGGCATGTTATTAACACAACCAAAAGCCACATCAGAGCCTCTTCAAACTAAGTGGTAATGCGATTCAAAGCTATGTGGCATACTGGTATTACATCTTTACCAGACAAAACAGAGGCTGGTGGACGTCTGGTCCCGGTCGCTCTAAAAGGAGAAAACAAGGTTCTAATATTTGCTTTTTGATGAATAATCATTTTGCATTGGCATTTGGGACACTAGATATTTTATTTGCTCTCTTTAACACCTTCAATATATTTAGAGTATCATAATATCTATCCAGAACTTCATTTAAACAACATTAAACACTTGATTTTCTCACAGGGGGACTTTAACAACAACACTGCTTTTGTGTTCCACCGAAGAAAGAAAGTCATTGAGGTTTGATCATAAGCGTGAGTAAATAATAACAGAGGTTTTATAACTATTCCTTTAAATAAGCTAATTTTTGTGTGTGTGTGTGTGTGTGTGTGTGTGTTACTGACTGGTTATTAATGGCACTTTGGTTCTTTCGTTTGTAGCAGATTTCGTTCCAGTACTCCTCCAGCTTTATGCTGAGGTTGTGCATGATCTTCCTTTATAAAATAGTGTCTTTCCATCAGAGTAGCCCAAGAGCATCATTTGGGCTAAATGCCGGTCGAGTGATGAACAGCGTTTGTTCACCTCACCTGTATTTATCGGTGTCATCAAAGTCTTGTTTGTTGTGCGTGGGCTGAATGAAATTGCACTCTATAACACCAATAACTCCCACACCTTTTCTTTCGGCCTGTTATAAAAGCAAAGCACAGCTTTTAGTATTGAATTGATGGGTAAAGGAAGCAGAAGAAACATGCAATCATTTGTGGTTACCTTACATTGGCAGCTCACTTTCACGTACAGCTTTATCAGCCTGTTCTTATGATACATCACAATCCCCTAATGCTCTTTTGGTGTTGTATCCAAAAGTGATGCGTGCACACTTGTTCTGCACCGAGTTAAGAGATGCTGAGAAGGTGATGATGTTATATGTGTGCACTCCAAAAAACTATCTATTTTGTAAATATACAAGAAATGACGGCCTGTAGTTGTACTGTACAATATGAAGCAGACTCTTGGATATCAGCTGGCTCTTCACTCTTTACCCTCGAATAATGATTTGCATGAGAGGCTTCAGATATAGGATATAAGTAGGATACTTTCTGAAGGATCATGTGACACTGAAGACCGGAGTAATGATGCTGAAAATTCAGCTTTGCCATCACAGGAATAAATTACAATTTAAAATTCAAATAAAAGTTACTTTAAATTGTAAAAAAAATGTATTTTCGATCAATTAAATGCAGCATTGCTGAGCATAAGAGACTGATCAATACTTAATATATCACCTGGTCAAAAGTTTACAGCTCCATTCATTCACAACTCTATGGCAAGATAAGAATAGTAATTACAAGAAGCCAATTAGGTGTTGTTAATTGTTCCGGCTTTGGGCCCTATGCTCAGTGTTGGTTTAATGTTATAGGCTTTTAATGACATAAGACCACTGTGAATCCCTTGAATTAAGCGACTAAGAGTTCTTGATTCTCTTGCAATTATAGCAACCAGTAATTACAAGTCAATTTCACACACTTTTCACTAGCTGTACTTAAAATGAATAATAAATTAGCTTAAGTGACTGGACAGGCATGCTTTTGTGCTTTGTACCTGAGCAACTTGTGCAGTCTGGCGGTGGTCAAACCTTCCCCATTATCCATGAAAGAGAGGCAGTCTAGTACTCTGATGCGTGTCCAGTGACAGTCTATTCAGATCGGTCTGGCATGAATATCTGCAGTAGCACTTCATTGCAGTACATGAGATCCAGGGGGTGGAGTTGGATCCAGATCAGAAGTGGTGGAGATGGGTGGGGTTAGGGATCAGGGGGCGGAGATGTGTAGGATTAGAGGTGGGGTTAGTGATCAGAGGGCGGAGATGGGTAGGATTAGGGGTCAGGGGGTGGATACGAGTAGGATTAGGGGTGGGGTTAGGGATCAGGGGGTGGAGACGGATAGGATTAGGGGTGGGGTTAGGGATCAAGGGGCTGAGATGGGAAGGGTTAGGGGTGGGGTTAGGGATCAAGGGGCTGAGATGGGAAGGGTTAGGGGTGGGGTTAGGGATCAGAAGGACTAGGCTATAATATGGTCGAAAAAGTCGTAAGATTTGTGGCTATAGTAACTTTTTTGTGATTAAATCTAGAGCTAAATCTCGCTAATTGGCAACAGTGCATCAGATCAGATGCTTATGTTGTGATTGAATACTTGGCCTATTTCGTGAAAAGTGAATAATGTTGCAGATACTTTCATGCTTACGATCCAGATGACATGAACATGAAATCCAGGGGGAGGAGTTGGATCCAGGTTTTCATTTTCAACGTTGTGTTTGGTTTTCTAAATACGAATTTTGTCTTTGTTTTGGAGCACATTAGCTTATAGATAACAGTAAGGCTAACATACTCATACTAAAAGCCAAAAAATCTTTAAATAGGCACTATTTGAGGGAACAGCCATTTGGGTGTCCGAAACCATTGTGGATGTCATTGGGTCTCATTCATGAAATATTCGTAAATATACGAGTAAATATGAGAGTGATTTGTGCATAAAGAAAACTCTTCTCCTGATTCACAAATACTTCGTAAATGTCAGATGTGATAGTGAAATGTGTGTGTTAATGAATTCCAACCAGTCGTAAATGGGATGCGTGCGTGCACGTTCATTCTCATTTACCATAAATCAGGCCCATTATCCGACTGACATCTATATGAAGAGTTCAGATGCAAAAGCCTCTAAGTGCCATTTGAAATTTTTTTCTAAAATGATAATTTTTATCAAGCTTATATATTTAAGTTCAGTCATTTCACTTTAATGACAATGAAGATTACCTATGAATTGCCATTTAAGTAAAATGACTGAACTTAAATAATCAAGCTTGATAAAAAAATTATCATTCTAGAACAAAATTTCAAATGGCACTTTTGCATCTGAACTCTTCATATATAGGCATATAATAACATGAATGCGAATGAAAAAGAAAGATTTCTCGGATGCAGAAATGTAAGTTTTATTATCAGAAGTTCATTCAAAACGCCACATTTTATTTTCAAGCATAGCCTACATAGTGGCGTATGAGGTCCTAAAAAAGGAAGCTTGGCAGCATATTAGTATTAGAGATGCAGTTAATGGAATTTCATCTGTTAATCGAACAGTCCCAGAAGTGTGAAGAAAATGGTTCAACATTAAGCTTGACAGCAAAAAATGAATTAGTTCACTTCGGAAAAATCATATTCAAAATGGAGAAGGACCGCCATCGATAACCAGATCTGCTATTACTGGCTCTCATAAGTAAAAAGAAAAACCGTATTTTACTATATAAAATATTTTTTTTCAAAATGCTGTTTAAATATGTACCCGATTAAGGTGAATTAAAATGCAGCCTTATTAATGAGCAAAACGTTCGGATGTTAAGCGCACTATTTACGCGTGGCTGGGAGCAGGTGTAGATTTCTTGCGTACCAACTAACATTTGGAAAATACGAACTTAATGAATCTGAAAATTTACACACGATTTACACAAAAATTCGTTCTGCTCGTGTTTCATGAATGAGACCCAATGAGTGCACTTCTTCAATCTCACATTCAATCCCACTACTGGAACTGTGTTCTAAAAAATAAATTGATATTGATATGAGGTAGGCAGGCATAGATTCAGAGGCATATGTTACTCTAAGTATTACATAAAACAATGCAATTCAAATGCAAAACAATGCATTGACATTTACTTTTTACTTCTGATACTCAAGTACTTTTAAAAACGAATACTTCTGTACTTTTACTCAAGTAAAAATCTTTACTTTGTTGTGTACTTTGTCCACCTCTGGATATTCTCTTCCAAACTAGTACTTTCCCCATGGATTTTAAGAGAAAGCAATACAACTGGGTGAGAAATATCATGGAATTTTATTTAGTTTTGTAATGCAAGGTTTTCCAGATTAATGAAATTATTATTTATATCTACAACATTCGTCAATTTAAAAATAAAAAGATGACAAGTTACAATCCACTTTTTAATTTAGGAATAATTTATGTAGTTGACATTGTATTTGCATTTTGCATCATTAAATATTCACTAAACTATTGATCTTCAACTTAAGACCACATAAATCCTGCCCTATGGATCTTTGAGTACAACATTTTGGTCTGTTAATTTTAACAAAACTGCAGGTTCAAGATGATGATGCATTTACATTTGTTTGCACCCATGCATTGCATTTTAACAAAATTGTAGGCTACTTTAAATATTTTTGGATATTCTATTCAGTAGAGCTCTTATCAAATGTTAAAGCTTTGTATTTTTAATGTACGATAATAATACATTATTTTTAGTACCTGAATTCTAGTTCAGTCCAAAACTTTCTAGAACTAGACTGTCTGAAACTGGAGAGATTAGTGTGAATGTGTCTGAACTTGACTCTCTTTTCAACAGAAACAAACACAACCTGTTCTCTCTTTCTTGCTCTCACCAGGGCTGCACCTTCTTCTCTGAAACAAACTGCCCATGAGGCTCTTTGGCCCCTGAAGGCAACAATGCCAAATACACTGGGGTGATGGCGCCCTCATCTGGAGATTTGGTCGCATTTGGTCCAGCCATGTCAGTCCTGACCCATCCTGGACAGCAGGCATTGCATAGGATCTCATCTCCAGGCCTCTCTTTTGTCAGATTTCGGGCTAGGATTCTAGTCAGGGTGGTGAGGCCAGTTTTGGAGACCCCATATGCAGTGCTGGGCCAGCCTTTTTCTGCATGAACCCCTTCCTGAGCATCACGAACGAATCGCTCCATCAGCCCAACCAGTTCTTCCTCTGTGATGTCATCGCTTCGGAAACGGGCCTGGAGTTCTGGACTGCAGCGGCTTAAAGCCACCGAGCCCATCCCGCTGGAGACATTCACTAGCCGACCTGAAAGCAAAATAAAAGCATTTGAGGGAAGAGAGAAGACGAGAAAAAACACCAGAGGGATAATTGATGTATGACTTACCTCCTGGTTTGATAATGGGCAAGAACATATTGCACATATCTCTAGTAGCAAAGAAATTGGTCTTCAGAGTCACATCTGCTTGGGTCCCAAAGGGAGTTGTGTCCGCCACTGCCATGAAGAAATCAAACATTGTTTTCTTTACACATAACACAAAATTTTGGCAAAATATTAACCCATGATAAGTAATTTTAGACATTTTTCACTTCATCGGAATGGTATAAAACTTGAATTTTGTGCGTCAAAGATAATAGCAACTTTTCCACATTGAAATATGATACTTTAACCACCGGTTTCACAGACAAGGCTTAAACTAGTAGTCCCAGACTAAATGCATGTTTGAGCTGAAAGTAACTTGCACTGAAATAGGCCAGTGCCATTGTTTTGTTTCAAGTTGCACACCAATGTTTTTTTTTTTTTTCGAAGGCACGTTTATTAAACCTACTTAAATTACATTATAAAAAACTAAAGTCTAATCCTGGCTTAATCTAAGCCCTGTCTGTGAAACCAGGCCTAAGTCTTTTACTCAAGTTGTATTGGAATTGGTGACTCATAACTTGTAAAAGAGTAATTATCACTGTAAGGATAACAACACTCTTGTCTTCGTAATAAATGTGTTTAGTAACTTTTGAAGGCGATCCCAGCGTTGTTGACGAGCACGTCCAGGCCCCCGTACTTCTCTCTGAAGAAGTCCCGTGCGGTGCGGATGCTGTTTGGGTCATTGATGTCCAGCTGATGGAAAAGAGGACTCAGCCCCTCCTTCTTCAGACTGTCCACCGCTGCGGTTCCTAGACCAGCATCCCGGGCTGTCAGGTACACGTCCCCGGCGTACTGTTTGCACATTGCCCGCACGACTGCGAACCCGATGCCTTTATTTGCACCAGTGACCAGAGCTACTTTGCTGTTGCTCATGGCTGTATCTATAATGGAAAATAAACTGAAAATAACTGCATGCCCTGAGGCATATAACAGAAACAACCGCCTAATTAATAAAATAACGAATTTGAATGCATTTGGAAAACGTATGCATGGTTACAACAAAACACGTACCTCTTCTTGTCCGTCCAGTTTTGTTTTTGCCTGTTTTTAGTGTGACGCTTCTTACTGCGCAATGCGCATGCGCGGATGAATACTCTTTCATAAGCATCGCAGTTTTATATTTATGTCATGTGCAACAAGGTTTGCTACCCGACAGAGCGATGATTATGAGCGCTTTGATTTTTTTTAAACGTCAATATTTAAAATTATTTTTTGTATACATACTCCGATTGGTTCACACTAAGACAATGACGTACGTCCTGAGCACGTGATCCGGTGTTCTGTCGATTTTTGCTGCCTTGTCGAAAAATGCTACCGTAGCGCGAATTACAATTCTATATACATACAATTCTAAGTTATGAGTAGCTACTGTATAGCCTACTGTAGACTACTGTTTTTATTTTTAAAACGGTGTGAAAAGTAAAAATTATCATAAAATATTCATCTTTGACTTGTAACTTAACTACACCTTTTCTTATAGTAGCCTAACTGAAACTTTCAGTTATTCCTTTTCAGCTGGCTGACCGTACAAATATTCATATGGTAGTAAGCATTTTTTAAAGGGAAATTATACATTATAACAGGAAAATGTACCTTTTGTAAAAAAAAAAAAAAAAACTGTGAGTCTGCACATGCGCATAACCGGTAAGTAGGAAATCTCGATGGGTAGCATGAATTGTCAGAACACCGGTTGTGTTTTTGATCCAGAGCCATGTGGATGTGTGTTTTGTTTCTAACTGAGGTTTAGAATGAGATTACATCCGAAGCAAGCTTCATCTAGCGCTGTTATGTGGGAACTTTAAGATGAATAAATCTGGGAGAAGAGCGAGGAAAAAAAGGCGGAAAACACACGAGTCACATGTCTCCAAAGGTATTCTGTTTCTATGCTGATATATACTGTAACTTCGTTGTACTGCTTGAATAAATGTTTTGTGTGTATTTTGGTCCTAGTTACTCTGACTCACGAAGCACAGTTTGTTCTTTTGAGGAGATGGCTGAAAGAAAGAGGATTCACCTCACAGTCTCTCATCCCTGTCAACTTTCACGGCAAGTAACCGCTGTAGATAGATAGTTTTCACACTTATGTAGCCATTATGCTAACTTTTTGTAGTATAATGTAAAAATAATTAATATTTTTCCTTAGACACTGGAAGAGGGCTTATGACAACTCAGACTATCAAGGTACTTTTATATATACTGCAGGCCAAAAGTAAAAAAAAGGATGCATTTATTTTAGTAAAAACTATTATTATTATTAACATTTAAAATACCTATCTTTTCTGTTGTAATGTATTATTAAAATGTTATTTACTCCAGTGGTAGACATTTCAGCAACCTTTACTCTAGTACTTCTGTGTCAAATAATACGCTAATATGGTGCTCAAGTCAATAACCATTATTTGTATCACTGTTGAAAACATGTTTTTGAAGCCATGAAATACTACCATTCAAAGGTTTTGGGTAAGCACAGTTAAAAAGATAAAATAAACGAATATATTTGTCCAGCAGGGATGCGTTTAATTGATCAAAAGTGACATTAAAGACGTTTATAATGTTACAAAAGATTTCTGTTTGAAATAAATGATTATAAAGAATCTGGAAAGAAAAATGTATTGCTGTTCCCACAAAATTGTATGCAGTAAAAACATTGATAATAATAATAAATGATTTTTTCAGGCCAAAGACATGGTGATTTCCTTACCTGAGAAATGCTTACTGACATCCAGCACAGTTCTGAAGAGTTACATGGGTGACTATATAAAAAGGTATTTTTGGACTGATCGTTATTTCTCCCCAAAACCATATATATATTAGGGCTGGCTAACGATTAATCGTGATTAATCGCATCCAAAATAAAAGTTTGTGTTTACATATTAAATATGTGTGTACTGTGTATGATTATTTTCACACATGCATGTATATATTTAAGAAAAATGTGTTATTAATATATAACATATTTATATTTAATATAAATTATGTATTAATATAAATATACAGTATATACATGCAAATATTTCTAGAATATATACATGCATGTGTGTGTATTTATATATACAAAATAATTATACACACTACACACACATATATTATATAAACACAAACTTTTATTTTGGATATGATTAATCGCGATTAATCGTTGCCCAGCCCTAATATATATATATATATATATATAATCACTTTTAAAAAATGAATCCCTTTTAAGACTTTCTGTGCACCCAAATATTTTGGTTTCTACCCTGTACTGTAGATGGCATCCTCCCATATCTCCTCTTCTGGCTCTGTGTTGTTTCCTCATCGCTGAGAGACATCGTGGAGATGCATCAGAGTGGAGTCCCTACATTAATATCCTCCCGAAGACCTACACGTGCCCTGTGTACTTGTCTGATGACATCATTGGCCTTTTGCCTAGGACTCTCCAGAAAAAAGCTACAGAGCAGAAAGAACAGTGTCGGGAACTCTGCTCCTCTTCCCTGATGTTTTTTAACTCCCTCCAGCCACTCTTCAACCAGCCCACAGAGGAGTTGTTTACCCAGGATGCAATGCGGTGGGCTTGGTGTAGCGTTAACACGCGTACGGTGTACATGGAGCATGATCGGAGCAACTATCTCTCCAGGGAGAAAGATGTCTATGCACTTGCACCATACCTTGACCTGCTGAACCACTGTCCTAATGTCCAAGTAAGAGCATCTAACAGAAATACACTACTGTTCAAAAGTTTGGGGTCCGTAAGACTGAAATAAGTCTTATGCTCACCGAGGCTGCATTTAATTGATACTTTTAAAATGACTTCTTTAAATTCTTTAAATCATTAATGCAGTCTTCAGTGTCACATGATCCCATAGAAATCATTCTGATGCTGATTTGATGCTCAAAAAAACATTTCTTATTATTATCAGTCACAAACGGTTGTGCAATATTTTGGTGGCAACCATGTTACATTTCTCTCAGGATTATATGATAACTAGACCATTTTAAAAAAACAGCATTTTATTTAAAATAGAAACCTTTTGTAACTTTATGAATAGGGATGCACGATATATCGGCCACCATATCGGTATCGGCCGATATATGTTCATTTTTAATCGGCCTGATAAGAAAAAGTGGTTTTTATATTAAAGCTGATACATAATGTATTATTCCCTTTAGCTGAGACACTTGTTGAGCTCTGTTTATGTTTTTTAATGTCTTAAAATATGACTGAAATCTCTTAAAAAAAGGAAAATACATTTTGGTACAACATGTGCAGCCGGGTTTAATGGGTTTAAACATGGGTTTAATTGTGAGACTTTTGTTTTTGTAATCAGGCTCTCAAAATTATATAAAAATTTGGATTTAAATTTATCGGGCGATATATTGGTTATCAGCTTTCATATAAAGAATTATCGGCTATCGGTATCGGCCAACATTTTCATATCGGTGCATCCCTATTTATAAATGTCTTTACTGTCACTTTTGATCAATTTAATCACTCATTAATCACTCATTGTATAATTTACTTAAAAAATACTACAGATTTTTAAAAGTTGCATGGCTATATAAGTAAGGAGAATTGTTAACTTTCTCTGATGTGCAGGTTGAAGCTGGCTTTAACAAAGACACTTGCTGCTACGAGGTTAGAAGTGTCCAAGGCTGTAAGAAGTTCCAGCAAGCATTCATCAATTACGGTCCTCATGATAATCACAGACTGCTTCTGGAATATGGCTTTGTTGCTCCTGGAAACCCCCACAGCGTAGTATATGTTGATTTAGGTAAGCAACATACATACTGAAATATTCCATTTTCTCAACCTGTATCAATCACTATTTGTTGTTATTGTAGGAACTCTAAAGTTGTGTCTAAATGAAAGAGACAAACAGCTGACACAAAAACTGCTCTACCTGAAGGACAATGCTTTTTTAAGGTCAGTTACGGATATATTATGTCAATAACAATCATATGTGACATTTTTGGCTATCATGGTTTCCATAAAACTAAGTCTTCTAGCTGTTAAAAACAAATTTTCATGCATTTTGCAGAAGAACATTGTTTTGGTTGTGCTTCAGCGTTGATGTGTAACTGTGTAATGTTGCAGTACTTAAAGAGTGTTAATTTCGAAGTTCGAACTCTGACTTAAATTCATGATCTTGGGGACATTTAGCAGTTCTAATAAATTCTGTTGTGTCATTATGACTGTGGCCTGTTCTTACAGTGTAATAACTGTATAGAACAGCTAATTCAGTTCCCATATGTTCTCACTCTTCAGAAACTTGACATTTGGGATGGATGGCCCTTCCTGGCGACTGATGACTGCACTGAGACTGCTGTCCTTGACACCTGAGCAATAGTGAGAAGTTAGCATCCTAAACACATTATTTGAATGAGTGGAAATTTGACTGTGCGATAATGCAAAATACATGCCACAGTATTGTCATTGCTTTTACTTGCATACATTTTATTTCATGACAATTATTTGAATACATTCAAAGCTGACTTAAAGGAGTAGTTCACTTTAAAAAAAAAAAAAAATACTTTTGCTGATAATTTACTCACCCCCATGTCATCCAAGATGTCCATGTCTTTCTTTCTTCAGTTGAAAAGAAATTAATGTTTTTGATGAAAACATTACAGGATTTTTCTCCATATAATGGACTTCAATGGGAACCAAATGGTTCAAGGTCCAAATGAGAGTTTCAGTGCAGCTTCAAAGGGCTTTAAATGATTCTAGACGATGAATAAGGGTCTTATCTAGCGAAACGATCAGTCATTTCAACAACAACAAAAAAAAGTTTGTTTTATAAGCACAAATGCTCGCCTTGCTCTGTTCTGTGATGCACGTTCATGACTCTCCTGTTCGAGTCATTTGTTTCATTCAACGAACGAAATGACTCGAAAAAAGATTTGTTCATTTTGATGAACGATGCGAACAGAAGAGTCACAGAACAGAGAAAGGTGAGCATTTGTGCTTATAAAACTTCAACTTTTTATTTATTTTTTAAATTACCGATCGTTTCGTTATATAAGACCCTTATTCATCATCTGGTGTCGTTTGAAGCTGCAATGAAACTCTCATTTGGACCTTGAACCGTTTGGTTCCCATTAAAGTCAATTATATGGAGAAAATCCTGGAATGTTTTCATCAAAAACCTTAATTTCTTTTCGACTGAAGAAAGAAAGACATGGACATCTTGGATGACATGGGGGTGAGTAAATTATCAGCAAACGATATTTAAAGTGAAATAATCCTTTAATTCGTTTGTCTGCAGTAGTAGTTGGAAGAGTGTCCTCTTGGGGGCAGCAGTGAGCCGGGATAGGGAAGAGTGGTGCATTCAGTCTGCCCTAAAGCTTTGCAATAACCTCACCGATGGCAATGTCAAAGCACTAGAAAGGGTGAGTCTAATTATAATCTATTCATTCTTAATGCTGCCTGTGTCTAATTAAAGATATGAAACCACTTAACAGCCCAAGTCTTTTCATTTTTTACAGCTATCGCAGCTCAAACAGGGTGCAAACCTGTCTCGCATTGAACAACTGTGTGTGGTGGAGAGCCTGAGACTAGAGGAGCAAAGGATTCTGGAACACACACAAGTGGTTCTTCAAAACCTCCTGAGACAATAGTCACTGTGGTAACAGTAGGGCATTCCTCATGCTGTCACTGCCAAGATTTTAAACGCAAGCCAAGACTGAGTACAGAACCAACAGATCTGGTTAACCATTGTACCAATCACCTCCAATGCTACGGGAAATATGGAGTCCAAAAGATAAGTTCACTCAAAAACTAGACGCTCAAACCTGTATGTCTTCATTTTTTTCTGAGGAACTCGAAAGGAAACGTTTTTAAGAATGTTCATGCCGCTCTTTTCCACCATTGTAATCATCTTAATCTTCACTGCATGGAAATGATCTGCGTGAACATTTTAGTAACATCTAGGGAGTACAACTTTTTAGGGGAACTTTTTCCCGTGCGTCAATTTTGATAATAATGGTGGACAGGAAGACAAGGGGACGTTTAGGACAATGAGATCTTAACAAATACCAATCTTCTATTGAAAGCAAATGAGCTGCATGCTGAGTTTTTGATAGAAGACCACTGATAATCAAATGCATACCTCTGAACAATGATGCCGGAATCTAGGTCAGTGTTATCTGTCCTTTTCCACACAAAGCTGCCCATATTAATGGGCAAGAGAAATGGGATCAGATGGTGGCGTTAATAATCCATTGGGAATGCTTGAGAAGGGGAGATTCGCATCTAGGCCAAAGTTCCTAGCCAAAATATTTCACGAAATACCAATTTCAAATGTTTTTTTTATATATATTTTGCTTTGTGATCTATTGTTTTGTAAAAAAAAGAGGAGCTTGATTTCCATTTAATGAATTTTAATGTCTTTATAATTAAAAGTGCAACTGACAACATGAGATTAATAACAATGACTACAATTTACAGAATTATGGAAAAACAAATCAAAGCTTTACAACTATTCTCTTCCTTGTTTGCTTTCTCTGCACCATCTCCATGGAGACCGTGGCTTCATATAAAGGCACAGGTTGCTCCAACAGCGGCCTGCGCAGAGACAACAGTCAAATTCAACACCGTTCACAATGACGAAGATGATTTCACACTTTACCTCTGCATTACAGACACAGTCCACATACATTTAGTTTTAAGTTCATAATTTCTCCTTCTGTACAGACTCTCATTCACACACTTGTTTATTCCTCATTCTCACCTGAAAGTGCCTGTGCTTAGTTTATCCATCACATCTTTCAAGATATCTGAGAGAGCAGACTAAAGGCGAATAACCCAGTTACAGACCGGAAACCATGTGCCTTGTATGTTGTTGAAAAGATCGTTCCAGTAGCCTGAGGACACTGGGAGAAAACCCTTAGGTCTCAAATATATCAAATTGGCATGGACAAGCCATATGGACACTGAGGAACCCAATGACCTCATTGCAACATATAGCGATTTAAAAAAAAAAATTCTGAAACAATCTAGTCAGATCTCTTGTCTTCATTCCACTTGAGAGTAAAATATTAGTGGTTTGTCAAAAGAATAAAGATTGCCTATTAAGAGTCTATATTAAGGCTTCATGGCAAATAATTTACAAAAGAAAATGCATTAAAGTCACTTTGGATAAAACCATTTGTTAAATACATAAACTTGAGCTAAATCTCTTAAAGGGTTAGTTCACCCAAAAATGAAAATTCTGTCAGTATTTACTCACCCTCATGTTGTTCCAACCCCGTAAGACCTTCGTTCATCTTCGGAACACAAATTAAGATATTTAAGATATTAAGATCGCTCCTGCATTCAGTCCATAGGCTTCTTGAGGGACTGGCTCTTGCTGTCCTCGAAAAGTCATTAAAGACATCGTTAAAATAGTCCAAGTGACTACAGGGGCTCAATCTTAAGTTTATCAAACGACGAGAACACTTCTGTGCGCAAAAAAACAACAAAAATAACGACTTTATTTCAACTATCACTTCCTTCTCCATGAGCCTGTAAGTCAGTTAACGTAGTGTGATTGCGTAGAGCTACGTCACACGTAGGCTCACTATTGGCCGACGCTGGTCATGTGTGTGTGATGCGTGTGACGTACAATAACAGAAGCTTATACGCTATTAAACTAGTAACCTGACTCGCGCAGAGGGAGAAATAAACGAATAGTTGAAATAAAGTCGTTATTTTTGTTGTTTTTTTGTGCACAAAAGTGTTCTCGTCGTTTGATAAACTTAAGATTGAGCCCCTGTAGTCACTTGGACTATTTTAACGATGTCTTTAATGACTTTTCGGGGACAGCAAGAGCCATTCCCTCAAGAAGCCTATGGACTGTATGCAGGAGCGATCTTAACCCCTTAACTGTCACCCCCCCTTTTTGAGAATGGGGGTTAAATGCTCTATTCACACTTAAATGGTTGTAATTCAAGAATGCCTTGGAATATATACCCAAGTTTGGTCTTGTTTTAAAGAAAACACTCAGGAGATTATTGCTGAAGTGAAAACACTTCAAAAAATGAAAGTATGAAAAAGTTATGGAAGTTTTAATTCACAGTAAATCAAATATACTGTATTATATATTTTTTATTTTATATAAAATATATATTTTACAAAATATGTTTACTCTAAAATTACTATAAAATCAAAGCCATAAATCTAACCAAGTTATGTTCCAAATTTGAAGTTGATATCACAAAAAATGAAGTTCCCATGAGATTTTGTTTAGGCGTAGTACCAAAAATAGCCACCGGGTGCCATTGAATTCCATTGAATTTAGTTGTGTACATTCTGCCTTAACAAATTAATAAATTTCTGTCCAAATATCAATTTTGTCACAAAATTTGGAACCTTGAGACTCAGACCTTTCTGACCATATGTGTTTTGTCAAGATTAGAAAAGGTTTTGATCATAAATTATGAAATATAAGGATGCCCAAAAGGGGAGGAGCCTCATAAAATAAGTACCGTTTCTATGGTAACGCAACGTTCAATTATAAAATGGTTTTCACAGGATGAATTCTGAGTTTATAAGCTTTCAAATGATACCTAATTTATGATAACTACTAAAATATGTGATATAATAAAAAAGGCGATAAAAAATATTATTATATTTTAGAGGATAATATATACATATATATTATAATTTTTAGAGGATAATGTTATACTATACTTTTTATTTTTTATTGAAAAATACTAGATTATATGTTTTATTATGAACTTTTAGCATAAAAACAGAAGTTTCAATGATTAAAAGTGGGTGCATCAACTTTAGTGACAAAGGTCAAAACTCCTGTTATGATGCAGATTTTTTTAGGTGCACTCTTGTCATAAATTCATTAATTACTCTTCCTACATAATTTTTAACACAAAACAGGGGTCGAATATTTAATTAGAAGTCTTAGACCTTTCCAAAAATATATAATTTGTCATAATTAGATTAGGATTTAATAGAAATATAGTGAAGTAAAGTTAGGCGTCCCGGTACCGGGACGGTGACAGTTATCTTAAATATCTTAATTTGTGTTCCGAAGATGAACGAAGGTCTTACGTGGTTGGAACAACATGAGGGTGAGTAAATATTGACAGAATTTTCATTTTTGGGTGAACTAACCCTTTAATCATAGGCTGCATTTACATTGCATGGTTCCAGAGAAGCAATACCAATTTTCCTTCCCATGTGGCGCAGATTTGATATGTATGGAAGCTTGTTTCCACCACTGAATAAAATAAATAAATAATTGCGACTTTTTATCACACAGAGATATTGCGAGATATGAAGTCAGAATTGAAATTCTGAGAAATAGTCGCAATTCTGAGATATAGTTGCAATTCTGAGATATAAAGTCGCAATTGCGAGATATAAAGTCGCAATTCTGAGAAATAAAGTCGCAATTGCGAGATATAAAGTTGCAATTTTGAGAAAAAAGTCGCAATTGCAAGATATTAAGTTGCAATTCTGAGATATAAAGTCGCAATTCTGAGATATAAAGACGCAATTCTGAGAAATAGTTGCAATTGCGAGATATAGTTGCAATTCTGAGATATAAAGTAGCAATTCTGAGAAAGAAAGTCGCAATGGCGAAATGTAAAGTTGCAATTCTGAGAAATAGTTGCAATTGCGAGATATAAAGTTGCAATTTTGAGGAAAAAAGTTGCAATTGTGAGATAAAAAGTCGCAATTACCTTTTTTATTTTTCATTCTGTGGCGGAAACAAGCTTCCATTGATATGATCCACAAATGTGTAAGGAAAAAAAAAAAAAAAAAATCACATGGTTTCTCGGTTTTAGGCCTCGGTCATATAAATTTGATATTAATCGGAAATGGGGATTTCGTTCTACCATGTACGCAGACAGATCGGATATTCCCATCAATGCGAGTCGTACGTCATTGAAAGCAAAAGCTTGTATTTTCATGCGTCCATTGCAAATTGCACCATTTTTACTTCCTTTAGACCAGGGGTGCCCAACCCTGCTCCTGCCGATGGACTGTCCTGCACAGTTCATCTCCAACTCTAATCAAAAACACCTGCCTTTAATTTTCAAGTGATCCTGAAGACCTTAATTGGTTGCTTCAGGTGTATTTGATTAGGGTTGGAGATAAACTGTGCAGGACAATCGATCGTCTGGAGCTGGGTTGGGCACCCCTGCTTTAGACCTAAGCTCTTCCGGGCTGGTACGTCTATCGTGGGTTGTATCACCAAGTGTAAAATGCAGCTAACGGATATGGGTATCTTTTAAAAGATGATGTAAGCGGGTCTTCAAAAACATCAGATATAGTCAACGTATCGGAATTGGGCATCAAGACTTGCAGTGTAAATGCGGCCATAGAGTATTTTACTTTTCAATGCTGATAAATAAATCAAGAGGCCTGAATGCTTTGTGATATAACTGGGCCAATCAAGAGGCAGTGTTCAGTTACAGGTTAATAAAGTTTGTAGTAAAAGATACGAAGATATCGGCCCTGCTTGGCACGGGATGCTGTCCACACCTCATCATTAAGGAACGAGAGAGACGCTGCCTTCAGGAAGAGAATGTGGCTGTCAGGAGGATCCAGCTTGGAAAAGAGGATATTGAGGATTTTATTAAGGGTATCTAAACCTGCTGCGAGTCAATCAATATTTGATGTATAAAATGAAGTTAAAGTATACTGAAGAGAACAGGGAGCCACTAACCTGTAAGTGTTGTTCTGTGGTGACCCAATGACCTCCAACTGAAAGAATGGTAAGGAGGTCGTGTTTATGTGGGCGATGCCTCTGAGTTTCTGTCTCCTCCTCATAGAGTCCCACTGTTCAAGAAAGGCTCAAAATCATAAACTGCTAATTGAAACTGAACTACCGGTATCGGTATGTGAAAATGAAACCATGAATGAACTCGTAAATGTAAGTACACATTTAATTTGGACTTCTCTGTGCTTGCTCTTTGAGGTGGTGACCATAGACCTCCATTATATGACTGACAGACAAGAACGGTTTGACCTAAAAATGTCAAAATTGAAACTACTGCGGAAACAAAGACAACTACATCTTGGATGCCCTTGAGGTAAGCTAAAACATAACAAAAATTAATTTCAAAGTGAACTATCCCTTTAAAATAAATTACATTTTGCAACACAAATGCTTATAGGACTCAAAGTCAGTATTTATATAATTAATTAAAACCAGATATGAGAAGACTACGTTGAAATGTTTAGAAATGTCATTTAAAGTAGCCGTAAACCTCCTGAATCAATGATGATGTCCACTCCAAGACCTCCAGTTTCTTCAAGGCACGAGTCCACCAAGTTCTCCTTTGAGTCCCACACCCTGATCACTCGAGCTGAAGGAAGAGATATACATTTCCGTACTGAGATTAATATCAACGAAGCATTTAAAATACTTTGTGTCAAAGAATATGTTAGTGTGAATACATATATACCTATAGAAGAGATTTCTGCCATTTGCAACTTACCCAAAAGTGATTCCTGCACACCTTGAGCAAGTGCAAACAGCAGGAAGAAACAATGTGAGACAAAGACAAAGAAATGCTCAAGGTAGAAGTGAGACGATAAAGAGAGGGACTTTCAGAAAAGGTTTGACAATGCGAGTGAGTTTAAAGAAAGAAAAATCTAGGACAAATGAAATCTGTTTTGATTTCCAGAGGAACAGAGAAGAAAGGAATCTTTGAAATATGAGAACATGCCCTCTGCAACAATCAAAACTTGCAGATTTCTACATTTGATTAGACGTGGGTAGATTTGAGACTTTTACATAAAATGTGATGATGATTGATGATGATTCATATAACACAATCTAACACTGTAAATACAAGAAAAGTGAAAACTTTACAAGAGATGATAACTAGAGATTAAAAATTTCCCTCCCCAGCCTGACATTTCAGTTTGTCTGGTGTTTATCAGGGATTTCAGAACAACTCATGCCAAGTTTTTTCAAGAATCAAAATTTCCAGTGAAGCGGCAAGTCAAACAAAGCTTGGACTCCCTCCTAAACTGACACTTCATTGAGAAAATATCTTGGCTGTCATCCCTCTCCACAATGCACACTTCAGTACCCACCCACACTCGGTCGGAGCTCTTCCAGAAACTTCTGGTCGTCCGGAGACAAAGCTGTGGCCAAGACTTTCACACCGTGATAGTGGGCGAGCTGAATGGCCAGAACTCCAAAGGGCTGCAGGAATACGATAATGATTTTAGACATCGAATGCAGGGCGCCAAACAATGGTTATAGATCGGCTGTGCTGATTCTGATACGAAAAGACCACTAAATGATAACAAGTATCCTTTTTTCTTCTTCTTTTAAATCAATATATGACAAAATTGACTCGTTTCAACATTGATACAGTATCAATCAAGAGCTTGGGGTCAGTAATTTTTTTTATATATATAAATTAATACATTTATTCTGTAAGGACACATTAAATTATTCAAGTGACAATAAAGACATTTAAGCCTTTTTTTTTAAATGTCAAAGACATTTTTAAACTTGGGGAAAAAACCATTACTGGTGTGCATCTTGAGACAAAACAATGGCACTGACATGTTTTAAGATATGTTACTTTCACTTAAAACAGCTCAAACATGTATTTTAGTCTGGGACTAGACTTAAAGGAGTAGTTCACTTTTAAAACAACTTTTGCTGATAATTTACTCACCGCCATGTCATCCAAGATGTCCACGTCTATCTTTCTTCAGTGGAAAAGAAATTAAGGTTTTTGATGAAAACATTCCAGGATTTTTTCCATATAATGGACTTCATTGGGAACCAAACGGTTCAAGTTCCAAATGAGAGTTTCAGTGCAAACTGTTCAAAGGGCTTTAAATGACACCAGATGATGAAAAGGGTCTTATCTAGGACCCTTCGAGTCATGACTCGAAAAAAGATTTGTTCATTTTGATGAACGAGTTTGAACAGGAGTCACGAACGCTCATCACAGAACAGAGCAAGGCGAGCATTTGTGCTCATAAAACTTAAACTTTTTTATTTATTTTTTAAATGAGCGATCGTTTCACTAGATAAGACCATTCATCATCTAGTGTCATTTAAAGCCCTTTTCAAAGCCCAGTTTCAGCTGCACTGAAACTCTCATTTGGACCTTAAACCATTTGGTTCCCATTGAAGTCCATTATATGGAGAAAATCCTGGAATGTTTTCATCAAAAACCTTAATTTCTTTTCGAGTCGACTGAAGAAAGAATGACATGGATATCTTGGATGACATGGGGGTGAGTAAATTATCAGCAAAAGTTTTTTTAAAAGTGAACTACTCCTTTAAACCTTGTCTGTGAAACCGGGGGTTATAGTGTTACAAAAGATTTCTATTCCAAATAAATGCTGTTGTTTGGGACTTTCTATAAAGTAAGCAACTGTTTTCAACATTGATAATAGTTAGATATGTTTCTTGAGCAGCAAATCAGCACATTAGAATGATTTCTGAAGGATCATGTGACACTGAAGACTAGAGTAATGAAGCTGAATATTCACAGGAAAACATTATTATTTTAAAATATATTACAAATGAAAATAGTTATTTTAAATGGGAATAATATGTCACAATCTATCTGTTTTTATTGGATTTTTTTAATCAAATAAATGCAGCCTTGGTGAGCATAAGAAACTTCCGAACCCAAACGTATACTAAAACTACTAGGAATCATCAGGAAGGCGGCCTTTGCACAGATACCTACACCAGCCCCATCCAGCACTAGAACAGTCTGACCCACAGCCATCCGAGCCAGAGTATGGAGAGCAGTGTACGCCCTGAGACCGTCTTTAATGACCGCTGCTGCTTCAAACCAGCTCACTTTCTCAGGCTTTGGAACTGTTGGAAAACAAAAAGCACATTGTCAGAACAGCAGTGTATCTTTAAGGAACTATAGGATTGTAATGCGAACAACAATACCTAAATTATATTCATCAATAAGCACTACAGAACAAAGGCCAGACTGCTCAGCATCCAGAGGGAGAATTCCTGAGAAGACATGGAAATGCGTATTTGATCATATACATATAATATAAAATAGAGAATCTAATAAAGTTCTTACCAACAACCTCGTCATCTGGCTGGAAAAACGTCACTTTGGGTCCAACTGGAAAAGGATATGCATCGCATTAGATTAATCAGTCAAGTTTATTTGGTTAGTAATCAGCAGTAAAAGTCAAGGTAATGTATTGTATACCTTGTAGAACAACCCCAGTGATCTCCCTTCCAACTTGGATATGCTCGCTCTCAAGCCTGAGGTCCTCGTACATCTGAAAAAAATGCAAATATTCATAAAAATACAATTTCTGTGAAATAAAGGGTAAATAAATGTCCATGTTTGAGACTCCAGACGCAGGTCAATCACATTAAATCACTAGACGTCGTTCAAGATCTTGAAAAATCACATTACCTGAAAATCAACCGGACTAAGTGCACATATTTTTACTTGAACTTTGACCTGATGGCTGCCAATGTTAGTGGGTGCATTCTATGAAAAAAAGACAATTTCAAATGCCTTATTACAGATTTGTTTAGGAAACTTTATGTAAATCCATGCATTTTCAGGCACTCTCACCGTCTCCTGTATGACAAACTTCACATCACCCTGGTCTCCACCTGGTTTGCAGTAAAGTCCCTTCATGGCAATTGTAATTGTTCTGGAATAATGATAACAGTCAATAAGAATAACACAAGCAACAACAAGCGGATTGAAATGCTGTATTAAACATGGTATTATTGTAATAGTATGTAATACAGAACGATCTCGATAGAAATGTATCACATTTATTGCATGTGCACTTGAACTGTGCAAGTTAAATATGATACAATATCCAATTTATGCAGAATACCTTACTCTTGCTTACTAGCTGCTTCTTTTCCTTTGCATAACCCTTTATGTCTCGCGTGTCGTTTTAAAATATCAAAATTGGTGATATAATGTCTGCTTATGTTACGCTATAAAATATTTTTGCAAGTAAGAGTATTATAGAAGCTACTAACATGTAACACGTTAGTTGACTGCGGTAGTGTTCAGTTCATTTCCTTCACGTGACTCGTCACACGTGACGTAGTGGAGTAGAAGTGTAAACACAGAGAAAGGAAACGCAAACAGCTTCCATGTATGAGGGACTATGTTAGATAACCGCATATTTGAACTAAATAAATGTCCTCAGAAAATCTACAACATATGGGATTACATACGTTACTCTATTAGTCTATTTTTAAATCAATAAATAATGTAATAAATCAGCAATATCTGATTCCTCCACGAATCGTCATTTATAAATGAATCTTGAATCTGTTGAATCGGTTCGAAAAATGAATCAGGGGCGCGTTCCAGCGAACATTCGCAAACAGCATAGCATATTCAGAGAAGAATAGAAGATAAATAATTGTTAAATAGTAATATTGTTGATATTTATTACTATGTTTCTAAGTTTGTTATTATTCAATTTTATAAATTATTATTAATATAATTTTACTGTATAACAAGTAATAATTAATAAAGTATTTAAACAATTAAATAATCTCATTAAAAATGATTGTCAACATCATCATTATGATTAATAATATTAAAAAATATTATTAAACTCTAAAATATATTATTATTGTTATAAATAAATATACACACCGAATATTTTAAATTAAAAAAAATGTGTGTCAATCATGGTGCCAATGAAAACGAGTAGGACTTTCCCATTTCCATCCTACTAATTAGATATCTATGGTAGGCTACATTTAAATATATCAATGTAATATGTATAGATTTAACGTTTATATATAATAAACTGCTGTAAATGCATTAAACAGAAATAAATTAACAGATTTCCTCTAAATGTTCTTTGTGTTTGGGCCACAGTGCGCCCTCTGTCGTCACTATACGCACACACACACCGATGCTTGAATGACGTCCGCAAGGTTTCATTTTTCCCCCTTTTTACTTCACTACAGGCGAAGCTGTGCGGAGGAAACGAGGAGCCAGAAGGAGCAGCGAAATAAGCCTGGAATTTATCTCGCTCATTTTAAACAAGGAAAGAAGAGCCCTCCGCCTGTCATCCCAATGCTCCTGTAGTTTATTCCCTCACAGAGAGTGTTGGAGATATAATGGAAACTGAATGATGAGGTAAGAGTGTTTGTGTGTGTCAGGCCGATTGTCCTTTTTTGACAGTGACTGTGTCCGCTGCGCGAGCGAGCTTTCCCCAGCATTTCAGCGCGCGCTTTCGTGCGAATTTAGTCGCTCGCGAGAGGCTTTGCTCACTTCAACGGTTATTTCAGCTCAGTAACACCAATACTACTCTCCCCAAGCCGTTAATTCATAGAAATAGGCCTATTTATGCTCCCTCTCCGCGCAGAGATTGCAGCTAAAGCTCAGCTTTGATTTAACGTTACTGGTTTAGTTAGCACACCGGCTAACGGCTGCTGGTGTGGTGATATCAGTGACAGCCGCTCGAAAACTAAGGATTTATGAGGTAAAACCCATGGATACAGTGGGCTATGAGAGTGCTGAGGTGATGTGTGTTATAAGTAGGATGTTGTGACAATGAGTTTAGTCAAAGTGTTGCTGAATAATGAAGGTACAGCTCATCTCCACACATGGCTGCAGGTCTCATCTCTACACATGGATATCCATCTCCTCTCCAATGCAGTCAATACACATGTGAGTACATGCTGGCCAGGAGAAACACAAGTTATTATCCTGTGATTATGTCTGAAGGAAGGTGATTAACTTAAGGCTCAGAATCAGATCCTGTAGTGCTGGCTGGCCGTGGATTTGGGTGCTTTGTCTTAAATCCACTATCATGTGTAAATGTAAACACTGTCAGATTGGACTGGAGGGACGTTTATGAGATCTTGTGAGAAATGGAGCTGGAGCCTTTTTGGCCCAGGGCAGTATGGTTGTAAACCTGGTCAGGTCCTGGTTTATAGAGGCACTCCTGATCGCAGGACTAAAGTGGAAAACCTGCCGCACTGAGTAATGCCTCAAAAATGTGACCTCAGACTGATTTAAGAGCAGATCTTACCAAATTTTTGAAGATTGAGGTGTCCAAACATAAACATTTGAAGCAATATTGATTGAAATATCAGTTAATCTGAATTTTGAGGTGGGATTTCTATAATTGGCTGTTTGGGTGTGTATAATAATCCAAATTTGGTCATATTCTGTTTTTATATGTATAAAAACATTAACCTGGTTGTCATAAACATATTAGGCCTAAGCTTGTTTCTAGAAATCTAACTAGAACTGGCATATCTGTGTATTAATGAGATTTTTTTTTTTTTAAAGTAAAATACCCACCATAACCGATTGTCAATTTATATTTGCGTGTAAAGAAATCAAGGTAATTCTGGGTAATATCAGATAGTGAGTGAGAAGTTGTTTATAACTATTATTTTAAAAACGTTAAAAGAAGTAGCATTTATAAGAGTCTTATGAACAAGATTTTGCAGATGAATGAAAATTAACGGGTTTATTAGATTACTGTTCTAAATGTCCAATCAAGCTAAAAGCATTTCCCTTATTACCAGATGAGAATAGAAAGAAAACAGTGCAAATTTTATGCCATACAGTAGTTCACATAGACTTTTGAATTCAACATAATTATCCCAAAATGTACAAAGATACAACCTATCCTGCAACACTACACCTGCAGTTAATGTTGTATTTCTGTTTATCGGTCACATTTCTATTGGTCACATCTTCATCTGATATGAATTCACAGTTCAGTCGCCAAACTTGACCATTGGAACGCAGTGAAATCAAAACTTGCATTAACTTCTGTTTCCGAATTTTTGCATGCGTTTGATCGAACGAAATCTCTTGTGTGACCAGCCGCCTGTGTGGTTTGTTTTCCGATTTCGTTTGTACATTAATATTTCAATAAAAATGAAAATTTAATTTAGAAAATGGCCTTTAATCTGAAAGCAATGTTCATGTGAACGTGCTCGGTGTCAATGGTGCTTCCAGCCTTGTTTAGATGAGGATAATGGAGCGTTTGAAAGCCTCTGTTTTAAGTGCATGCTCAAGAGGAGCTTATTGTTAGGCCATTCAGTTCATGAGTCATTAGAGGCTGTTTTTTGCAACCTCAAGTTTATCCGGCCACTTTTTCTCCCTGTCTCTTCTTCGCCATCCTCTATTCCCCATCCCCCACAGGTGTACAGCAGAGATATAGTCCGGGGTGTGAGATAAAAGAGATCCTCAATCCACTGTGCGCCGCTCGATCTCAACAGGATGGATGATAGGCCAGCGGTGCGTGTGTGTGCGTGGCTGGTCTTTTTTTGTTCACCGCTCATGTACACGCTGCCCTTTTGTTGCTCACTTTGAAATTTGTTTCTCTTTGTGCGATCGTTGGCTCAGAAGCAGCTTTTTGTCTAGATAATTAGGTTAACAGGAAGAGAGCTGGACTCTCAATCCCTCACCCCAGTGCTCTGCTCCAGAAAGCCTGAATAATTTCAGTTATTCCTGCCTTCTTTTTGCTAAACAAATTAGAAATGGTGGTCTGTAAGTGTATTTGCTTTGCTCCACAGGGGTTTTAATGTAAAGCTGTGTTTATAGTTTGTGTATACTTCTGTAGGGCAGGGTCTGTTATTTTTAAAATACATAATTTGTGATGAAATAATGTCTATGTTATACAACATAGTGATGATTACTGTCTGATTAATGTGTATGCATCCTCGGTGACGAGTAAATCAAGTCAAAATTATTTGTATAGCGCTTTTCACAATGCACATTGTTTCAGAGCAGCTTTACAGAAAATCATGATTTTTGTTGATGCTTACAATTTCTTAATATCTTTGTGCCTTATAGTCACATCCATCGGATTAGAGCTGAGCGATGATGTATTTACATTTTGTGTCAATATAAGCAATCAAGCCTCTGAGATATGCTGTATAGTATATGGTGTATGTATATATACACTCACCTAAAGTATATGGTGTATGTATATATACACTCACCTAAAGGATTATTAGGAACACCTGTTCAATTTCTCATCAATGCAATTATCTAATCAACCAATCACATGGCAGTTGCTTCGATGCATTGAGGGGTGTGGTCCTGGTCAAGACAATCTCCTGAACTCCAAACTGAATGTCAGAATGGGAAAGAAAGGTGATTTAAGACATTTTGAGCGTGGCATGGTTGTTGGCGCTGAGTATTTCACAATCTGCTCAGTTACTGGGATTTTCACGCACAACCATTTCTAGGGTTTACAAAGAATGGTGTGAAAAGGGAAAAAACATCCAGTATGCGACAGTACTGAGGGCGAAAATACCTCGTTGATGCTAGAGGTCAGAGGAGAATGGGCCGACTGATTCAAGCTGATAGAAGAGCAACTTTGACTGAAATAACCACTCGTTACAACCGAGGTATGCAGCAAAGCATTTGTGAAGCCACAACACACACATCCTTGAGGCGGATGGGCTTCAACAGCAGAAGACCCCACCGGGTACCACTCATCTCCACTACAAATAGGAAAAAGAGACTACAATTTGCAAGAGCTCACCAAAATTGGACAGTTGAAGACTGGAAATATGTTGCCTGGTCTGATGAGTCTCGATTTCTGTTGAGACATTCAGATGGTAGAGTCAGAATTTGGCGTAAACAGATTGAGAACATGGATCCATCATGCCTTGTTACCACTGTGCAGGCTGGTGGTGGTGGTGTAATGTTGTTGATGTTTTCTTGGCACACTTTAGGCCTCTTAGTGCCAATTGGGCATCGTTTAAATACCAAGGCCTACCTGAGCATTGTTTCTGACCATGTCCATCCCTTTATGGCCACCATGTCCCCATCCTCTAATGGCTACTTCCAGCAGGATAATGCACCATGTCACAAAGTTCGAATCATTTCAAATTGGTTTCTTGAACACGACAATGACTTCCCTGTACTAAAATGGCCCCACAGTCTCCAGATCTCAACCCAATAGAGCATCTTTGGGATGTGGTGGAACGTATGTGCATCCCACAAATCTCCATCAACTGCAAGATGCGATCCGATCAATATGGCCCAACATATATAAAGAATGCTTTCAGCACCTTGTTGAATCAATGCCACGTAAAATTAAGACATTTCTGATAAATCGCCCTATGATAATGATACTATGCTTTGTTTGCTGATAAAGTTGGACATACTTAAATATCTAACTTTAATGTAAACAACAATATAATATAGTTTATATTTTTTCTGATATAGCACTTCAGTTGCTCGCTCTTTGGGTGGGTTTGCTGCATATAAATTGTTACTGTCAATAATATACCTATTTTTATCCTAATTTTATTGCATATTTTGTTATTGTAGTACAGTAAACCTATATAGGTATAGACTGCCATGAATCTTTAGTCTGGCTATTCAGTGTGTGTGGGTGTGTGTGTGGCGTCTTGGACAGAGCAGTGACTGTCTGTAACCTTGTCTTAACATTGGACAGAAGCACAACAATACAGGCCCTCTTCCGGAAGCTGTTGTATTTAGTGTCTCGGGCGATTCTTTCTTTACCGCCTGATCCAGGCTCAGATTCTGCTCGGGCGAAGCTGCATAAAATCCATTGAAGAAGTTTATCTGTTCTCACTGTTACAGCTGAGCTGTTCTGCCTAGCTCAGCTGCAGAGAAAGCACTTCTGCTTCCGTGGTTATGGCCTTTCTTTAAATGCTTCGAGATGGAAGTGAATAAACGAGACCAGACTAGATTTTGGACTGTGGTTTTTGTTTTTAAACTTGAGAACAGTAAAGAGAACAGGTATTGAGTCTTTTGCTAGTGTGTTATGAAAGATCGGTTTGGGTGGTTTGCTATCAGTGATGATAAAAGCTTGAAGTTCCACTTCCATTTTAAGCTGGATTCCTCAGTGTCTGGACTGCATTAAATATGGGTGGAGTGCAGATTGTCTGTGATTTATTGAGGAGTGAGTATAACTGTTGGGGGTGTCAGTGGGACCATAAGCATCTCTGAGTCTGAATATAATTTGAACTCTCTAAGACTGTAGTGACTCCCACATCTCTTTCTCTCATGCCCTTAAAGCAAACCGGTGATTTTCTCCTCTCGAGTTCCCGTGCTTTCTAGTCCCGGATCATGTATTGATGTTGACAAGATTGAAATTGGATGAATTCAGCGACTGTTCAGGCTCAAGTGTGCAGTGAAAGTGACCTGTGGGTAGAAGTTTAAATACACTGTTTCTCTCTCTACTAATGTTTTTCAGTCAAAGTCAAACAGGGTCCAGGAAAGACTGTTGTGCTTTTGTGTGGAATGCAAACGTGTGGGTGCGTTTGGCTGACTTGTTCTCGTAGGACCCCAAGCCTTCTTAGAAGGAATGCATGCAGACAGGAGTGCGAGTGTGATGTTGACACTATTAATACTTGTACTCTCTTTGGCCCTGGTGTCTAGCGTCACCTGACTAATGAATCCACCGCTGGATGTGTGTGTGTCTATCTGTGTGAATTGCTTGTGTTTTTTCATTGTCTCTATTCAGGATGAAGTTGTAACTTCAGAGAGTGAGGGAGACTAAATGGCTTCTTGAACAAGGAAAACTTGATTTGGTCCATCAGACTAATCCTGCTTCTGAATCTGTTATTGATTGATGAATGGATAGCCTCTTGTGAATTTTTAAGCTTTTACTTGTCTTCAAAAGGTGGTTGCTAACTGTGGATAAATGAGGCATGTGTTTATGTTGGGGCTGAAACGATTAGTCGACATTGTTGTCGTCAAATATCTTTGTCGTTTGATCTCACGTGACCTAATGTAAGGGCGTGCAATATCGCGATTTGACCACTACGGCGCTAGAGTGTAATGCAGCCCTTTACAAATGCTATTGCGGTAAAAGAAAAAAACAGCGCGAATTCTGATGGAGTGCAATCAAATCCGAACTAGCAAGGTTTGGGAAAGTTTCATAAAACTTAAAAGCAACAATGCTGTCGTTTTGCAATACATGCAAGGCGGAACTTGCGGGGAGCACAACATGCATGTAGGAGCACTTAAAGAGGAAACATCCCAGCAAAAGAGGAGCCGGTGAGAATCAAGAGTTCTCCCGCTGGAGCGAACTAACTAGCGATAAATCTCTTTATTAGAGAATGCAATACTACTAATAATATTGTCAATAATAATATAATTACAGTAATGTTTTGATTTATTTTGCATAGAATAAAGCTTGATCAGGCTTAGGAGTCAGGGCTGTTTTTATTATTGTAACACTATTAGGTATTAAAGTCTTATCACTCGCCTGTATTTTGTTCCATAATCATGAAGATTTACAAAAGGAGATGTTAGGAGGAATATCATGGCAGTTACTTTTTCTTTTTCATTCTGTAAATTAAAAGGTGAAAGAGAACGTGTCTGTCAGCTGAATTTTCCATCTAAAAAAGATTGTAATTTAATATTTTATAATAATAATTTGCATATTAATATTTTACCATTTTTGTGTCCTGAGGTAAATGTCCCTTTTTCTGTTTCAGATCTAAGAAAAGCAGTGGTCCTATTAAACAATGCTTAGAGAGCATTTGTGTGTGATTTGAGAAATCTGAAAACTTAAAGAGGATGACTTGTTTAGTTGTCTTAAAGTTAATTAACATTTAACTATTTTCATATTATAGTAAGAATATGTATAACTCAGTGTTTTAACTAATTGAAAAATCTGAATAATCGTTCCAAGCCTACTGATTAGTTGGTGAAATAATCAAGTTTCAGTCGATTAATCGCTCTAATAATTGTTAGATTAATCGATTAGCAAAATAATCGTTTGTTGCAGCCCTAGTGTGTGTGTTTATTACATCAAGACCCATTTACTTGCTAGTTTGCAAACTATTCTAACTCGAACTGAATGTTTTTCTAACATCTTTAAGTCATGTGATCGTGTTGTAGTTCGCTTATAGCCTAAGTTTAGCCTTGTACTTCTGCTGATTGTATTTCATGCATATTTATAACAGCTGTGTTAGAATTCATAAGATTCTCGTGATGATCATAAACTTATGTTAGTCGGCGAGTTCATTTTGTGCAATAATCCAAAAGACAATGGAAAAATCCAATTGGGTTTCTGTCAATGGAACCAGAGAGATCCAGGTTTTGGGTTTGTCTGCTAAAATATATCACCATCACTTCAGCGCTCTATATCTATTAAACTTCCTCCTCACCCAGATTCATCTCACCTAGTGACTGCATTCCTGCTGTATGACATCACCCCTCTTTGCCCCACCCTCTATTGAGCATGTCTTGATTCACTGTGCCGGATTTGGATCAGTGAGGCAGTTTGGTCATGAATAAGAGTAAAACTAAACTCGTCTGAGACATGCAGATCTTCTGAAAGCATTGGTTTGTTTTTTGTTTCAACTGTGTTCTGCAAGAAACGTTTCCCCTTCCTGGGTTTTCTTTCAGATTGGCTGTGTTTGAGAGCATTGTCCCGGGGAAAAAGAAAAAGGGTGACAGGAAAAAGTAGGTCAGATGCTCAAAGACACACACACACACACACACTTATGGTCATTAGCAGGGCCGTGACAAGGGCCGGTTCTACTGTGTGACAGTGTCACTCGCACTGCAGTGTTTGACACTGCACTCTGCCAGTGAGAGAGAGCGTGTGAGTCACCAGTGTCCTGTTTAATCAGGGGAACTGGATGTTTTCAGTATTGAGTCAAGGCTCTCTGAAGAGCTTAGTCCTCCATCTTGAGAAATACCCCACTGCAGTACAATCACTCCTTCAAGCCAACGGCATTCAGACATAATGGATTTACGTAAATAGTAGTAAAATAAGAAAGATTTGGAAAACGATATATCTTATGATAAAACCCTGCTCAAACGCATGCACATGAATACTTCAGATAGATCCGATATTTAGTAAAGTTTTGGTCCGCATGAAACTGCTTCACATTCAAATGTCAGATGCTGTATATGAAGTGAAAATTAAGAACATTCGAACACCCACATCAGCATTTTTCAAATTTTGAAGGGCAGGGCGATGTGATCTGGTGGTTAGTTTGTGATGAAACATCATGATTTCCACACAACTTCAGTTTCTGCATGCCCTTCATTGAATGCTATCAGCAGTTGAGTAACCATGCTAGTGCATATCTGTTTTTTAGCACATTTTATTTCCAGTACATTCTAATTTTTCTAATAATTAAAATATTACTTCCTATATCATCTCACCTCTTTAGCATTGTTTTTTTTTCTTTTGTTCTGTTGAATTGTTTCTGACTTGGTTTAATTTACCACACATTCATTGAAGCACACATGAGGACATGAATGGATGAACTTCAACTTCATAATTTTACCGCTTTATTTGAGAAAAAAACTATTGTCCCATAAACGACACACTTGAAACTCAAAGGTTTGTGCCACTGGTCAAAGTAAAAGTTTGATTTATTACTGTTGTACTGTAGAATTTAGCTACATCTCAATGTAATAATAATAATACTAACACTAATAATAATAATAAAAGGAATAATCACGATTTTTCTTTTTAACAGTAAAGCTCTGTTGTGGAGCACATTGACAAAAAAGTTTAATTTAATTCGATTAAAAGTTAAATTAAATGTTTTATGCCTTAATTTGATTGCCAGAAAAATTTAAATACACAAATTTAAAAAAATGACTAAATTTATAAATAATTTTTTTGTGAATTCAATTAGACTTTTTGATTATTAAAATTTTATTAAACCATTAAAATGGAATACAGAAAACACAGAAGTTGGTTGGCCAAAAAGTAAAACAGAATTTGAAGGAAAAAATAAAATTGATGTTAAATTGTATGTTTCATGATTTCAATTAATTGGACATGCTTTTTGATTACTACATTTGTTAAAAAAAAAATATGATAAAAGAAAAGATAAAAATATAAAATGGCTCTCATAGGGCCCTATGTACAGTATTGCTACAACAGTTTTTGACTGGATTAGCATGTTTGTTTATTTTATGTGTAAAACCCTTTCAGTTTGGGCTGTGATTAGACCCTGTGGAGCAGAGAAATGAATTCCATTATGCAGGATCGGAAAGGGAGAAAAGAGTGGATGAAGAATGGGGGGGAGAGAACAGTCTGGCACTGATTAAAATACTTTGGCCAAGGTGCCCTGTGTGTGTGTTTACACAGCTGGGAGATTCCCAGTCTGAAGCCTTCAGATAGCTCTCTTACTTTCTCATCATTTTGTGTCCAAGTGTGTTACTGAGGTTATTTTTCAGATTTACAAAAGCAGGTTAGGGATGTGCATATATATATTGTATAAACCAGTTGGTGGGTTATAGTGGAGCTAGTAATGAGGATAAAATTATAAATTATACACTGAACTTTGTAGCTGAGGTTACTGATGAAGTTGATGAACTGATGAAGTTTACTGTACTAATGTTAACTAACATCCCCTCAAAGAAGCGCATCACAATTAATTCCCCTTTAAATTTGTGATGAAACTGGAAATCGCAACGGTTCGATCGCTTCCTGGTGGCTGGCCTGGCCAGGAGGATAGGTCATAAACCCGCCCTCTCCATGTAATTGAATAGGACGTGAGCCAAACAATATAATACAATTAATTAATCCCAGAACATGGTTTCTGTCATTTTATGTAGTTCTCATCATCATGCTGACACATTCAAATTAGGGCTTAATTGCGATTTTTATTTTGTTTTTTACCAATATTGCAATTGTGATTTAATATGCGATTTATTTTTTAAGTTCTTTACCTTTTGTATTAGTCGACAAAGACACGCAATAAATCATTGAGCAGTAGGGATGGGAATCTTTAAGCAGCTCATGATCCGAACTACATTTTTTCTGATTAATTCATCTTAATAACACTTAAAATATGTATTTAATTTCATTTTGATTTTTATATTTTTGATATATAAGCCAACTGCATTCCAAAATACATAAATAATGCCTTTGTGGAGCATTTGTAAGGAAAATTACGGCGGCCAAGACCGCGCACTTCAAGCGTAACGTTATATCTCGCGCACTGCAAGCTTAACGTTATATCATCAAGTAAAGCGGCAAAACCTGAGCAGTGAAGCCCGCGAATGTCCTTGTAATTGGTCAAAGTGCAAGTTTATGAAAATGAAACCGCTATCAACTCTTGTGTAAATTTCAAAAACATGAATTTGTGAAAACGGTGACGTCATGCATATTACTTGTTCAGTCTATAGGTGTGTAGTGTTTCTTTAAAAAGTGGCATCGCAATACAGGCCTGGCAGCAGATTACAGTTTTTTTTTTTTTGGTTTTTTTGTGGATTCGTGAGACCAAGGATTATTTTGACACAAAAAACGCAAAGGAAACACTTTTCAATTTTTAGTACATTATTGTTGTATATGTACCCTAATATAAGTGATAAAGCTGGAATGGTCCTTCCTCTCCTCAGCAAGTTTTCTACAGGTCAGAAGCGATTCACTCAAATGTGTTTTCCTCTTTTTGTTTTCTTTTTTTTTTTTTTTTTTTTTGACAAGAAGCATTTTGTGTGTTTAGGACGATGAACAAGTCTTGTTTCTTTGTTGTTTCTTAGAGGTTGAAGGTTTTTTGTGTTGTTTTGCAGGAGTTTGAGGCTGGACGGCAGCTGACGGACTGAACCATGGCTCAGTTTCCCACGCCCTTCGGAGGTGAGTTGATGCCTTGACTGACTGACACATGCGTGTTTGTGTGATGAAGGGTGGTGGATATGTATTAAGTGCAGAGTGTGTTTGAAAAACAAAGAGAGAATGAATGCAAGTGAGTCAGTGAATGGAAGAGAAACGCCCTCACAGAACTGTTGTCACTTTGGTTAGCCGGCTTTTATGTGTGCATGTTTAATTTTCTGTTTTCATTTATGATTTTATATAGAGGGATCATTTAAGTCATCCAAATGATTTACATTTTTGAATATCATTTTTTATTACAATATTATGTAGAGCTGCAACAGTAGTAATCTATTGTAATGGAGTATACATCTGATAGTATCACTACGTTCAGTTGAGTGAACGTCTGTTGTTATTTTTTATGTTTTCAAAAATCTCAAAACTTTATATTTACAAAAGTCTTTGAATCCTAGTTTTTCATCTCACATATTTAGATGACACTGTTGCATTTTTGCTCAGTGTTGTTTTTTTACACAATTGAATGTCAGTAAGAGTTGGTTTGTGATTAGCTGTGCCCTGTTGCTTAGTGAAAATGTTAGCAGTTTGAACATGTTGAAGCATCATACTGATGTTTGTCTGTCTCTGTAGGGGGGTCGGAGACATGGGTAATATCTTTGGACGAGAGAGCCAAACATGACCAACAGTTCCACAGTTTGACCCCCACACCTTCTGGCTTCATCACAGGTAATCACCAGCTTTCTTTCTATGAGAAAAGGAAACAACTCTCATTAGCGCTGATGTTTGCTAGAACCCGTTTGTTTTGAGTTTGATGTTCTCTGAAATATGTAAACAAATCCTTTGAGTTCTGTGCAATCACAAACGATCACCAGCAGTGCAGTCAGTCATAAACCTGTGGTAGTCCGAATTGTATGCCTATTATTTTTATGTAGGTTACACAGAGAGAGAGCAAATAAAGTGAAAACAGAAAAACAAAAGCAACCACCTCTTTCCCGTCATCCTTATTTAAACACATCCCCCATGCTAATAAAAATTCCATGGATATTCTTCATGAGTTTTTTAAAACCATGCCACTTCCTGTTTTCTGCCCATAACGGGTGGATATATCTACTTGCATGGTCTGCGTCAACAAATTGGGTGCCAATGGTAGTGTCTGCTCACGTTGGCCGTGTCTGGGCAAAAAAGTTGCGTTTGAGCACATCGTAAAAACCACAGCTGACGGCCAGCTAGCATGTACATTTTGTCCCTGCGTGAGAGATAACTGTCCACAACAGAAGATGGCAGTAGTCTGTATTTCTCATTCAAAAAAGGGAACATGAATTAGTAAACAGCAGCTCTTGCTTTCCATTTTAATGAGTTAAGCTGCTAAGTTTGTCTCAACTTATAGAAATTAGGCTACAATCGCCAATGTCATTATGAAAATATTTGCATATTGGAATGCTCTAAAAAGAAGATTAAGGTAAGTTTATAAGCGCCTTCATTGTGTGCTCTCTTGTCTTTAGTGTTGCTTGCTTTGTAGGGCTGAAATAAAAATAAAAAATTGTCGACAAATATCGTTGTTGTCGAATAGTCGTTTGATCTCACATGACCTAATGTAAGGGACTGCTATGGTGCTGTGGCGCTAGACTGTAATACAGCCCTAAATGCTATTGCGGTAAAAGAAAAAACAGCGCGAATTATGACTAGCAAGGTTTGGGAACGTTTCACAAAACTTAAAACCAAGAATGCTGTCAAAAGGCGGAACTTGCTTTTCACGGGAGCACCACATGCATGTTGGAGCACTTAAAGAGGAAACATCTCAGCAAAAGTGGAGCCAGTGAGAATTTAGTGTTTTCCACCTGGAACTAACTAACTAGCAGCTAATCTCTTTATTAGATAATGCAATACTACTAATAATAGACCATTTCACAAGATGTAAACAACACTGGTCCAGAAGCACTTCCTGTTTCAGTTTTTTAACACTACATAAAAGCTGGGATAAAATACAACCAACAGAACATTTAAAACTGAATCAAAAAGTTAAACAAACATCTTTAAGATGTTTTCTTTACATGTGAAATAAAGAAAACAGTTACAAACTGAAACAGGAAGTGCTTCTGGACCAGTGTTGTTTACATCTTATGAAATGGTCTATAGTAATAATATTATCAATAATAATATAATTACAGTAATGTGATGATTTATTTTGCATAGAATAAAGCTTGATCGAGCTTAGGAGTCAGGGCTGTTTTTATTATTGTAACACTATTAGGTATTATAGTTTTATCACTCGCCTGTATTTTGTTCCATAATCAAGAAGACTTACAAAAGGAGATGTTAGGACGAATATCATGGCAGTTACTTTTTCTTTTTCATTCTGTAAATTAAAAGGTGAATGAGAACATCTCTGTCAGCTCAATTGTCATGTAAAAAAAAAAGACTGTAATAATTTTATATTTATAATAATGGTTTGCAGATTAATATTTTACCATCTTTGTGTCCTGAAATAAAAGGCCCTTTTTCTGTTTCAGCAGTGGTCCTATTAAACAATCCTTAGAGAGAATTTGTATGTGATTTTAGTTGGACTGAAATCTGAAAACTTACAGAGAATGACCTGTTTAGTTGGCGGAAAGTTCATTAAAACAACTATTTCAAAAGCTGAACTGAATTTCTTTTTTATATTATAGTAAGAATATGTATAACTCAGTGTTTTAACTAATTGAAAAAGCTGAATAATCGTTCCAAACTTAATGATTAGCCGGCAAAATAATCGGCGATTAGTCGATCAATCGTTAGATTAATCGATTATCAAAATAATCGTTTGTTGCAACCCTAGTGCTTTGCACTGTGTGTTCCAACAGTGTGTTCCTGTCGACATCCAGAACACACCGCAAAAAACTGCCGGCCAACCGACGCTCACCCACTGCCCGACATTGGCCGATGGAAAACCGTCAGCTTGGAGTGTCCTGCCCTTTAAGTACTATAAAAAACAGCCTGAGAACTGTTAATGGCCAGTCTCAGTACCTCCTCAGATGAAACAAACAAACTTTGCTGCTGACCTGCAGTAAAACCGTCCCATGTTTACATTAGTCTTGTGTAAACGTTTGCGCAATGCTGGTGTATTAGAGTTCAAATTCTGATTCCCTGCAAACATGTTCTGAAAGTTTTAGTTGTGAGTTGATAATGTACGTATATCGTAACAGAATCAGTGAGACAAAAAATACAGAGAAGGAAACAGATCAGGGTGTGACATGTTGCAGAAAAGCTCATTTCTCTGTCAAATTTGCTGAGACCATTTGTTTTTGGAGTCTCTAGTTGGTGCTTTCACGTTTTTTCCTGTTATAGAAAGCTGTCTTTCTCACCGGAGAGGAAAATGTTCATTTTCACTAGGCAAACTGTTCATACGTGCAATGAAAGAAGTGTTCATTGTACACAAAACACACTCCATGGTATTTTTGTACAACGTATGCCAATCCAAAGGGCCAATCAAAATCACAAGACTCGAACAGTAAAACCAGCTTGTCCCCGCTGGACTTTGGATGTCTACTGAAGAGATGGTACTTGTGAGTTTCCTGTTGACCAGTGGATCTCAAAGAGCCTCTTTGTGTTGTCTGAAGGGCGGCTGAAATAGTGAGTGGCCCACAGGCAGACGGAGCAGATTGAGTCTGTTTTTGGCTCTGAGAGTATAAAGGCGTTCTGTGTGTGTGCGCCGAGGAAGGCACCTGTTATCAAGGCGAAAAGTGTTTAGAGGAAGGTGAAAAGGTCATCCAAGCTGCTACATCATTTTGCTTCCTGCAGAGGGACAAACTCACACTCACATCTTTCAGCGCTTTGTGTGTTGGTTGGTAGGTTGTAAAAGGGGAGAAATGGGTTATCAAGGCTGCTGTGGTATTATTAGTTGACATTTGTCAAATCTTTCACTATAGTCTATGTATAAAAACAAGAAAAAAAGCAATAATAATAATGATAAATAAATTTAATAATAATAATAGTAAATAAAATAAATAGCACAGATAAAAGGGAAAGTAAATAACAATTACGGTACACACAGCAAGTTAGTCTCAGAGAAGACAATAAATAAACGTGTTTAGATGTTTAGAAAATGTTAAAAATGTTTAGACTTTACAGGACTAGTAAGTTTACACAGAGGTAAAGGACATAGTAGGAATTATTATTGTTTTTTGTTTTTTCCTGGGAGGGGGGTTGCATTAAAGGGATAAAGGGGTGGAAAAAAGGAACTAAAATGTCATTGTTAACACTGATGTTCACTGATGCTTTTGACTAATGTTCATGTTCAATAAAAAGCAAAATAAAATAAAAAAACAAGAAAAAAAAGCATTTTTTGTGTGTGCATGTTCACCAGTATATAGGCTGTCATGAGAGCAGGAATTCGGCTTGATTGGTTAGATAACATATGAGCACACTTTCTTTTCTTAGTCAAACTGTAGCCGTCAGGTCAGATCACTCGCCCCGTAGGGCAATGTCAGTCAAGTGCGGTCAATAAACCCTGAACATGTTTGTTGACAAGATGGTTTAAACAGGCTTACGTAACTCTTAATTATGTTATCAGTAAAACAGACCTAGAATAATTCAAATTGACATGAACTGTTCCATTGTGTTTGTTTATACAATGATGCACACAATACTGTTTATTTATTTAAACATTCGTTATTTTCCCTTCCTCTTTCTCTTTTTCTGTAGGTGACCAGGCAAGAAATTTCTTTCTGCAGTCAGGTCTACCTCCCCCCATCCTGGCCCAGATATGGTACAATTCCTAAATGACACATTCATTTCTAATCCAGAGCACTACATTCACAATCCACTACGTGCTACTGTTCAATAATTTGCATACACTGTAAGTTTACAGTAAATAAAACTGGTAGCTGTTGTTGCTAGAAATTCGCAGAAAAAATACATACACATCACAATGCTTCCAATGTTTTGGGATGCTTATATATTTATTAAATATCTCATTAAATAATACAAGGTTAATATACCTAAATCTTTTTTTGTTATCTTGAAAACATCGATAACCACCATAATAATATCTGTCCATAAGGCATGGACAAGGGTTGTCATGGTACCAAAATTTCAGTAATCGGTACCAATGCCAATAAAATTCCATGGTTCTCAGTACCAATTTTGGTACCATAGTTGGAACTATTATGCATTTATTTGCAGGCCTGTTAGTTTGCATTAACACCCTTAGACTTGATGCACATCTATTTTGACATAAAGTATAAGATTGTTTAATCCTTTCTATTGCTGTGGTTACATTGAAAATTCCAGAAACTGCAGTGTACTGAGGAGCATGGAAAACAAAACTTTTATTGAAATTGTTTATGGGTTTATGGCTCCTGTTTTGATCACTGAAGCTATCAATCATGGGTGCGGTGAACAAAAACTCTGGGGTTTTGAGAGGTGTTGAGTGGATTCTTACCTAAACATCTCTGATTGGCCATTGCGTTCACTTGCTCAACAGATGTGTATGCGATTGGCTACAATGATCAAATAGAAACCTTTGATGCTCATCACAGAGCGCTTACACGGATACACAAGAGGGCCTTGGATAACAGCCTTGTATCAGTGGGTACCGAATATACCCATTACTCAGTTCTACCGGTACATCAGAAAGGCTGGTATCGTCACATTATCTTGGTAGCAAAGTACTAGTACTTTTGACAACCCTACTCGTATATAGATGGTGCACAGGGTCATACACACAAAAACAAAACACCAGGATCACACACAACACTATCACTATTGCAAAATTATGCTAAATATCATAAAATGTAACATCACCTTAATGTTTCGCAGGGCTCTGGCTGACATGAACAATGATGGGAAGATGGACATGCTTGAATTTTCCATCGCAATGAAGCTGATTAAATTGAAGCTGCAGGGTCACCCCCTCCCACCTTCATTGCCCCCCGCCATGAAGCAGCAGCCCATCTCCATACCCCCGCAGCCTCCATTTGGTAAAAACACTCTCATTCTGATGGCTTAAAAACATTGGGACATATCAAATCTAGTTCAAGACCATTTAAATCAGTGGTTCTCAAGGGCCAGAACAAACATTGTCCACCAAAGTGTTGTTGTATGTCATTTATTGTTTGTTCTCCAAGAAAAACAATAGTTAATGAGAGGGTGAAAAGAATTGATACATATTTATATATACATTAATTCTGTTTGCGAACCACTGATTTAGATTAGACATCATTGGGTGGACTAGGTCTATATTAGAAAAGACTGAATGCTAAATGTAAACTTTTAGTCTAGATCAACTCTGGCCCTCAAGGTCCACTTTCCTAAAGAGATTATCTTCGACCCTAATCAAACACTCCTGAACAAGCTAAGCAAGGTCTTCAGGGTTACTAGAAAGCTACAGACAGTTGAGTTTGATCAGGGTCAGCTAAACTTTGAGGAAAGGAGATCTCGAGGGCCAAAGTTACCCAGCCTTGGGGCCAGTTGCATAAACTTAGCCACTATGTTAAGTCTTAAGAACTAGTTTGACCAACTAGCAGTAATAGGCGTAAACATAGGGGTAATCAGTCTTATACAAATTCAAATTAGACAAATATACCTTTTTATGTTAGTGACTTAAAAAAATTAGGACCAGTCTTGAAAAAAAAAAATTAGATGACTTACTTTTAAGACTTGTCTAAGCAGTTTATGCTTTATTAACTACATTAGACAAGACCTTTCTGCTAATGGCAGACCCCTTGTTCTGGGTGATGTCTTGGATCCTGGTTCAGTCACTCAAAGAATTAGTCACTCATTGAATCTTAGAAGTAAATTAAATAAGCAGTACATCAACATTATTAGCATATGTCATTTGTCCCACTATTTAATTCTATAAAAAATGTAATCAATTATGCCTTTGATTGCCATCTGCAGGGATGCCCAGTATGGGTGCCATGTCAGGCCTGCCAGCAGTGCCGCCAATGCCCCTGCCCCCTCTGCCTCCAGGAGTAGGCGTGTCTCCTCCACTGGTAGCATCGGTGACACCACCCCTCCCATCCCTTGCCAACGGAGCACCCGCTATGATACAGCCCATTAGTGGATTCACACATCCAGGTAACATAAATACACACTCACTCACACTACCCAGACCAGCTCATGCAGTTTATTTACTTTTGCTGGAAAATTTATGGGTGTTTCTCTTTCTCTCAGCTGCTGCACTCAACAAAACCTCTTCGTTCAATCGTTCCAGTATCAAGCTACAGAAGGTCCAGTCTGTAGAGGCACCCAGGTACACACACACACACACACACACACATACACTGTATTCGCAGACATTTCATAGATGTTAACAAGACAAACATTGTCTCTCTAGTGCTCCAGCAGCTCCTCCGCCCACTGACTGGGCCGTGCCTCAGTCCTCTCGGCTCAAGTACCGCCAACTCTTCAACAGCCATGACAAAATGATGAGTGGCTATCTCACAGGTATGGTCAGACGCATGACAAGCATTAGGCAATTGAACACATTTGTTGTTTGGCTCTTGTAGCCAGACCTTCAGACTGATGGACTCCATTGCAGCTTTCATTGGCCAAGGCCTGCCCAGAGGCCATCTGACTGAAATGTAAAGCAACCAATCATAGTTCGTTTTCTTAAGTGTCACGTTTAGAAGCGTAAACGTTGATGTCCCTACGATAACAGACTGGCGTGTAGAACTCTTGGACATATTTTAAAGAGTCTATCTATACTGTGAACTACGTCATTCTTCACATACTTTTGATTATCCAGCGTTTAGTTGATCCTGATACGTTTTTATTGTCACAGTTGTAAACACGGAGCTTTGGCATCAAGGCTGCTTTGTTGACAGCTACCTTGCTCACATCTTATTTATATATCTAATTTATACACTACAGAGCTGTATATTTAACAATGCAATTATATTTTGTCATTTTTAAACTTTAAACTTTCAAATAATCTTCTTTGTCCATATTTTCTTTAGAAAATATAATAATTTAGTTTTTAATTCAATGTATTTGACGAGCTCAAAGCTTTAGTGATGTGTCACAGTGATTACTTAGTACAGCTCAAAGCAAACAAAGGCTGCTGACTCAACATGCTCAACTCTCTTTTTCACTTCTGTTTCCTTTCTCTCTCTCTTTCTTTCTCTTCTGCCTTAGGTCCACAAGCCAGAACTATTCTAATGCAGTCCAGTCTACCACAAGCTCAGCTGGCCACCATCTGGTGCGGATCCAACACATTTTTCATATTGTATCTCCGTCTCGCATTTAAAAACTCAGACAAAGCTCGGAGTTCTGAAATGTGGATCAATGTAAACATAAGAAGTGGTGTCTGGTTATTGTTATGAATACATCCGATTTATTTTAACATGCCGTTCTTGGGATCTTTGTATCGCCTAGGGCCCTGTTTACACTTGATCTGTCTCTGGTGATCTGGTCACATGTGGACAGGAAAGATTAAATTGCTGTTTTGACTCCATATAACATCTGCTTGTTTCTCTGTGTAGGAATCTGTCAGATATAGATCAGGATGGGAAGTTGACTGCAGAAGAGTTTATTCTGGCCATGCACTTGATTGACATGGCCATGTCTGGTCTGCCCCTCCCCCCTTTACTGACCCCTGACCTCATACCTCCAACATTCAGGTGAGAGACTCAACCGGCAGCATAAATCTACAACTTCACATTTTCACTCATTTTATTCAAAGGTGTAGTACATTTATCAGCTTCAGTTTTAGTTGAAAAACAGCTGCTAATTTATTTGAAATTTAATAGTTAAGAAGTTTTATCTGTCAATCGTTACATTTAGAGGTCAGGTTGCACAATAATGTTCTAAATGCACTTGATTTCCGTCCTGTTTTTGTAGGAGAGTGCGTTCTGGTAGTGGTGTGTCTTTGACCAGTATTCATTCGGCAGACGTACGATCCCAGGATGAGCCTGAGGAGGAGGAGAAAGAGGCGGATAAAAAACTTCCAGGTCAGGGGATAAGAGTAAATACTGACCAGTTTTCAACTGATAAACTATTTGTCAGTGAGTTTTGTCTTACTGCACATTGTCTCAGCTGACATTGGTATTGGTGCATTTTGTATCTGGATAGTCTCTAACTGGATTTAGTGCTTTAAATTGCATTAACACCTTCCAATGCAATGATCTGGTCCATTGAGTTCGGAGATCCAAGAGATCTGATGCCACATTCCGAGACAGAAGGAAAACGCCACAGGTTTCGTGAATTGTAAATATTCCACCATTAAAAGACCTTAAACATTTTGATGGATAATTTAGAGCGCTTTCCCTTATTTTGGCTGATAAAATATCAGGTTTCTAGTTTAGTTGCATCTACTTTACATACATTACCACTGAAAGTGATGCTAATAGGCAATAGAAGTCAAGAAAATGTCTGAAAGATGTTTTAAAGTTATTCTCTCTAAATAAAGTCACCCTGATAGAGATGTGATTGAGGATCTAGGGAGATTAAAATCCAAGTATAGTCCAGTTGAATAATTCATCATGAGATATTGTTCTTTTATTTGACCAGATCAGAAGACATACTAAAAGTAGAGCATGACGGCAAATTTACAACCCAACCTGTCAAAGTGAGAGTTAATCTTTTATGTGTAGTGCAACCTTTTACATATTACTTGCATAGTTGTGTATGGTTAACAAAACTACATTGGCATGTATTCATTTTCAGTGAATGTGGTCAGAAGCTATGATGACCACCTCTGAAACTGGTTTCGGTGATCCCAATCCTAATTCTATTTACATGTTAATGCTGGGTGTAAAATGGGGGTCTAAGATTTCTATAAGTCTTTTGAAACATTTAAATGTTGAATGTAAATATCTTAATTCCTCCCCGCAGTCACATTTGAGGATAAGAAACGAGAGAACTTTGAGCGTGGGAACCTGGAGCTGGAGAAACGTCGGCAGGCGTTGCTTGAGCTGCAGAGGAAAGAGCAGGAGCGACTGGCGGCGCTGGAGAAAGAGGAGCAAGAAAGGAAAGAAAGAGAACGAATGGAGCATGAGAGACGCAGACAGCAAGAGCTGGACAAACAACTTGAGAGACAGAGAGAGCAGGAGCGACAGAGGGAGGAGGAGAGACGCAAGGAGATCGAGAGAAGAGAGGTGCGTTCAAAAATTCAGTGCATGTTTAGCACTATCGACAGCATTTGTAACCCTTTGAGTGTGTTTTGTTTGCGAAGGCTGCTAAACGGGAGCTGGAGCGTCAGCGGCAGTTAGAGTGGGAGAGATCGCGCAGACAGGAGCTGCTCACCCAGAGAAACCGAGAACAGGAGAACATCGTCCTGCTAAAAGCACGCAAGAAAACACTCGAGTTTGAACTGGAGGCTCTGGTACATTAAACTTCAGTGTTTTAAACAGATTTAAATATGCAAGCAGATGTCATCACATTGATAAAGCAGTTAAAAAATCATGTAGACTAATTTTAAAGTTTTCATTTGTGATTTGTGTACCTTTAGTGGCACCAAACGGAATTGTAATCTATTTGAGGGGCCCGATGTGAGTTTAATAGATTGACTTGTGTTCTTTTTTGGCTCTTATCTAGAATGATAAGAAGTCTCAGTTGGATGGTAAACTGCAGGACATTCGTTTCCGTCTCTCGGCTCAGAGACACGAGATCGAGAGCACCAATAAGACGCGAGAGCTCCGCATTGCAGAGATCACCAGCCTGCAACAGCAGCTGCAGGTGTGCACTTCTTCCCTTTTCTCTCTTTCCTCATCTCTCCCTTCTTTGGCTTCATTCAAAAGCATCATCAGCGTCCTTTCAGCTTTCACTCTATTTGAAAAGGTCTCTCCTCTCCAGTTTTGGTGAGTGTGTGAAAGAGAAGAGGGAGTTTAAACCCCTCATAAGCTGACAAGAGCTTTAGACTAGATGTCTTCTTTTTTTATGTATATGTATACACAACATATGAGTTTTAAAGGGGTGATGAACTGAGAAATCTAATTTTCCTTGAGCTTTTGACATCTAAGAGGTCATCATATTATAAGAATATCCTGTACGTTTCAGAACTGAAAACGTCCTTGTTAGTCCAATAAAAGCTTTTATTGACACCAGGCTCAGCAAACGACTTGTTTTCAAAGTGGGGAACTATGAAGACAAAGAGGATAAAATATTACATGCATAGCTAAATAACATACAGTAGGCCTACCTCGTGATGACAAACCGGGTCGAGAGTGAAACTCATTATAATATGCAAAACTGTTATCCACTCACAGCAGTGGGCGTTTACTTCCAAGTCTTCAGTGCGAGACGCCCATAAAAACCGAGCATTTTTGAGCTGGGCTCAAAACTAGGGTAGAAAATAGCCTATTGCTTGTTTTTGAATGTAAAAACCAGGCGAACGTCATAAGTTGACCTCACATAACAATATAAAAAAATGTAAAAAGCCAGTTCATAACTCCTTTAAGTTGCATTGTACATAAGCCTTTCAAAGTAATCAGAGCATTTTGTGATTTTTCTCTCTCTTTTGTGTCCATTAGGAGTCTCAGCAGTGGTTGAGTCGGTTGATTCCTGATAAACAGTGTCTGAATGACCAGCTGAAGCAGGTTCAGCAAAACAGTCTGCACAGTAAGAACACTTTCCTCAACACTGCTTTAAAGACCCAAAACTCTAGACTAGTCTTTTTGGCGCAACCACGAATCCAATTGACGTATGTATACACACACACACACACACACATATATATATATATGTTGGATTTCAGAGATTCAGTGAAAATTAAACCTGTTTTGTGGTGGCAACCGAGGTACTCTGTTAAAATGTTCAAATTCTCTCTGAGATTAAAGTTGATCAACTGCTTATAATTCAGGACCAAGGTGTGTTCAAAGTCCTCGCCCTCAGCACGCCCAATTAAAGCTTTAGCAACTTTTAAGGAAACAATGTACTATAATCACTGTAATCTGTAAAAGTAGTTGCTGGCTGGTCACATCTGGCACTGCAAGAACAAGTTTACAAACTATTAATTGAACACAAAAAACGCATCTTAGGTCACAGACTGAAAACATTCATGATCTTATAAACTACGTCATCAGATTGGTGAATTAGGCATTATTTGAACAATATTACTATTTATTTTGCACATTGAGATTTTTTTTTTTTTTTTGTGATTGTATTGATGGAGAAAACTTCCTTTTATTTACATCAGTGTAACAGTGAAGAATAAAGCTTTTCTTTTTGCAGAAGGGTTCATGAGGATGTTAATATCTCAGAAATGTTCTTTAATAGCTGTCTGTTTATTTCTACTTTGTAGGAGACTCTCTGTCCAGTCTTCAGAGGGCCATTGATATGAAGGAATCCACCAAACAGCAGCTGAGAGAACAGCTGGACGCTGTGGAGAAGGAGACACGCTCCAAACTATTGGAGATAGATGCCTTCAACACACAGCTGAAGGTACTGAAGCCCTGAAATACCTAAACACACAAAAACACATACAAACAGTCAGTCCTAGAGGTTCAATACTTTTATATTTAGCATTGTGTGTGTGTGTGTGTGCAGGGTGCAAAATTAACATTTGTGCAAAATCCAAGTAAAAATTGTCTTTGGTGAATGAATACAATTCATGTAACAGTATGAAAAATATTAGGGGAAAAATCCACTCACCTTTGACTGGAGAAGCAATGTGTTACTTTTGGACCTTGTTTGTGTGTCTGTACAAATGATAGAGGAAGTAAGAGAGAGTGCATATTGAGATCTTATTGACCTTCCACCCAAACATACATGCAATGTATATGATAAAACCAACAGAACACACTTAATTTTGCCTTAATGTGCCTTCATTCAGAATGAGACAAAGAGAGAGTGTGTGAGAGAAAGTAGAAGCATTTTCACAACATCACACAATCTCTTGTTCCTCACTGTATCTGCCTGCTGCTCACTTTGTCACCCCATCCCTCGTCTTCCCCATCATCCTCCATTCATCCTGGCCGAATCCCTCTCAACTCCCCCCTCCGCCGTGTTATACGACTTGGCTGGTCCTCTATGTTCTGGCTTGTTCCGCTTGATCCCCGTGGTGGGACAGTCCTTGGGGCTGTTCTATCAGACCCAGGCTGTCAGGATGGAGAACCTTCAGTCGGAGCTACTAATTGAGGAGGAGAGGGAGCGACAGGTAGACAACCTGAAAATGCTGCTAACCTTCCAGAAAACTACCACCACCAAACTGTGTTACCCTCTACTCACAGCACTGTGCTCTCTGTTGCCCTTCATGAAGGGTAGTTAGGTAGCACACTTCCAGTTGTGTCTTGTCTCGACTACTTCCCTTTACTAAGTCATCAACAGGGTTCAACTATAAGGATATTTTATCTGCTCAGATTTTGCCCCAGTCGCATCTTCATTATGGATGACTAATAAAATACTTAAAATAATACAAAAAACACTTAATAATAAGTATTACTTTATAACAGTTAATAAATAAAATACTATAACAGTCGCAGGATACATGTAATGATCTAAAATCGTTCTCTTTTGATTGAGTCCTGTAACGAACCATTGGAAAACCAATCCCTCCAATTTTTTGCGATTCCATGATCATGGAACACAATGCAAAATCAAAATGTTTAATTTTTTGCTATACAGGCATAATTAGCCATTTAACAGCAATTAGTTGCAAAAGCCCTGTACTACATACGATTATTGACAGGTTAGTATAATAAATAAGTGATCAAATTAAGCAAATGTGCGGTTGAATGTTAAAAAATATAGTAAGTGCAATAGTAACTGCGTGTACGCAGAGAGCTGACTGGCACATCCGCTTCAATGGTCAAATGCACACAAGTTGCTGTATTTACATATGTAAAACACCAAAAAAGTCCTGGCGGGAATAGAAAAGATGATGTGTGCCAGTTATCATGTTAACAGGTGTGTATATGTAGGATGTGCTCTTGTTTTTTGGTTCGGACATACACTAGACACAACTCTTTGGTCATTTTATCGCGTCTCGCTGTTTTTTTGTGCATCTTCCGCTTGATCGTACTGAAGTCTTTCGTACTGACCCTGTCTTTATTGTCGAGCCCTGATCGATAATATTCCTGAAATAATCAGTTTGGAGAATTGTTTTCCTCAAGCCTGTAGCTTGCACTAATTAACAGAGCAATGGGCTTCGCTGCTCTGCTTTGGTTAATATTTTGTGTAGTCCGTTTGTCTTACACTCCATACTTAAAATGATTATTAAAGGAGTTGTTCACTTTTGAACAAACTTTTGCTGATAATTTACTCACCCCCATGTCATCCAAGATGTCCACGTCTTTCTTTCTTCAGTCGAAAAGAAATTAAGGTTTTTGATGAAAACATTCCAGGATTTTTCTCCATATAATGAACTTCAGTGGGAACCAGACGGTTCAAGGTCCAAATAAAGGGCTTTAAACGATTCCAGATGATGAATAAGGGTCTTATCAAGGGCAATGATCGCTCATTTAATAAATAAATAACAAAGTTTAAGTTTTATAAGCTCAAATGCTCGCCTTGCTCTGTTATGTGACGCTTGTTTGTGACTCTCCTGTTCGTTCATCAAAATTAACAAATCTTTTTCCAAGTCATATGGTTCATTGAACAAACGAAACGAATGAAATGATTCTGAAAAGGATTCGTTCAATTTGATGAACGAGTTCGAACAGGAGAGTCACAAACGTGCATCACAGAACAGAGCAAGGCGACCATTTGAGCTTTTAAAACTTAAACTTTTTTTTTTTTTTTAAATGAGCAATCGTTTCGCTGGATAAGACCCTTATTCATCGCCTGGAATCGTTTAAAGCCCTTTGAAGCTGAACTGAAACTGTCTTTTGGACCTTGAACCGTTTGGTTCCCATTGAAGTCCATTATATGGAGAAAATCCTGGAATGTTTTCATCAAAAACCTTAATTTCTTTTCAACTGAAGAAAGAAAGACATGGACATCTTGGATGACATGGGGGTGAGTAAATTATCAGAAAAAGTTTTTTTTTTTTAAAAATGAACTACTCCTTTAACTTTAAGAAGCTCTGCATTGGGTAGAGCTGAGTACACATTAGTACAGAGTGCAAACAGTGATGATGATAACAATGATGATGGTGGTGTGACCGTATGGGTGGCTCTGTGTCTCTTGCAGTCAGGGAGCTCTGTGGACGAGGTGCTGTTGGACTGTCTCGCAGCACTGCTGGCCTGTTTGAAGCATATACACTTCTACTTCCAGGTCATCCCTCCCCCTCCCCCCTGACCTTTGATTTCACCCCACACCGTGTCCCCTGCTCGTGTGTCTCACTGCACCTCCTCCAGCTCCCTTTGAGAAGCCCGTCAAAGGCAGCGTTGTAGCTATTCTAAACCTTCACGTATCGGTAGAAAGCTATTCCTTTTTGCTCACTGATCTAAGGCCGGTCTTTAGATCAGCGTAATTAACGCCTACGTTTGATCGTGCTGCTTTTTTTCCAAGCCATGTGCGTCAGTTAATTCCAAAAACAACCTTGTGCATGAACCTGGACTTCCACGTTTTTTTTAGGGATACATTCTTTGAAGTGTTTTCTTGAAAAGCTTAGCAGCTATTACATCAGTTGTTTTACTGTCGTTTTACAATGCTAGTCACTTAAGGAGAACATCATTTTGAAGTTTCCAGAATTGTGCCCAAAACATTTTCAAAATCGAGTAACTACGGTAGCAGTAAAGCAAAACTGTGCATCCTCAGGAATTCATTTGCACCAAATTTGAGACATTTGGAATGTTGTTTTCCAGTGTTTTGGTTTATTTATTTATTAAAAAATATTTATTAATTTAAATACTGAATAATTCATTATGGAATTCAAACACTCTTCAGAAACTTACATCATTTGAAAGAGTTTTTTAGTGCAAATATATATATATTTTTTTCATATTATTTAGTTACATTGGTCTTGGCGTGGTCAAGAATACGCTGTATAGACTTGCCCAGGAGAAAAAGTAAATTTAAAAAATGGTGGTATTAACTAGAAAAACGTTGTCATTGAACTTGTTTGCAGAAGCATTCTTCAGTGTGTGAATTTACAAATGCATTAGAAATTGCACGTCTGGTTCATGAATCTAAACACTCACATCCGTTGGCACTGCTTTGGTGTGTGTATGCGTGTTTTGCACTCGAATGGCTAACTCTCTCTGTTTTTCTAGAGTCTGTCTATTAGCAAACCGCTTGCAGTGATCTTTCCATAATAGCTCTTATGTAAATTGTGCTTATGTGACATTAATTTTTGAACAGAAATGTAACTTCAATAAGGGATCCCAGAGCTTATAAGTAGATGCTATGTATAGATCTGTCATTTTAATATTTTTATATATATATATATATATATATATATATATATATATATATATATATATATATATATATATATATATATGACTCCTCTACCGTATCCAGATGGTGTTCTAAAGAGCTTGCTTATTGTTGGAATAGGATGGCATTACATAAGCAGCAGTGTTTCCATTGGTCTGCTGAAACGGTCCTCTTTTCTTGAGATTTCCATGTTTCCTCTCGTGACTCCAGTGGTTCATGTGAAGTTATCAAGCAGGCATTGCAGCCTGCCATCATGAACACGATCGCCATGCATTTTGCACCACGTACCATGCAAGTGTAGGATTTATGCATGCAATCTTTAAATATAAGTGTTTATTAGTCAGTTTTTACATCAGTGGGTCATTTGCCATTTATTAACATTATAAACATTTACATAAATAATACATTCAAGCACAAAAATTGCATATGCTATTTTTTATGGTTTCTTTTTTAAATATTTAAAAAGTTTAGAGAGAGCAGGGAGTTTTGAGTAATTTGGAATAGACTCTAGACACTTTTAATATCAATACTTTAGTAAGATGGTCAGAAATAATATAATTGAGACAGATCGTCCAGACAGCACTTGCAGGGCGCAGATGTGAACGTGTCGAGTGTGTCTGAATGTGAAAGAGTGCAAACAGAGCCCCGTTGCCCCCTATATTCCCCCTTACCTGTCCTCCAATATCCCATCATACATTGCAGGAGCTGAGAGAAATCCACAACAAACAACAGAGGCAGAAACAAAAGGAGCTGGAGGCTGACATCACCCAGCCGTCACATGACAGGAAGTCCACAGAATTACAAGAGTCTAGGTATTTTAATGCTCTTCTATGGCTATTCTTTGCATCACTTTAACTTTTTTAACAGGCATTCATTTTGTCTCTTGCTTTCCTCCAGGTTGTCAGGGGCAGATGATGGTGTGTCTCCAGCATGGAGAGACGATGGGCTGGGTAAAGCCCCCACCCCTCCTATGCCTCAGGCCTGGATGAGCCGAGTGAGTGAAGAGGAGAACCACAGCAGAGGTGAAATTCAGGAGAACCTCTCCAAACTCTTCACGCAGCATCCGATACCGGGAAAACTACAGGCTCATTCCCCCTGGTCTATGACAGGTGAGGGAAAACTAGATTGTAGAACCAGACAGGAATTGGATTAGTTTTGCAGAGTTTTTTTAACAATATTGAGATGTTTTAGGCCAGGGTTCCCCAAATTCGGTCTTGGAAGGCCACCGTCCCTGCAGAGTTTAGCTCCAACCCTGATCAAACACACCTGAGCAAGCTGATCAAGGTCTTCAGGATCAGTAGAAACTCACAGGTAGGTGTGTTTGATCAGGGTTGGAGCTAAACTCTGCAAGGACAGTGGCCCTCGAGGACTGACCCTAAATGGCATAAATCGACTTGACTCATGTTTTTGTGTTATAGATAAGATCCCAGTGTCTGGTTTTAATCAGGAGAAGGTAAAGGTGGTCTTCTATAGAGCACTGTATCCCTTTGAGGCCCGCAGCCATGATGAGATCACCATCATTCCTGGAGATATAGTGATGGTAAGCCAACTGAGTAGAATGATTTCGAAAGGATCTTGTGAATGAAGACTGGAGTAATGATGCTGAAAATTCAGCTTTTAAAATCAGTTACATTTTAAAATGTATTCAAATTGAAAACAGTTATTTTAATTTGTAATGTTTCACAATATTTTGGTGACATAAATGAGTATATATATGAGTATACATCGCAGGCGCAGAACAACTAGAACTAGAGCAGTATAATGAGTACATATGGTAAAAATATACTGGTGGAACACATTTAAACATAACTAGTATTACTTAAATCCTACAAAATTAAAAGGAAGTAACTAATTTATTATGAATAGAATAGTTCAATATAAAATATCCAGATATTATAAACTGATTGATGAAGTAAAGCAATGCATGAGATTGAAAAATTATTCAGCAACAATGCACCTACAAGTTCATCTTAAAGTTAACGAGTGTGTTTTGTTTACTATATTTAACTATCAAAATAGTTTACCAAATAAATAATTTGCCAAATAAAATAAAAATATAAATCAAACAAGGTGAAGCACTAAAGTATTTGGGTTTATTTATTGTACAAAGCCCCTTTTGTCGATTTTCCGAGGATAGCTACATATATAAATAATTATATCATGAAATATATCGTTACCGTGAAATAAAATTAGTCATACCGCTCACCCCTATAAATGAGCATAAGAGACTTCTTAAAAAAAACCATAAAAAAATCTTGCCAACCACAAACTTTTCAATGGCAGTGTATATAGATAATTTAAAACAACAGTTAATCCAAATATTATATTATTTTACAGTAATTGAGAATAGAAGAATCTTATCAATAACATTCTTGGGAAATCCGAGGATTAGTTTTAAGTCCTGGAGTGTGTGTTGTGTGCTTGTCAGAGAGTGTGCGATTTGTTTCTTCTTCATGTGAAAGAGAGAATGCATGTGTACAGTTAGTGTGCACATTTACTGACCTCTGACCCTGCCTCTGTCCTCCCTTTGCTCACTCTGCCTGAAGGTGAAGGGAGAGTGGGTAAGTTGAGGTTTTCTGCTCCTCGTTAACGTTAATTTGTTTCTAGTTTGTCTTTGTCCTTGGTGGTTTTCTGTATTGTTCATCTGTCACTGGGCTAAAACACACCCTGTACAAAGATCATAATTTGTGTGCGTCTTTTGCTAGATTTCTGAGGCTTTGCTACATATGGCATAAGCTCACTCGGAAAGGCAATCAACATGAGTCCTTTATTTTGTTATTTGTTATCACTTTGTTTTCTGATTCTTGTGTTTGTATTCAGATCTCTGATGCATATCACAATGAAAATCCTGTGGTTCCATGTGATTTTTTTTTTTTTTTTCTCCATCACTCACTTATTTTAGATTATTGTTTTGTGTCCTTTCACATCCTGATTCCGAGTATCTCGTTTGCTTTCTCTTTTCAGGTGGATGAGTCTCAGACCGGTGAACCTGGATGGTTAGGAGGAGAGATCAAAGGGAAGACCGGCTGGTTCCCTGCCAATTATGCAGAGAAGATTCCAGAATCTGAAGTTCCTCTCAGTTTGAGGACTAGCGCTGCTTCTAGTTCCACCCCTAAATTGGGTTCCCATATATCATCCACTTCTTCGTCGACCACAACCACACCCATACAGCAAGTCTCCACAGAGCATGCATCGATAGCCCCGCCCTCCTCCGCCCCTCCCCCTCCATGCCCCACCTCCTCCTCTTCCTCAACATCCAGTAACTGGGCAGATTTCAGCACTACGTAAGTAGTTTGTCCGTGACTAAATATTTACAGATACCTTTTCTCAGTTCAGGCAGAATATTGCCTGAGTTTTATCTGCATCCATTTTTATTCTGTGCTCATGTGACTTTAGATGGCCATCTAATTCTGCTGGGGAGAAGCAGGACAGCGATGGATGGGATGCATGGCCAACGCAGCCCACTCAGCCGTCCCTGTCAGTGCCCAGTGGGGGGCAGATCAGACAGCGTTCTGCTTTTACCCCTGCCACGCTTTCCGGGTCCTCGCCCTCACCTGTTCTCGGCCAGGTACGCATATGAGATTCCCTCTCAAACACTGCTCCTCTCCATGAATTGATCATTTACAGTCAGATTCTTAATTGTTAATTTTTATCATTAAACTAGAAAGAGTTAAAAAAAACAGAACACATTTATCTCAATATGCCATAACCCTCAAAAATTATTTAAAAAATAAATAAATCCATGTACATGACATTTAGAGAAAGAGATAGTAAAATAGATACAACACATGGTTGCCATGGAAACACTGCACCTTGTGATCTCCGTAGCTCTCACACTTGTCGTATTAATGACTTTTACGTGAAAACGGAGGTGATGTGGTTCTCACGGTGGTGATTATTATTATTATTATTAATGCCGGGACTTTAAGATGGTAGTTATGGTTAGGTACTGGGGTCTTTTTGTAAAACTAATCTTTTTGGTGGTTTCATTTTGAAAACTCTCGTTCTCATTTCTAGGGTGAAAAGGTGGAGGGTCTCCAGGCACAGGCTTTGTACCCATGGAGAGCAAAGAAAGACAATCACCTGAACTTTAACAAAAATGACGTGATCACCGTACTGGAGCAGCAGGATATGTGGTGGTTTGGAGAGGTGCAAGGGCAGAGAGGCTGGTTCCCAAAATCTTACGTCAAACTAATATCTGGGCCCGTCCGGAAATCTATGAGGTGTGTATCTTTGCGATTTATATTGGTTATTGGCTACTATTAGGGATTTTTTTTTTTTTTTTTTTTTTTTTCAGGGAAAATATTAATGCCTAAATTCCCTAAGTTAGCCTATTAAAATGTTTGTTTGTTTTTTCAGTTTTCAGTGAATGTGCAAAATATCATAGATTTTTAATGAAATGATATTTGTAATATCGTTTATTACTTTTCGAGCTTTGCACAATAGACACAAACAAAAAGCCTTAGAAAAATGGAATTTAATTAAAAGTCATGGTGTTTAATTGAAAGGGAAGTTCATAATAATTGATATTTGTGGTTATATTCACTTTAATCCAGACTCTATTTTATAGTACCTGTTGGCTTTTATTCCTAAGAGTGTGATGTTGAATGCTTGGTTTGGTGTTTCATTCAGACTGTGATGTTGAGTATATGAATGCTGTTGTTCTTTTTCAGTATTGAGTCTGGCTCTTCGGACAGCCCTCCCAGTGTTAAGAGACCCAGCCCCTCTCCAAACAAACCCACGGACCTCGGAGAAGGTCAGAAAACCAGCGACGCTCAATGGATCATCTGTAACTTCCTCTTTCATCTTAATCATTTTGTATCTGAAAGTCTTTGTGTGATTTTGTCTATCACAGAGTATGTGGCCATGTATACGTATGAAAGCAGTGAGCAGGGTGACTTGACCTTCCAGCAAGGTGATGTCATCACGGTCACAAAGAAAGAAGGAGATTGGTGGACTGGCACTGTGGGCGGGAAGACCGGAGTCTTCCCTTCAAATTATGTCAAACCTAAAGATTCAGAGGTAATGGCTTAGAATGCAGTTTATAAGCAGTACTTTCCATGTAAATACAATGGCATGCTAAGTTATTACTGTAGTCAAAAACCAACTAGACCAGTACAACCATAGCATTCTTTCCACTTATTTTCTAGGGTTTGGGATCTGCTGGGAAAACAGGAAGTTTAGGGAAGAAACCAGGTGAGCTATCTCAAATAATAATAATTAAACATCAGTTTTGTGACCTTCATCATAACTTTAGAGCATAACAGCATTTTATTAGAGATCAGTCCAATGCTTCAGCTCTCCTCTCCTTTTACCTGTTCTCCAGAGATTGCCCAGGTGATCGCCCCTTACACAGCCACCGGGGCGGAGCAGCTCACCCTAGCACCAGGCCAGCTCATTCTCATCCGCAAGAAAAACCCAGGAGGATGGTGGGAAGGAGAACTTCAGGTCTGAAAAACACACTTGGAGACGTGCCATTAAAGGAGTAGTTCACTTTTTAAAAAAAAACTTTTGCTGATTATTTACTCACCCCCATGTCATGCATGATGTCCATGTCTGTCTTTCTTCAGTCGAAAAGAAATTAAGGTTTTTGATGAAAACTTTCCAGGATTTTCTCCATATAATGGACTTCAATGGGAACCAAACGGTTCAAGGTCCAAATGAGAGTTTCAGTGCAGCTTCAAAGGGCTTTAAACGACACCAGACGATGAATAAGGGTCTTATCAAGCAAAACGATCGGTCATTTAAAAAATAAATACGTTTTATAAGCATAAATGCTCACCGTGCTCTGTTCTGTGATGAGCGTTCGTGACTCTCCTGTTCAAACTCGTTTCAAGTCATGACTCGAAGGGTCCTAGATAAGACCCTTATTCATCGTCTGGTGTCGTTTAAAGCCTTTTGAAGCTGCACTGAAACTCTCATTTGGATCTTGAACCGTTTGGTTCCCATTGAAGTCCATTATATAGAGAAAATCCTGGAATGTTTTCATCAAAAACCTTAATTTCTTTTCGACTGAAGAAAGAAAGACGTGGTCATCTTGGATGACAGTAAATTATCAGCAAAAGTTTATTTAAAAGTGAAATACTCCTTTAAATGCACCCACACTTTCTACCACAGCAACACGCACCTTTAGTTACATTTACTTTTTGTACTTTGATTTACTAAATGTTATGTTTTTTGGTGATATGATATTGTGATAACAGTGAGATATCGTTTTTATTCAGATTGAATGCTACATTTTTACTTCAAATTAATTTTAATGGCCCACTGCTACTGATTTCTGCAGGCAAGAGGAAAGAAGCGTCAGATTGGCTGGTTTCCAGCTAATTATGTAAAATTATTGAGCCCCAGCACCAGTAAGACCACACCCACAGAGCCCAACCCACCCAAGCTGCCAACACCCAATGCAGGTATATTTGAGTTTGTCGAGTTTGAACATGTTGTCTAATGTAATGTAGTAAAGAGCTAGGTTAACCTACACATCATTAACAAGTTTGTTTTAATAGTATTTGCATGTTGTCGTGGTTGATAAATAAAGGTAATCTACTAAATACATATACATTATACATGTATATTCCCCTCCATAGTGTGCCAGGTGATTGGCATGTATGACTACACAGCTCAGAATGACGACGAGCTGCCTTTCGGGAAGGGCCAGATCATCAATGTTTTGAGCAGAGAGGATCCTGATTGGTGGAAAGGAGAGCTAAATGGTTCTGTTGGCCTTTTCCCATCAAATTACGTCAAGATGACCACCGACACAGACCCCAGCCAACAATGTGAGTCCAGAATGTTCTTTTTGTATCTTATACACACGCTCACACTGAACTTCTCTCTATCCTGCTCGAAAACAAAACACAGAAAATACGATTGTGAAAATTCATGTACCCCTGTGAAATGAATTGGCTTGAAGCGTCACTGATAACATCCAGTACCAGTGTGATCTAAAATACCTCATAACAATCATTTCTTTCACATCTTTGAGGACCTTCTCAAAATTAGTTTTAGTTATGTCCTCACAGTGTGGTGAGTTATAGTGTCCACTGTCCAGTTCTTATCCTCTGCTTACAAGCAACCTCTCACCTCATGTTGTAGAGCATTAAGTAGAATCTCTCTCTCTCTCTCTGCATGCTTGTGTCCTTGTCATTGTGGCGTCCTGTGAAGAGTGTCTTGCCAGAGTTCATTTAGTTCTCCTAGCTCGTAAAGATTTTTTGCACATTGTGGTTTTTCTTTTCTTTCCTTTTTTATTTAGATTTTTTTTTCTTTTTTTGGCTTATGTGCTGTGTTTTCCTCTTTCTAGGACTCTTATGTTGCCCATATCCCACTCAGCCTTGAAAGTCCTCAAAGCGACCCACTATCCCTTAAACTGTGTCCAGCGGGATGATGGGAGATGGAACATTGATCATGTGACTGCCCCCCCCCCCCTCACAGCTGGCTTTGTGGCCAGAAGAGACGAATACTACAGAAAGCAGTCGTTAACCTCAATATTCAGAACCGTAGACGCTCACCAAAATTGCCAGCCAGCATCCTCCGCATTAAAGCAATTAAATAAACAAGAATGCCTAATATTTTTAAGGATATCCTTACAAATTCATGAAATTAATCATTCACACTGAATTTGTACAATGAATCGAAACACTAATCGAATGAAAGTGCTGGATAGTGGGTCCTTTTGTGGCTTTCTGTGATCTCGCCCCAAAGCCTGTTGGTTAAAAAAAGCAACCAATTTTGAAGCAACCAATCAAAATGGTTCCATTCAGTGTTAAGTTCCACCGCTTCATCCAACTAATGCACGCTTTTCGCTCCACCGAGCCCCGCCCCCATGGTTTCTCAATGGACCATAGCACCACAGAATGACCCACTATTCATGAGTCATGACGTAAGGGGTGCAGTATCAAACGTGTCATAACATGACGTGCTTTTTAGTGTCATTGCCAACTCATCAAGGCTCTAATGTGTGGAATTGAGAGAGCGATGTGTACAGCATATCCGACCAATTGAAATATCAAGATGTCATTTTTTTTTGGTTGCCAAAATGTGTCTAAAAAGTGAAACCAAGTATTTACCATGCCCCCAAGTGGTCGGATATGTGTGGACTTCGTGTAGAATACTATTGTTGTGTGTCATTCAGAACCACCCCTCCCCCCCTCACCCCTTCCAATACACACAGGCGCTGTCAGTCAATTTGACGGACAAGATGGACGTCTCCGTTCATCCGGTCCAGTCACATGCCTCTCTGTGTCATTGTTTGTTACATGTTCATACCAAAACAGTGGATGGATTTATTTGTGTGCTTGCTAGTCTCTTGTTTTGTTCTTTGGTTTGTTTTTCATTTCGATTGTTTCGTTGTGTCTGTGATGGGGTTGAGAATTGGTGTTGCAAACCAAAAAACTGCACAACTGCCACTTAAGGTTAATGGTACAGTGATAGACAAAGTGCGTACATGTACAGGATAAAATGTTGCTGTAAGGGACGTACTTGTGAACGGTTCCCTGACATGATTGGGTTTTTTGGGGGTTCATCGCTTGTACAATTGTATTTCCCATATACGTAGATGGATGAATGCTTTTGTTTTGTATTCTCAATCGTTTGCTGTCATCATTCTGTCATGTTGATTGAACTTGCAATTATTTTTGAAATGTTGTTGATTTGAGAATACTAGATTTTAAGTTGTTCTTGATACAACAGCTCACTATTTTTATAATGATCAAAAACAGTTATGCATAGTGTGTGTAAAAAAAAAATCCACTGCAGTATGTGTCCGTCCTTTGTACTGGAAAACATACAAAGTACAAGTAGTGAGTAGAGAGCATTTAGAAAGTCCAAATTTTATGAGATTTAATTGTCATGCTTTGACTGAAACCCTAAATTGCATTACGGAAAGAGAATAACATACTGAATATAAGCTTAATACCCTTCTAATTACAAATGCTTATGAATAAATAGATGTTTACAAATGCAACATGAAAGACTGGAATTTTCTTGAACATATAAGAACAAAAAAAAAGAGTTTTCGGGCCATTTGTTCATCCAGTGTAGGAAAAAAGCATGGCATTCATTTTTTTTTTATCCTACGATATTGCAACACATGAGCTTTTTTATCTGCCTCATAACAGTATTGTAACTTTTAGTGCTGAGAAACAATTCCTTCCAAGTTTATTTCATGTTAGTGTGGTTCTTTATTGATTCCACGGTGTGCTGCTTTATTACTATTGGCTTAATGGAAGGATGTGATGATCAATCTGTTGCAAGGTTTTCTTTTTTTCTTTTTCTTTTAAGTGAACATAACCATCCTCGGACTACAGAAGCACAACTGCTTCTTTACCATCGGATATTTGCAATACTGTGTAAAAAATGCATTTGTTCTGAATATCTCACCTCAATGTCCAAAACATTAACCATTGTACTTGATTAAAGCATTTTATCGAAAAAAATAAAATAAAATGAATGTACAGTTAAAAACTCAACTATATATACATCAATTCCTAGCTTTAAAGACAGTGTCATACCACCTTTATAAAAAATGATGTGTAACCATTAAAGAACTCCATGGCAACTGCAGACTGGCTTATTTATTTTTAATCTTCTACCAGAGGAAGTGACTGTCACTTATTAAATGCTGTCATTTGATTTATGAGCCGCACATATGGCAGAAAACGAGAACTAGAGCAATATACCTGCACTGTAAAAATGAATATGCTTTTTCTAATCAATATAATTGTGGCAACCGATTACAAGCAATATTATTAAGTAAATTGAACAAATTAGAATTGAGTAATAATTAATCAAATTATTTCTTAAAAGTTAACCATTAAAAAAAGAGTAAAATTTAAAAAAACAAAAAAATTAACCAAAATATCTCACTAACAGACAGACGTGAAAGATTAAGAACTCTTTATTTTATATTGCCAACATTGAACACACCTGATGTGGAGAAATCTGTATTTTTAAAACAAACACTGATCTCCATAATGGTGACTTCAATTTGTTTTGTTTTTTTGATGTTTTTTTGTAAGTTTTACTCATTTTATATTGTTAACTTTTCAGGAATTAATTTGATTAATTATTACACAATTCTAATTTGTTAAATTTAATTAATAATATTGCTTGTAATCTGTTGACATATTTTTTTTGATTAGATAAAGCATATTCATTTTTACAGTGTGCATGCATATTCTATAAAAGTGAACAAACACTTAGTTTGCATTCCTAAACGGCTATCATTTGATTCTGATTGGACAATCGCAGCATTCTGCTGTCAAATATTTTTGTGTAATTGAGCAAGCGTGTTCATGCATAACTGCTCGTATCACTCCGCCATCTCTTTCTTCTCACATAATAAAGTAAGTTCAACTCAAATCAATGTTGCATGTCCAGGTATTTTAAGTGTTACAACTTACAAGCATGTCGGGCCCTTTTTTTAAAGGTAATGATCGTACTTTATTGTTATATATTTGAAAAAACAAATCAGCATTTATGTCCAGCATTACAGTATTATTACCAAAGTAATATCCATACCACTTTATATTAAGTGTCTTTAACTGCTATGTACTAACTTTTAAATTAATCATTTGATACGATGCACTTATTGTGTACATACATATATATAATTAAAAAACAGTTATTACACTCAAATATGGACAAACACAAATGTTGGGTTAAAAATGCAATTAAAATATGTACAGATGAAAGTTGAAGTTGGGTTATAATTTGAAATTTCGTTTTTAACCCAACATTTGGGTTTGTCCATATTTTACCCAAATTTGGGTTAAAACAACCCAGCATCGTTTAGAGTGTATTGTCTGTAATTTCATCCATAATTACACTGTTGACCCTTACCCATACCAAACACCAAACCTTACCCCAACCTTATTTGCAATACAACATCAACACAATAAGTACATAGTTGTTAAAAACTCCTAATATAAAGTGTGACTGTAATATCAGCTTGTTGTAACTGAATGAATGTACTAATTATTAAAAAATTGTATGTATTAATCTGAGCATGAGATTTGACTGCATGACCTCTGTGCGTCTCACAGGGTGTGCCGACCTCCACCTGCTTGACATGCTGACGCCAGTGGAACGGAAGAGACAGGGATACATACATGAACTTATTGTTACAGAGGAGAACTATGTCAATGACCTGCAGCTAGTTACTGAGGTAAAACACGAGGAAATTACAGTTCAATCAGCCGTAGACTGGCTAAGATCAACAGCCTAGTCAGGGTTGTTGTCTGAATGATGTTCAGTGTAAAGTCATGCCAGGAAGTAGGAATAGCTGAGTTTATGCCATTTACTGAATGTGTATTATGCTAGTTCGCATTGTAGTAAATAGATAGAAGCTCATATACGACAAAAAATGTATACATGTATATTTATGGTTTGCTTTCAGACCTTCCAGAAGCCTCTGCTGGACTCGGAGTTGTTGACGGAGAAGGAGGTGGCCATGATCTTTGTCAACTGGAAAGAGCTGATCATGTGCAACATCAAACTGCTCAAGTACGCCACCTGTTGGTTAATACAGGGATATCTTTTACCTCATCATTAGTCACTATGCAATTACCTCGAGATTTAAGCTCCCTCTTTGTTTATTGCTCTGAAGACATTAATCAGAATGCAGCGCATCAGTTAAGTAATGTGGCATGTCAGGACATTTAATTAAATATTCACACATAACCGCTTATACTATATGAAAAGAACGGATGTAATTCCATATAAAGAGCATTACGTGGCTTACCCAGATCTAACTGTGTCTCTCCAGGGCGTTACGGGTGAGGAAGAAGATGTCAGGTGAGCGCATGCCGGTGAAGATGATTGGTGACATCCTAACCGCTCAGCTTGTTCACATGCAGCCGTACATCCGCTTCTGCAGCTGCCAGCTCAACGGCGCCACCCTCATTCAGCAGAAAACAGACGAGGTGCCCGAATTCAAAGACTTTGTTAAGGTGAGACTAGCGAACAGTCATCCGGTTAATCCATAGTGATATGTTGTGAGTGACGCTTACTTTTTGTCCAGTTTCACTCTTTGTTGTGTTTTTGTTTGCACATTTTAATTGTAAGTACACCTAATTTATAGCATTTTAACGATTTTTATGTTTTCTGAAGAAAATCACATGATGTTGCATGGATTTTTATGCATGTTTGCATGTTTTACAGAGGTTGGCGATGGACCCTCGCTGTAAGGGTATGCCTCTGTCAAGTTTCCTTCTCAAACCCATGCAGAGAGTCACCCGATACCCGCTCATCATCAAAAATGTACGTATATGCTCGTAAACTATTTCCTAACTACTATATGAAGAACCAACAGCATATTGAAAACAAACTCAACTCTGTCATCTGTAAAAGCACATACGATTTTTTTTTTCCTTGCAACTACCAGTTTGCCTAAAAATTCTGACTTTTTTTCACAGAATTGCAAGTTTACATCATAATTCTGGAAAAAAAAGTCAGAATTGCAGGATAATTGCTAGAAAAAAGTCAATTGTGGGATTTAAATATTGCAAGAGAAAAGACAGAATTTTGGGATATAAGCTTGCAATTGTGAGAGAAAATGCAAAATTTAGGGATATAAACTCGGAATTGCGAGAGAAAATACAAAATTTGGGGATATAAACTCGGAATTGCGAGAGAAAATGCCAAATTTGGGGATATAAACTCAGAATTGCGAGAGAAAATACAAAATTGTGGGATATAAACTCGGAATTGCGAGAGAAAATACAAAATTTGGGGATAAAAACTTGGAATTACGAGAGAAAATACAAAATTTGGGGATATAAACTCACAATTGCGAGAGAAAATACAAAATTGTGGTACAAAAAAAGCTTCCATAATTTTCACATCGCATCCCTTTGGCTTCATGTATCTGTGAGCATCGTCTCATGTTTCTTCTCGCTTCACACACAGATTATAGAGAACACTCCAGAAAGCCACCCGGACCACAGTCACCTGCGGCTGGCTCTGGAGAAGGCTGAAGAGCTGTGCTCGCAGGTCAACGAAGGCGTGCGTGAGAAAGAGAACTCAGACCGGCTGGAGTGGATCCAGGCACATGTGCAGTGTGAGGGGCTGTCAGAGGTATCAGAACACAAACCTGCTGCTTAAACACAGTCTGTTGGCTGACACTCAGTAAAGTAAAACAATTGTATTTAATTAGCTTTCCAATATTTTGAGATGCTCTCATTGCAGAGAACACATAATCCTACCCATCTCCGCCCCCTGATCCCTAACTCCACCCATAACCCTACCCATCTCCACCCCCTGATCCCTAACCCCACCCCTAAACCTACCCATCTCCGCCCCTAACCCCACCCCTAAACCTACCCATCTCCGCCCCCTGATCCCTAACCCCACCCCTAAACCTACCCATCTCCGCCCCCTGATCCCTAACCCCACCCCTAAACCTACCCATCTCCGCCCCTGATCCTTAACCCCACCCCTAAACCTACCCATCTCCGCCCCTGATCCCTAACCCCACCCCTAAACCTACCCATCTCCGCCCCTGATCCCTAACCCCACCCCTAAACCTACCCATCTCCGCCCCTGATCCTAACCCCACCCCTAAACCTACCCATCTCCGCCCCTGATCCTAACCCCACCCCTAAATCTACCCATCTCCGCCCCTGATCCTAACCCCACCCCTAAACCTACCCATCTCCGCCCCTGATCCTAACCCCACCCTTAAACCTACCCATCTCCGCCCCCTGATCCTAACCCCACCCCTAAACCTACCCATCTCCGCCCCCTGATCCTAACCCCACCCCTAAACCTACCCATCTCCGCCCCTGATCCTTAACCCCACCCCTAAACCTACCCATCTCCGTCCCTGATCCTAACCCCACCCCTAAACCTACCCATCTCCGCCCCTGATCCTTAACCCCACCCCTAAACCTACCCATCTCCGCCCCTGATCCTAACCCCACCCCTAAACCTATCCATCTCTGCCCCTGATCCTTAACCCCACCCCTAAACCTACCCATCTCTGCCCCCTGATCCTAACCCCACCCCTAAACCTATCCATCTCTGCCCCTGATCCTTAACCCCACCCCTAAACCTACCCATCTCCGCCCCTGATCCTAACCCCACCCTTAATCCTACCCATCTCCGCCCCTGATCCCTAACCCCACCCTTAAACCTACCCATCTCTGCCCCTGATCCCCAACACCACCCCTAAACCTACCCATCTCTGCCCCTGATCCCTAACCCCACCCCTAAACCTACCCATCTCCGCCCCTGATCCTTAACCCCACCCCTAAACCTACCCATCTCCGCCCCTGATCCTAACCCCACCCCTAAACCTATCCATCTCTGCCCCTGATCCTTAACCCCACCCCTAAACCTACCCATCTCTGCCCCCTGATCCTAACCCCACCCCTAAACCTACCCATCTCCGCCCCTGATCCTAACCCCACCCCTAAACCTACCCATCTCTGCCCCCTGATCCTAACCCCACCCTTAATCCTACCCATCTCCGCCCCTGCTCCCTAACCCCACCCCGTTCCCTATCCATCTCCGCCCCTGATCCCTAAAAATACCCATCTCCACCCCTGATCCTAACCCCACCCCTAAACCTATCCATCTCTGCCCCTGATCCTTAACCCCACCCCTAAACCTACCCATCTCCGCCCCTGATCCTAACCCCACCCCTAAACCTATCCATCTCTGCCCCTGATCCTTAACCCCACCCCTAAACCTACCCATCTCTGCCCCCTGATCCTAACCCCACCCCTAAACCTATCCATCTCTGCCCCTGATCCTTAACCCCACCCCTAAACCTACCCATCTCTGCCCCCTGATCCTAACCCCACCCCTAAACCTACCCATCTCTGCCCCCTGATCCTAACCCCACCCCTAAACCTATCCATCTCTGCCCCTGATCCCTAACCCCACCCCTAAACCTACCCATCTCCGCCCCTGATCCTAACCCCACCCCTAAACCTACCCATCTCTGCCCCCTGATCCTAACCCCACCCTTAATCCTACCCATCTCCGCCCCTGCTCCCTAACCCCACCCCGTTCCCTATCCATCTCCGCCCCTGATCCCTAAAAATACCCATCTCCACCCCCTGATCCCTAACCCTACCCATCTCCACCCTTTAAATCTGGATCCAACTCATTATTACTGATAACATCATAGACTACGGGAGATTTAATAAGCAGCATTTACACTAATGCACAGATCTCTTTTGAAATAGACCTGGTTTGTCCTCACTGTTTAATCCTTTAAGACATAACTAACTGTGTTTACATTAATTTCCCATCATAAAACAATCGTGACAATCGTCAAATCTCATTACAATAAAAGTTTCTCTCTCTTTACAGCAACTTGTGTTCAACTCAGTTACAAACTGCCTGGGCCCTCGGAAATTTCTACACAGTGGAAAACTCTACAAAGCCAAGAGCAACAAGGAGCTTTACGGCTTCCTGTTTAACGACTTCCTGCTCCTCACGCAGATCATCAAACCTCTGGGCTCGTCTGGAACAGACAAGGTCTTCAGTGCGAAATCCCACCTGCAGTATCGCATGTACAAAACGGTGAGACATTCTTAAAGATCTTATTTATTTGCAATCAATTTTTGACTTTTATTATGATATTTGGACTTTTGACCTTGACTTGACTCGTTGACCTCTGCAGCCCATCTTTCTTAATGAGGTGCTGGTGAAGCTGCCCACCGATCCTTCAGGAGACGAACCCATATTCCACATATCTCACATAGACAGAGTCTACACTATTCGCGCCGAGAGCATCAACGAGCGGTATTTACTAATTATTTGTTTATTAATTAGATCTGTACCCATTATCCTGCAAACACTCTTATAAATGCTGTAAATCACACATATTTTGACAATGTTCCTCTGTTCCGTCCTGCAGGACGGCTTGGGTGCAGAAGATCAAAGCCGCTTCTGAGCTTTTCATCGAAACAGAGAAGAAGAAGAGAGAAAAAGCCTACTTGGGTCTGTCTCACTTATTTCCGTGCACACGCCTCTCTGCATTAATAAAGCTATGAATGCTCTGAGTGTTTGCTAAGCACTGGTTTTGTGTTACTATTATGTTTGCAGTAAGGTCTCAGAGGGCCACTGGTATTGGCCGGCTAATGGTGAACATTGTTGAAGGCATTGAGCTAAAGCCCTGCCGTTCAAACGGTAAAGAATTAAAACTATATGCTATAAGGTGCTTTACTAAGTTATAAGCATATCATAAATGTCCTTTGTGTGCAGGTAAGAGTAACCCGTACTGTGAGGTGACGATGGGCTCTCAGTGTCACGTCACTAAGACTCTACAGGACACTCTGAACCCCAAGTGGAACTCAAACTGCCAGTTCTTCATCAAAGACCTGGAGCAGGATGTGCTCTGTGTCACTGTGTTCGAGAGGGATCAGTTCTCCCCGGACGGTCAGTATATTTACATTTACATTCATTCATTTAGCTGACTCTTTTATCCAAAGCGACTTACAATTGCTATATGTGTCAGAGGTCACACGCCTCTGGATCAACTAGGGGTTAAGTGTCTTGCTCAGGGACACATTGGTGTCTCACAGTGGATTTGAACCCGGGTCTCTCACACCAAAGGCATGTGTCTTATCCACTGCGCCATCACCACCACCTGTATAATTGTAATAATACTTTACAATAGTGCTGGGCAGTATACCGGTTCATACCGAAAACTGGTGTATTTTTTTGTTATGATATTAATTCACTGCACCGCGCGACTGTTTCAGACGGACCCTTTACAATGTTGCACTTGTAATCAGCGACTGCGCGGCGAGGCCGAGGGTAAACAGCAGTGCTCTTGTGTTATGTTACAGGCAATGTTTGGTTTAACTAATTACTAAGTAATTCGTTACTGTAATTTAATTACTTTTCGCTTGAAAATGTAAAGTAAGGGATTACTCTTCATTTATCTGTAATTTAATTACAGTTACTTCTGATGTAATTGAGGTAAATACTGTGTATAGAACAATCCGATCTCACAGCGATTCGTATGCATTTTATGAGGTGTCTAAATCGTACGACCACACTCGTACAAATTCGTATGAATTAGCCATCTTGTAAAATATGTATATATCATTAGATCAGACATAAAACAATAGTGGGTTTACCATCAAAATGTATTGTCTTTTATCAAAAAGTATGTTTTTATAATGTAACCCTCTCCACCTTGGTCAGTTTAAGGATGATTCATGCAATTTTATAGTATTTATTTGAAAGAATTAAAGCCGATTCATGTCTATGCTTGTATTATTCAGCTGGTTGAGATTGATATGGGATTTTGAAAGTAATTAGTAATTCAAAGTAATTAAATACTTTTTAAAGAGAGTAATTAGTACAGTAATCTAATTACACGGTTGAATTGGTAATTAGTAACTAGTAATTAATTACTTTTTTAGAGTAACTTACCCAACACTGGTTACAGGGAAGATGGATGCTGCAGAACTATGGCGTTATTTTCCTGTCAAATGTCGAGAGCGCATTATTGTAGCGCGAAAGTACATTAATATAATGCGCGAGCGCGAATCTCTCTGCTCACGCGCAGAATATAATGTGCCCCGCGCGTTCTCAGATACACGCTGCTCTTGTAAGAATAAGTCTAATTTCTTCGGGCTCGCTCAGAGAATCCTGCATGTAAAACGTGTTCAGTACATTCGCGAATCTCTCCTTTTCCCAGATAATAATTTTAGATTATAAGAACTTTTCATAACGTTCCCATTAAGATATAAAAACATTATTCCAGGAACATTCAAAATGTCCAGTTTTTGAGACGTTGTATTAACGTTATTTCTTGGTTATAAGAACGTTATTCAAAATGTTATACGAACATTCAGTTCTCCCGTTATATAAACGTTGTATTAACGTTCTTGCTTGGCTATAAGGACATCATTCAAACGTTATAAGAACGTTCAATTGGCTATATGCACAGCTGCACTACTTCCTGAACTTCAGCCAGCTCCTTGTTTCCTGTCTGCCAAATGTATTAATTCAGGTGTGTCTGATTATTGTTGCCATGACTACTGAGGTCAGGTACACCTGAATTAATCAATTTGGCCAATAATGGCAGACAGGAAACAAGGAGCTGGCTGAAGTTCAGGAAGTAGTGCAGCTGGGCATAAAGCCCATTCTCCCGTTATATAAACGTTGTATTTTAACGTTATTTCCTGGTTATAAGAATGTTGTTAGAATGTGTTAAATGCTTTGAACACCTGATTATGCATGAACAAAATAAAAACGTCATAAACCGGAAAACCGGCTTAATTTTGAAAAAAAATATATATATATAAATATATGATATAAATTTTGGTCAAACCGCCCAGCACTACTTTACAATATTGCTGTTTTACTGTATTTTTGATCTGATAAATTCAGCTTTGATGAACAAACAAGATCCTAATTTTGAACAGTAGTGTGCAGTCATAACCACATACATTTTTTCTTTCTCTCTCTACATCGTTCACCCCATTCCATTTCTTGTCTTGTTAGATTTCTTGGGCAGGACAGAGATTCGGCTGGCCGACATCAAGAAGGACCAGGGCTCGAAGGGCCCCATCACCAAGCGTCTGCTTTTACACGAAGTCCCTACGGGAGAGATAGTGGTGCGACTGGACCTTCAGCTCTTTGACGAACCCTGACCCATGTTGTATGACCTGACCATTTGACCCCCAGGTTCCATATCCGCTACTCCTCCGTGGTGAAAGCCCGCCAGCCTAATGTGACAATCCCACTCCACCCAGCATCATAAATCCCAGTGTGTGAATGTGTGTGTTTGCACAAGCATCTGTGAGTCTGCAAAATGCTGTAACAGTCTTAATCAATCCAACCAACCCGATTGGATTTTTATTGTCCTAGGTACCGCTTCAAGACAAGTCAGGTGTGTGAGTGAAAGTGAAGGATGCACTGTAGAGGCGAAATTTCAGTTCTGCAATGATGTGAAGGATGTCTCAGGATGCTGTAAGTCTTAAAGTAGTTATTTAACGCTCTAATGACCCGGGAACAGTAGTGCCATTTGATGTTATATATTCTTGGAGGTCTTCATTCTAGAATACACAGAGTTATTACAAATGATGTGCCATTCCAGTGAAAATCTCATATCTCATAAAAAAAGTAGTGAGATTATTTAAACAAATTCACTTTTTAATGCAAACTATTTTGGTTTGGAGATTTTATTCCATTATTTCTGTCATTAACACTAAAAGCTAAGACCAAGTTTTGTTGGCAAACCTTTCTAGCGTCGACCGATTTATTTTTATTTATTTTTTTTAATACTGGTGACGGTTCAACAACTGAATGTACTCGAGATGTTTGTTTTCGAGGGACCGTTAAACGTGAGCATCCTCAGGAAAGTTTGCAGAAAGTCTCGAGAAGATGCAGCCACAAATGCTCCATGGAAAGACTTTGGTTTTGGAAATTGTAATGTGTTTTTCAGTATCTTTTGTTGTGTAACTTTTATTTATTTTTATGTTTTTGACAATGGGACATCTCAGAGGCCTCACAGAAATATCATTGCAGGTCTCAAGGGACATTTGAACCTAATGTGTTACGCTAATATAACCGGTGAAAATATGTGGTGGCTGCATGAGTTTTGATTTTAGCAATAATTAAATTCAGCCAGAGTTTCTTTAGTTTTCCCCTGATGTTCTTACCGGTAGTTTTACTCAAAGGAAACTATTTAAAATAGTACTGTATTTAAGTTTGAAACTGCATTACTAATGAGATCACAGTTTGTTTTTGATTGATGTTGATTTTTTTTTTAATTATTATTCTTGTCCTGTTGTTAGGCATTAGTGATCAACACTGTAACTATGTCATATTTGTAAAAATGCGAGATGTCAGTTCATATTTTAATTGTTCATACTTGCTTTTTTGTTTGTTATTTGCAAAAAAAAATGGTATGTAATGCTAAAATGCAGCATGTAGAAACAATCCTACATGAAACAGAGAGCAAAGGGATCAATCATCATTCATATCTGCTGCAAATACTTTCAGTTCTCCAGAATAGAGGACACAATGTTGAATTTGTGAGGGTTATTTTCACTTATTTTCACCCTCAATTATCAAATTACTGAGCCTGAGAAAAGTGCTGTTTCCTTTTGGACTGTAACAGGGATCTGTTTTGTGTGAGTGTGTGTGTGTGTGTGTGTGAGTGTGTGTTTTCCTGTCTAGATGCAATACACACATTAATATTCCACTGCTGTGCTAGTGAGATGCCAGAGTGATCAAGGAAAACAGCTATTGTGGGGCCAGCAAGTTAGTCCACTCGGTTTTTCTATGTGCGTATATGTGAGAAAGAGTGACTTATAGTGCTTTGAATGCTTTCTGCTGGGTCACTTTCCCAAACCACATCCAGAAGTGTGTTTTAGACAATGCAAGGGGTCATGGTCAGACATCTTTCCTTTTATCCGCTGTCCTCTCTTCTCTTGTTCTCCTGACCTTCCCTCATCTCTTATCACGCACACTGTACATTTTAGACCAGAAGATTTGCCCCCAGCTTCATTATTTTTTAATGAAGTCCCATTGAGTGAACAGTAATATATGTGTCTATGTTTAAAACTTTGAATGGAGTATAATATATTACAACTTGAGAAGTAAATATATTGATAACAGCGTATTGTTATCAATGTAGAAGCAGTGTGTTGTCTTTGTTGCAAATAAAACTCAATTGGACCAAGGTATCGTCGTCCAAATTATTGGTATCAGTGGTACACGTAGTTTTTTCGTTGAATACAATGTTTACTACACTATCAAAAAAAGCATGTTTAGAACATAATAATACATGTATTTCTTTGAAAATTTCAAGTCCGCTCCCATATATCAAAGTATTTTATTTTTTTGTAAGGTCTGTATTGTTTTACTATATTTTTTACATCGTGAGAGGAACAGAGAAAAGAAAACTTCAGTGACACGCGCCTTGCGTACTGGCACGCGCACCATGTGGGGGCGTGTCAGTCTGATGACGCAACTTCTTTTGGCTTCACAGAACAATTTGAACAACTTGATTAAGTTTATCTGTTTATGTATACTTTTTGTGTCTTACACTAGAACACTAATCTTGCTTGGTCTGCACAACCGTTGTTAACTGAGAGCCTTAATTCAGTTTTAATCCCGTTCAACTGCATGTCCTGATTTCCGATGGACGCGTAAACAAGAGGTGTCTATGAAAAACACTGTCGAAGAGTCGAAAGAGAGCAACACCAAAGCGCTGAAAGGGTAAACACACTGGGTTAACACAAGGGCAATTTCTCGTACTACTTTATACTCTTGGTTAGAGAAAACTCGAGTATTTTGCTTTGCAAATTGCACGTTCACTGTCTTCATTCTGTAACTGTTTATTCTCTCCGCCATAAAAGGAGCCTTCAAGTGTTGACTTCTGAGGGATGTTCGCAATTATGTCCTTCCAGAGAGTTTGGCGTTTGAGGGTTTTGAAGAAGGTACATGTTTATTACTGTCACTAAAGTTGAACGCAACACTGCAAAGGTACGTGGCACAGAAGCGCTTCTTAAAGGAGTAGTTCACTTTAAAAAAAAAACTTTTGCTGATAATTTACTCACCCCCATGTTATCCAAGATGTCCATGTCTTTCTTTCTTCAGTCGAAAAGAAATTAAGGTTTTTGATGAAAACATTCCGGAATTTTTCTCTATATAATGGACTTCAATAGGAACCAAACGGTTCAAGGTCCAAAAGACAGTTTCGGTGCAAAAAGGGCTTTAAACGATTCCAGACGATGAATAAGGGTCTTATCAAGCGAAACGGTCACTCATTTTTTTAAAACAACAACAAAGTAAGTTTTATCCTGTGATGCGCATTCGTGACTGTCCTATTCAAACTCGTTCATCAATATGAACAAATCTTTTCCCAAGTCAACTCGTTCATTTCGTTCGTTGAATGAACCTTATGACACGAAAAAAGATTTGTTCTGTGATTCCTGAAACTGTCTTTTGGACATAATTTATTCTGGCTTTTATGCTGCATTGCGTCTACACAGAGTTTTGAGCAGGCACAGAGAGAGCAGCCTTAACTCAGCTGTGTTAAAGATTCCTACCTTGTAATTTTTTTCAAATCAGTAAAGGCGTAAAGTATTATTTTTTCCATAAACTGTTGCACTGCACATCCATTGTAAATAATAATATAATTTTAATTATTAACAAAAATGTAACAAAACCCATACAATTGTGACACCTACCATTTTGATTTGCAGCATGGAAAATAATTCAGTATTCAGAAATAAGTTAGTTTTAAATTTGTGGAAATTACTGAAATCTCTCATACAAGAGTTTGTACAGCTTTGTTCAAATCTCTACAAATAATGTTCAAATATCAGCTAATGTAAAGATTGCAGTATTGCAGAATTCTCTGTTGCAAATTATATGACTTTTTGTGTGTCTTTAATTCAGTTCCATTGGTTGGACGACTCTGTTTGGAAAGTTCCTCTATCGACGCCGCTCTGCACCAAAGCAAATAATGTCAAGAAGCCCGTCAGATATACAAGTATAAGTAAGTTATCAAGAGTTTTATTGCACTTGTTTGACTTTTTCAGGCATATTGATAAACCTAAAAAATACTTTATTTAATCCAAGAACATTTTAAATCCATGGATCCGTTTCATTGCACAAAAGTATCTTTATTCAGATTATTGAAATGTTTCACACTAAGAAAAATGTGGATGTTTATGAACTTTTCACTGAAAGGTTCTTTGGAGAACCCAACACTTTATTTTAAAAATCAGCATGACATGAGTAGAGAGATGTCACTGCCAGTGAAAGGCAAGGTTATTTTGATTAAAAGAAAACAAAGGCACATAAAAAAAATACATTGCACAGATAAATCATTAATAATTCATACTGCAGTATTCCAATAATTTGTCAATTTTGATTTCATTGTGACTTTAAAGGGATAGTTCACTTTGAAATTATTTTTTGATATGTTTTAGCTTACCTCAAGGGCATCCAAGATGTAGGTGTCTTTGTTTCCGCAGTAGTTTCAATTTTGATATTTTTAGGTCAAACCGTTCGTGTCAGTCATATAATGGAGGTCTATGGTCACCACCTCAAAGAGCATGCACAGAGAAGTCCAAATTAAACATGATTCAATGACCCGTAAATGTAAGTACAAATTGATGGCCTAAGACACGAAACGAGCGGTTTGTGCAAGCTCTGTGCATGCTCTTTGAGGTGGTGACCATAGACCTCCATTATATGACTGACAGACAAGAACGGTTTGACCTAAAACTATCAAAATTGAAACTACTGCAGAAACAAAGACACCTACATCTTGGATGCCTTTGAGGTAAGCTAAAACATATCAAAAATTAATTTCAAAGTGAACTATCCCTTTAAGATTTAAGATTTTAACAAGTACAACATGTTACTTTATCAGCATCTTTGTTGATCCTGGAACAACAATTTCACTCAACCAAACTTACAGCCAAGGTTAGGTGTTTCTACATCAGCGTTATTTCCCTCTGATTTCAGGGACCAGTTACGGACAAAAGACAAAATTTTCGGACAATAATGTTGTTCAAGAACATGTCTCAATTGGCAAAATCACAGTTCTTTGTGTACAGAATTTAGGAGATCAAGTTATATGAGTGTTTTTTTCCTTGCTTCTGTTACATACCGGTACATTAATACAATGTTATTTTTACCCTAGAGAAAGCGAAACCAAAAACTATAATCGATATTGCCAGATTACTGCAGCAAAAGACCAAGGAGACCAAAGAGAGGAAAGAATCAGTGATCTTGAAAGCTGCTACAAGTACAACCAAACCGGCTACACCAAATCAATTGAATGACGAGATTGTTTCCAATGCTAAAGTTCACATTTTTACCAGCACCCTCCCAGATAAAGTTAATGTGGAAGGTTCTGCTACGCCTGTGGACAGTGTAGATGTAGAAGCAGTTACAGGTTCTTCTCTGAATATGGCCTCCAAAATGCCCGTAGCAGTGGGCAGAACTGATTCATGTGAATCTGCACCTGCCACTGCCTTATTCGATTCTGCTGTGGATTTTGCATATTCAAAATGTGTCGACCAAATGGCCACGGTAGGTCGGCATAATAAGTCATGCACTGAAATTTCAAATGCAAAAGATGCACCGCCCAAAGCCGTAGAGTCGGCCGCTAGTAATGCTCCACACGAGCCTTCAACTCAAGAAGATATGACTACAATCAGTCGAGTTTCTGCGACAAACACCAAAGGAGTGGATGATGCTGCGTCTGCCTCTAAAAATCTCACACCAGACGTAATCGTTGTTAGTGATGAAATAGTTCATATGCCTGAAGTTATGGTGACCTCCAAAGCAATGGCAACTCCTGAAGTTTCATCTGCGCATGAGGATGGTCCTCTTCTACAAGAGTCAGAAGTTGTTACAGTGACCAATGCATCAACATTTGTAAACATTACTCAAGCACGGTACTCTTCACAACCTCAATTTCCTCAATTCATAGCTTCCGATTGGTCTTCAAATGTCAATACGGACAAAACACCTTCTAGCCGAGAGATCATCAATCATGCTGTTGGCTCATTTCCAGTTGAGTACATAATGGATATTTCCAGAGCTGACGCTGTGGCAGTTGCCTGTGGTGAAGGCCCAACCCTTCCAGAAGATTGTCATGAAGAAGCCATTCCCGTCTCAGAACTCGCCATCCCAGAAGTCTCTTTATTTAAATCCGCGGAGGATCTTCCTGTTGTTGATGAGACCATATCTGCCTCTCTATGCAAGAAGTCAGAAAAGTGCATCAATCTGAAGGACCCAACTCTAGCACAAACTGACGAGGTGCCTGACGGTATGTCATCCTGCATGCATTCAATGTCATGTTTTCCATGAAAAAGGGAATATTTTTAGCTTTTTATGCAACCTGAGCACCATTATTTGTGGGAAAGCACTCAAAATTTGTTAAATTTGCAAATTTTATATTATCATAAAGTTAAGATTCTCAAGCTCTGTAGACAGATGACTTTTTTTTAATATAAATGCATAATTTTATGCAATACATTTACTCGCAACACTTTGCCATTAGGATTTCATAGTGCAACACACTCGTTAGCTTAAAATGTTTTATTTTTGTATTTAATGTGTGCTTGATGTGTCCTGAAATCCATTTATTTTGGTATTTTGCTGGAAACACACAAGTTTGTGCCGTTTTTGTAATCAGAATTGTACTTGTCTAGCTCTAACATCTGGGATGCTTTAGAAGAGTTTTTTCCCTAAAATGGATAAAAGACCTGCCATCCACACATATATAGACTTTAAAGGGATAGTACACTTTGAAATTAATTTTTGGTATGTTTTAGCTTACCTCAAGGGCATCCAAGATGAGTAGGTGTCTTTGTTTCTGCAGTAGTTTCAATTTTTATATTTTTAGGTCAAACCGTTCGTGTCAGTCATATAATGGAGGTCTATGGTCACCACCTCAAAGAGCATCCACAGAGAAGTCTAAATTAAACATGATTTAATGACTCGTAAATGTAAGTACACATTGATGGCCCAAGACACGAAACGAGCGGTTTGTGTGAGAAAACGAACAGTATTTATATCGTTTTTACCTCGTATTTTAGAATTATTGGATGTTAATGAGAAACAAATAACAGTGATTTCTCTCTCATTTGTAGCACAGCTTGATCCAGTTAAGAGACTCTTTCTCGACAAGATACGGGAATACTCCACAAAGAGCCAGTATGAAAAACATCCCATAAATCAAATAACATGAAAACAATCCGTTCATTCCATAGGCTATATATATATATATATACTCATATATATATATATATACAAACTCATTTTCCACATTTAACCTGGTTTGTGTTGTCCATACAGACCCTCTGGTAGCCATGTAGATGCTGGACCAGAATATGAGAAAGTTTTCAATGAAGAACTAACCAAACTCCAGAGACTCTTTGGGGGTGGAGACTTAAGCAAGTTCCCAGAATTTAGGTTCTCTGGTGGGTATATTTTTGCCTTTGTGTGTTTAGAATGAATATTAAACATCAGATGATCCCAGAAACTGTTTTTTTTTTTAATCTTTTTTTTTTCAGAGCCTGTTCTGGATGAAAGCAACTCAAAATGAAAAGCACAGCATGGCATTGTCATAGAAATACATCATTCGTGATGTATTTTAAAAGGCACTAGTATGTGAATGAATGACATCATATTTATGATGTCAGCAAATGCTGTTACAGAACTGTAGCCTACATTTTAAAACGAAAAACAAGAGAAACGCAAAATAAATAAAGTTGTTTGATATGTGAAATTTTAGACTGGGCTTTATTTAAAATAAAACGTCAAAGCACCGACCGAAATGTCTATTTTATAATATAGCCTGCATGTTACATTGTCCCCACAGAAGTCTCCAGGGGGCGAGCACTTTTCCCTCAACCGTTAGTGTCTCCTCCCATCTCATTAATATTCATGAGCAAAGTTGCCTGCGTGCCGTTACGCTGTGACGACATGGAAGAACTGCGGGTCCCGATTGCTGCAGCCGCTTGTCATTGTGACGAAGATTGGCACTAAGGTAAGCTGTCACTCAAAATCTTCTTTTCCGACTCCCTATCAATCAGGCGATCTGGGCCGCACACTAAAAATGCACTCGGCGCATAAGATCGAGCTTCCGCGGGAGGCGCGCGGTCAGGATGGTTTGAGCCTGAAATCAGATGTTTGGACGGCGGTTTCGGGGGAGAATTTCTGGCTCGAGACACAGTCAAGGCCCAGCGCTCTTTTTTTATGATCTTTAGTAGAAGTGCGAATGGCGGCTGCACTGGTGGGGAGGGAGAGCCCGATGTCCCTAGATTGATTGATAGGCGATTATGGGCAGGCTTTTTATTATATTTAAAGAGACAGCGTCGATAATTTTATAAGTCGGCGAAAACTCACGAAGGCTGATGTTTTTCTTTATGACGTAGGTTACGCACTATAATTGTACATTGATTGCGCCAGCGGTTCTTATGGATGAATAAAGCGCATCGAATAAAACACTAGATATGAACATATAGGCAATGGGTTTGAACCTGAACAGAAGCTCAGTACAAACATGGCGCCTACAGTAATAGAGAGAATGAGATACAGTCATCTGGCTGAAGAAAAAGACGAAGATATTTAAGACCACATTACGAAATGAATAAACCCCGAACAATATACAGGAGTATCGATGACGTTTTAAAATGTAACGTTAGATATTCTCAGTTCGGTTCCACTCATTGAAGTCGTATTGCAGTGCAGATACTACATTTAACGATGTTACTATTTATATCTCGATTTTGTATTCGTCTGTTCGCTGCAGATGACCATTGCAGATGTTTATCCAATTCAGCATACGTTTGTTTTGAAGAACATGAATGTTATTCTGTAAATAAAACAATACTTTGTTAAGTCACTTATATGTAGCGCATAAACTTTTATTGCAACAAAACTGTCGTTTTTTAACTATATATTAGTGATGTCTAATCGATTAGTCTTTCCCAACATAAAAGTTTGGGTTTTTATGTTATGTTGGTATGTTTGTGTACAGTACACACACACACACATATTGGCCTGTATATATATATATATATATATTTATATATATATATATATATAGGCCTATACATATTATATAAACACCGACTTATGTTAGAAATGATTAATCACAATTAATCAATTTGTCAGCACTAATATAAATGTGTGGAGATATATATATATATATATATATATATATGCACACATAAAATGTGCAACATTTTTTAAAATTAAGACAATTATTTAAAAATGCTTTTTACTGTAATAATTTGAGAACAAAAATACTAATTGTTCAGTTAGTTAAGGCTGATAGTAAAACTTTAGTAATTTGTCTAAGTGTGCACGTTGGTAGGCCGTTTATAATGGCCTTTGATAATGATAATGTAACTTTAAATATTTATTATTTGGCCTGGCCAATGTGTATATGGCCCTAATGCAATAAATTAAATTCAAATTAAAATTTATTTATAAAGCACTGAATAAAACAACAGAGTTGACCATAGTGCTGTACAAGCAGTAAAACCATAAGCAGAGAAAGAAAAGAGTAAAGAAAAAAAAGAGTAAAAAATGCAAACATTTAAAAAAATGCAAACATTTTTTATAAAATTAATAAAATGACGTGTTTTACACCTATAAATAAGATATAGCTAATTATTCATTTTCCACTATATAGTGAAGAGTGTCAGGTTTTAATGCTGTTTGGTAGTTCTTCCTCCACATAAATGTTTCTCTTTGTTGTGGCAGTTTAGTGGTGCTGAAGATCAGCTTTATAGAATGCTCAAGCATTGCCCACGGCAACAGTAACTATGATGACATCCCCATCGGTGTCCATGGAGGATTACCAAGAGGCTGAACAGGTTTGTGTTGCCAAAGTGCAAGAGTAGAAGCCAATGTAACACTGTTTTTGTTTTATGTGAATGTGTTTAATTGACCTTTTAAAGGAATAGTTCACCCAAAAGTGAAATATATCCCATAATTTAGTCACCCTGAAGCCATCCTAGGTGTATAAGACTTTCTTCTTTCAGCCGAACACAATCAGAGTTGTATTTAATAATATCCTGGCTTTTACCAGCTTTGTAATGGTATTGGAATGTGAACTATTCCTTTAAATAAAGTGATAACCATCTTTATATCGCAATAAAAATCTCACACTCTGAGATTGATGTCTTGTGAATTCTGGGAAGTCTGACCTCTGCGGTATTGGATGGAGAGATAGAGAGACTCGAGACTAACCCGAGATTTTCCAGCAGTCGTGAAATATTTTTAACATCTCCTTTTCAATCAACACTATTGTTGCTCTCCATCACATGCACTCAATCATGTGGGCCTGTCCAACTATGATGTACAAAGAAAAAAAAAAACTGTACAAATGAGAAAAGAAACCAACTCTGTGTATAGTATATTATAATTTTAATATGTGAATGGATTATTGCATTATAATAATTCTATTATAGTTTTATTAATATATAAGATTCATATTTAGTAGTTGTTTTTTTAATTTGAAACAGTTTTAAATACTATCAAATAGTTAAATAGTAAAATTAAGGAATGTTGCCTTAACAAATAGTTCAATAAAATATTTTCTTTTATATTTGACTTTAAATTTCAAGTAACACATGCTTGATCTCTGATCTGGATATCTTGCATGTTAAGTCAAACAGTCACTCAAGGTAGTTTTCTTTTTCCTCTCTTTTTCTGCTAAACAGCCTGAAACTAATGTGAAAAACCATTCTGTTAAATCTGTGAAACCTTTCTAAATTTGATAGACAAAGATAGAGTAGTCTGAGATTCGAGAGAGAAGCGCCTTTGTTGAAAACGAGTTTTTCTTACGTGATTTGAAACCCCATGGCATGTCGACCCTCAGGGTCTCGTCTGCTCTGTGACAGAGAGACTGTGTTCCTCAGAGAAGCCCGAGCCCACACACGGACGTTACCGCCCGCGGACATGCCAGCTGACATTGCTAACTTCCATATACCTCACACATTCATTCTCTATCTGTCCCATGCAGATGCAAGTGGGAGAACAGGCGGCGGGACAAGTGGAGGTGACGTTGGAGGACGAAGAAGAGGAAGAGGGGGAGAGAGAGGAAGACGAGAGCAGCTCAGCACCGTCCGAGCCACAGTCTCCTATGGAGGTCTACAAGACGGCCATTTACAGGTAACTTCCCGGTTTTCTCTTGGAAATTGCTCTCGGATATTTATTTGTGTTTAAAAGAGCGATGTGTTTGTTGACTGTCAGACACCCCTTGTTCCCCCTGTTGGCACTGCTCTTTGAGAAATGCGAGCAATCCACTCAGAGCTCGGAGTGCGTGACCTCGGCCAGTTTCGATGTGGATATCGAGAACTTTGTGCGAAACCAGGAGAAGGAAGGCAAGGCGTTCTTCAGCGAGGACCCCGATTTGGACAATCTGGTAAGAAGCACCTTGCCATTAAACTCTCATTCCGATCAATTACTTAAGCAGGTTTTTTTTTTAATATTTACTGTTCAAAAGTTGAAAGAAGTCTCTGATGCTCACCAAAGCTACATTTTATTTTGTCACAAACACGAGTAAAATCAGTAATATTGTGCATCAGTGTTATTTCAATATAAGATCCTTCAGAAATCATTCTAATATGCTGATTTGTTCCCCAAGAAACATTTCATATTATTATCAGTTGAAAGTAGTTGTGCTGCTTAATATTTCTGTGGAAACCTTTAGACTTTTTAGGGCTGTCAAACGATTAATCGCGATTAATCGCATCCAAAATAATGTGGGTGCACTGTGTATAATTATTTGTATATAAATACACACACACACACGCATGTATATTTTTGAAAAAAATATTATTTATATATAAAATATTTAGATTTATATATAATATAAATTATAAATAAATCTATATACATGGAAATATTTCTTTAATATATACAAGTATGTGTGTGTATTTAGATATACAAAATAATTATACACAGTGCACCCACATATATTATGTAAACACAAACTTTTATTTTGGATGCAGCCCTAATACTTTTCCCCCCTTTTGAATACCTTTGAATGGATAATTCAAAAGGACAGCATTTATATGAAATTTACTGTCACTTTTGATCAATTTAATGCATCCTTAATGCATAAAAGTATTATTTTTTTAATGAAACATACTGACCCATAACTTTTGAATGGTAGTGTATATTTAGGGATGCATGGTTTATCAGTTATTGGGCAATATTAATCGTTTTGTTTATTTATCGATAGCAGTCGGTATTGGATATTTAAGCATGCATGTTTATTTCCACTATTTCTACATATTGATTACTTTTGCCGTCAACTAACACTCACTTTAAGTTAATATTTCAAAACATTGTGAATGTAATAACACTTAAATCTCAAAATGAATTGCCATTTTTTTAATGATTATAAGATTAGGCTTTAGTTTTTAGTGCTTTTTTATTTTGACAAAATGGTATAAAATTTGTGCTTAGTAAATCATTTTCACACACTCATTAGAGTCCATCGAGATACATGACTGGTGAGGTAATGAAAATAGAGTCATTATCTAAACGCTTGTTAAATGTACTGTACGTTTTCTCCGGGCTCAGATGGTGAAGGCCATCCAGGTGTTACGGATTCACCTGTTGGAGCTGGAGAAGGTAAACGACCTGTGTAAAGATTTCTGCAGCCGCTACATCGCCTGCCTCAAGACTAAGATGAACAGCGAGACTCTGCTCAGCGGAGAGCCAGGAAGTCCCTACTCGCCAACACAGACACAGGTACACTCAGGGACATTGTAGAAATCTCTCTCCATCTTCTCTTAGAAAATAACCGTTGTGCACATGTTCTCCTCGCAGCCGCTGAGCTCGTTCACTGGAGCCATGAGTTCACAAGGTCTTGTAGTGTCAGCATCGGCTTTACAACAAGGCAACGTTACTGTCACAACTGTAAACCCCACACAGGTGGTAACAGGTTTGTTGATTGTTTTACTCTTCCGTGTCTGATTTCTTTCAAGGTCTCACATTTGCCATACCAACATTTTACTGCATACTAAATACATTTTTACTGAATTCTGATTATCCCATTACACTCACTGCATGAAAAGTGGGATTTTCGTCCCCGTAAACTGTCGGAAATCTCCCTAATTTTCGGCAGTTAACGACAATTTACAGACTGTGAACGTCGCGTTCCACTGTGCCACATATTGACGGAAACGAACCATGACGTATGCATGGAGCGCTCGCGGAGGTGTGAATGGCCCTAATTAGCATATGAATAGCAGCACTGCGCGCGCCTTGCCAGAGAATGGCTTGAATTTCCTCACTCAGTATTGGTTGAAATTCACTACATTTAAACAAGATAATCACTCGTGATTGGTTGGCAGATCTGTTATTATTGGTCAGCTTAGATAAAATTATAATAATAATTATTTATTTATATATATTCATGTGATATGCTATTATGTTGTATATTCATGTCATTATTATCCTATGGACTAAACTATTATTACCATCAAGGACATGAATTTATTGAGGAAAGGAACATATGCCAGATACTGTTTATTCAAAGAAATAGCTTTATTAGAACAAACACACAATGTACAAAGCATAGGAGAACATCTTCAAAGCACAGAAAACATGTCCTCCACCCTCTGGAAACATGGGATAACATACATACAGCACTACAGTTATACAAATAAATCAATAATATATTGCATCTTTATTCAAAAATAAATTGCCCTGAATGGCATCAGAATTGGGCACCAGATATATCAAACACAATGTACAGTGGAGGCAGAATTGTGAACAAATAATAAGGATGTAATTTATAGGGATAGTTCAGTTTGAAATTAATTTTTGATATGTTTTAGCTTACCTCAAGGGCATCCAAGATGTAGGTGTCTTTGTTTCCACAATATTTTCAATTTTGATATTTTTAGGTCAAACCGTTCTTGTCTGTCAGTCATATAATGGAGGTCTATGGTCACCACCTCAAAGAGCATGCACAGAGAAGTCCAAATTAAACATGATTTAATGACTCATAAATTAAGTACACATTGATGGCCTAAGACACGAAACGAGCGATTTGTGAGAGAAAACAAACAGTTTATATATATATATATATATATATATATATATACACATACACACACTGTTCATTTTCTCACACAAACCGCTCGTTTCGTATCTTAAGCCATCAATGTGTACTTAAAGTTACGAGTCATTAAATCATGTTTAATCTGGATTTCTCTGTGCATGCTCTTTTAAGAGATCCCCATAGATTTCCATTATATGACTGACAGACAAGAATGGTTTGACGTAAAAATATAAAAATTGAAACTACTGTGGAAACAAAGACACCTACATCTTGGATGCCCTTGAGGTAAGCTAAAAAATATCAAAAATTAATTTTAAAGTGAACTATCCCTTTAAAACTCTTAATTCAAGTCCTGTAGGCTCATCGGGGCGTAGTGAATCCTCCACCTCCAAGTCTTTGCGACGCGTGCTTGAGGTGCTCACACACGTTCACCTTGATGTACATACACCTCAGTGGCTATGGAACCAAATTTCATGATCCCTTCTGCAAAGTTGAAAAAGACCAATGATTTAGATGTATGCAAAGACAATCTGCCCCAAGTCCCCACATTTGTAAGCAAAAATATGTTTCCTTTGCATCCACTACCTGGTTTCCTTCAGGCGATGGCGGATGTCGACCAGTAGTTTCAGGACATTTTTCTGGAACACTGAAATAAACAAACACATTTGGTGAGGTTTGCAATGCTCTAATTAGAATAGCAAAGTTTGCTAGCTCACAAGAGAGAAGGTGTCTATTAAAAGTGTCTTCTCCACTGCCAATAGATCAATACTTACCAGTCTCAGTCACTGCATCTCCCAGTCTCAGTCACTGCATCTACACCACAAAAAATGTGTTATACAAGTTATTATCAAATGATGAAACTGAACATATTTATAAGATGATAAATAATAAATCTGCAATATTGTAACAATTAGAGATATATCTATAAAACTTGGTGAACTGCAAAGTACTTTGATGAAAATTGCGGCCTTAATTGTAAAAAAATTCTAAATTACTTGATTTCTTGTTCAAAGCAATGTGTACACTGTGTAACAGGCATCCAGGGTCATATGACCACCACCTGAATAGCAAAATAATCCTAAATGAGCTTAATGTGAACGCAGCCGACAACTCACCGTGCCTGTCATGTGCTGAGATCACTGCGCTGTACTCTTTTATCATGTCTGGACCTGGGCGGGGGACTGGGGGCATCACTACGGGATCGGTCTTCATGGATTTATTAGTTCCATATGGTTATACCTGAAATTAAAATAATTTTGTAATTATAATACGTTTCCTGTTGTGTTAGTATATGTGCACTGGAAGCCTCAACACACAAACAAATTCCTTATGTGTGCAAGCACACTAGATAATAAAGCTCTTTCTGATTCAGATTCAAAGTAATAGCAGTGATTTGAAGACTGTGTGCCTCGCACGTGCCGTGACCCATCATGTCTGGACCTGAAGGTGTGCCTCGAACAATCTCTGTGCAGGACCTGATGGTGAATCGAACACTGGACCTAGTAACATTTAAACTTGGCCAAACATTTATGAATATAACATGCCATGTTCCAGTTCTCTTTGGCGTTTTCACCACTGTCTTACTCTCAAAGTCATCCGTAAACACAGACGTTAATACCAAATTAGTTTAGTTTTACTGTTTATTTGACTGGGGCCTGATCAAAAGAAAAGAGGATGAGATCACAACACGTAACGTTACCTTGTTTAGGTGTTTTTTTCTCCTATCAGGGAAGGGCACCTCACTCCTTACAGCACCTGAGAGACAAAACAAATGCGTTAACAAACATCACAAACAGATGGAGTTAAAGATTTCACTCCATCACACAACAGCGTTGCAGTTTTACAAACAAGGATAGCCTACACTAGAGCATACAAGCACATTACGAACTTTGAGTTTGTATGATCCTGGCACATATAATTTCTGACGATATTCAGAGTAAACGCATTGGGAAAAGCCCGTTGAACACCCAATACGAGTTAGTTTGATTACTAGCAAAGAATGGTAGCTACCTAGCAGCCAGATAACAACGTGCAAAATACAATTTAGTGTCCCAAATTGACATGAAACTAAAAAAGAATTAAGAGCAGCAAGCTAACGCAAAACAAAAAAACTGTGCCGTTAAGGTTAACGCCCTTGAACATTCGCGGCAGTAATCACAGCAGGTTTGTGAAGTTTAAGACAATAACGCTAAACTACCAAACACTATAAGTAGACATGGACATAGAATTCACTAGATTGGACGAGCTTACCTTCAATTTAGAGGAGATGGGTTCACCAGTGATCATGACGGCGATGTAGGCTGAATATCTGTGCCGTTATTTTCTGCTTGAAAAACCAACCATGTGAAAAACACGCTGAATCGCGCCGCTCGCGCCACATGGCTCGCATGTTGCCTCGGCCTATCAGAGTGGCTGGCTTTACAGGTTGGGTTGTGATGATATGTTGCCTCAGCCAATCAGAGTGACGTTCACTGGATTTCGACTGTGGTTGAAATCAAAGCTCTTGATAGAGTTGTCCGACCTCGGCTGTCCATGACTTTTCTGTTGTGTTAGTTCTTTTTAAATTAGGAATAAGGTGGATAGACCTAATATAGGCTACCATGAAATGAAAAATACAAATACAGGGGTGTGCATAAATAAATAACTTGATTAGGCTACTTAAAATAAATAAACCAGTAAAAAAAACCAAAAAAAAAAAAAAACCCATCTGGTTATAACTGTGAATTAACATCCAAAGATGTTATCATATAATTTGAAAACTGCTTCTGTAAATGTTATGATGAATCCTATAATTTTATTAGGTAAATTTATATATTATATATATATATATATTCATAAGAGTAAAATGAATAATTCTAAACTTGTTTGAAGTTTTTTTTTTTTTTTTTTGGTCTGATTTTCAGTTGTATATTGAGTCTCTCTATCGATAAAAAATGTAGTGATACAATTGTATTTACTAAAGAATATTGAAGCTAATTGAAAAGTGAATTAATGTGTACGCTATTTTCTTTCTTTAAGTAGTACAAATTACTGGTTTCTAGCTTTCTCTTAAATCATTATATTATACATAATAGATAGTCCTTTTCCCCTTTTTATTTTATTTTTTCAATTCTGTCCTATTTTTATTTTTTCTTATTCATTTATAGTGAAATTATTATTTGTTGATTGTTATCTTTTTGGATATCATGCTATTGTTGTAATTGTTGTGCATTATGTGTAATGTAAAAAAAACAAACAAACAAAAAAAAAACACTGAGCCTGATCTATTTCTACCAGAGATTGTCCTAGAATGAGGTATATCTTTCAGAAAAATGTTACCTGGGGTGAAACTCCCCTACCCTTATTTGCATGTGTATAGCTCACAGGATTTTCATTTACATGTCAAAGCCTCCTCTAGATTTAGGAAAAGGGGGGGTCATGGGGGGACAACTGGCAAGCACGGCCTACGTCAATTTCCGGCAATTCACGGCAGTTTTGGGTGTTGCCTGTAAATTGCCGTGTGCAGTCGTAAACCTGAACTTCCACGACAATCTACAGTGCCGCTTACTGACGAAAATCCCACTTTTCATGCAGTGACTATGGAAGTAAAACAGCGTTTATGTTCACTTCAATGGTGAATACAGTACATCTGTAATGGATACGTTGCCACTCTCTTGTATTGGGTGGGGTAGAGGAAGTAATGTTGTGTGATGGCAAAGCTGAAATTTGGCATTGGTTCTGGAAATATTTTTTCTATTTATTTTCCAAGTGTCTTCGTTAAAGGAGTAGATCACTTTTAAAACAACTTTTGCTGATAATTTACTCACCCCCATGTCATCCAAGATGTCCATGTCTTTCTTTCTTCAGTCGAAAAGAAATTAAGGTTTTTGATGAAAACATTTTTCAGCATATAATGGACTTCATTGGGAACCAAACGGTTCAAGGTTTAAATGACAGTTTCAGTGCAGCTTCAAAAGGCTTTAAACGATTCCAGACGATGAATAAGGGTCTTATCAAGCGAAACGATCGCTCATTTAAAAATAAATACAAAAGTTTAAGTTTTATAAGCACAAAATGCTCACCGTCGAATCGATTAACAACCTTGTAGCCCACAGTAGGTCTGTCTTTAAAGCTTTAAAAGATATCATTAAAAAGAAAATTCCCTATGGAGAAAATGAATAGGTTTTTTACGACCGGAACCAGACTGTTGCAATCTATTACTCCAGTCTTTAGTGTCACATGATCCTTCAGAAATCATTCTGATATGCTGATTTGCTGCTCAAGAGACATTTCTTATTATTATCAATGTTGAAAACAGTTGTGCTGCTAAATATTTTTCTGAAAATCATGATACCTTTTCATCTTTTTTTATACATATTATTTGATTATTAATAATTGATAATTTAATATGTCCTTGACTAAAACTTTACAGTGCACTGTATACACAGTGTAGTTACTATAGTAACTACTATAAATTATGCATAATTACATGCCCTAATCTAACCCTAGAATAAGTATATCTAGTTAATTATTATCACTCATTACTTAAATGTATAATTACACTCAAAACTATTTTTACCGAGCCTAAACCTTTGAATGCTAATGTATATTAAACACGTTGTATCTCTGTGAATAATTGAATTACTTAAATGTTTTATTCCATTTTTTTTCCCTTAGTCTGGTATATAATGACTCTGTGATTGTGTGTTTGTTCTGTCCAGGTGGTACAGTATATCAGCCCGTTACAGTTGTTACTCCACAGGGACAGGTGGTCACACAGACTCTGTCACCTGGAACAATACGCATCCAGAACTCACAGGTGAGAGATCGTCACCAAACACACTCGTGTCATTAAGAGTTTCTTTGGTTGGTCCAACTATTTAGCAGCACAGCTTCATAATCTTTTACATTATGGATGACGTTATCACACATGCACACACTCTTGACAGCTGAGTTGGTTTGCCCACAGCTTCAGTTGCAGCTGAACCAGGATCTGAGCTTTTTCAGTCAGGAGGACAGCTCGTCTAAGGCCAAGAGAGGCATCCTGCCCAAACAAGCCACCAACGTCATGCGTTCCTGGCTCTTCCAGCACATTGGTGTAAGTCCGATTCTTCTGTCCTTCACAGTTTTATAGTGTTGGGCCCATAGATATCTATATAAAGGCTAGATGTCTCACGGCGGAGTGTTTATCGTCATCACCGGCGGCCATCTTGTCACAGACAGGCTTTCTGGCGTGCTCTGTGGTATCTGACGTAAGAAATACTCTCGACAGATTTACGAACGGTTTGATTTCTTAGAAACGTTATTAACCGTCTGGGCTTCTTCGGTCAAAAATGACCGAAAACTGTTACGTTTTGAAATGTTTAATTTTTTTGCTTTAACGGATCGGGCTGAAACTTGGTGACTTTTGTTGTATTACCTATATGAACACACAAAAAAATCAAGGAGATGATTCTGATTTGTTAAAGGGTTGTAAAAAAAAAGTCACACTTAGCTTCCTCCCGGTCAAAAATGACCGACATAGGAAATGAATGGGAAATACGAACAAACAGGAAAACTCAGAGAAACTTTTGGTGGTACAAGCTACAGATCAGCAACTGTGCAGAAAAAAAGTGTACAGCAATGAAGGGGTGACACTCTAGAACATCAAGAGTGCAAATAAGACCCCCCCCCCCCACACACACGCACGCACACAAACACACACACATACACAGATAAAATCAATAAAAATAAAAAAATAAAATCAACAAATGAGAAAAAAATCTTGCTCAAATGCGCACTCAACCACACACGCACACAGACATGAGAAATCATGTCTAAACCAACAAAAAGAATCAAAAAGCCTTTCTATGTATTTGAATAGGAAGCTATAGGCAGCCTACAGGCTGTACAGGACATTGCACACATGTTTTTTAAAAAATTGCAACTATTTTTTAAAGCCACTAGGTGGCGCTCTTCTACTTGAATTATTATTTTTTTATTAGCTGACACTCTATTTTGATGTGAAATGTTGTATTTATTGAAAAAAAATAAATAAATAAAAAAAATATGTATATTAATTCTAATGGAAAAAATACCTCATAAAAATTATATAATTAATGCAAAGTATCATAAAAAATTCTAAAAATTCTAAATAATAATCAGAAAATATTATAGAACAAAAATATATTTGAATGGTTATCCTGGGAAGAAGTAAAGTTAAATTTTAAGGCTTCGTCCGTTTTTGACCGGGAGGAAGCTAAGTGTAACCCATTTACGAAGAAGCCCAGAGGGTTAACGTGGCTATAATTCTGGATGATTATTTATTTGTACGCTTATTATTCATAAGTATGCAGTATCATAACTACATCTCTGCCGTTTATAACGAACCAGACCGTTTGAAAATCGGTCGAAAATTGAGCAAGTTACGGTGATTTAAAAAGTACATGCACCATTAAAACAATGTTACCAGTGAGCGAGCTGCCTGTGACAAGATGGCCGCCAGGTGCTGACGTCGACCTCCATTGGCCAGCAGCGCGGACGAGATATCTAGCCTTTAAATAGATATCTATGGTTGGGCCAGTCTAATAGCCTATTCACAGAAAGATGATTTTTTTTTTCACTATTGTCATCAAATAAACCCTGCAGTATCACGACGATTATTCACAATCTGATCAAGTCAAGTGCCTGACCGTTTCACCTTTGAACGCTAGTGTATATTAAACACTGTTAGAGCTAAATGGTTAATCGTTAAAAGGCCACAATCTCAATTAAAACACCCATGCAAGCTATATGTATGTAATTTTTTTTTTATGTCAACTTGTTCTTTATGAATAATTGAATTATTTTGATGTAATAATTTAATTTGTCAATATAAAGTTAAATTGTTGTGCTGTTCACTGAATTTGCTTATATATGATGAAAACGTCACATTATCAGACCACAGAGCTACTCAAGCTGAGAAAAAAAAAACATTGCTTGAAGTTGCTTTTGATCATAAGAACTCAAGTGAGTTTTTTTTTAAATGTATAGATGAATTAAGTGAGCCGGAAGGTGTGGATGACTGGCTCGTGTACATTCACACTCTCATATGACTGAGTTTCTGGAGACGCTGCCCTGATCACTGAAGCTTTTCTGTCAGGCTTCTGTTTAGATGGGCGGCCCACAGAGAGACATTGTTCAGAGACACAATCCAATAGAGAGAAGTTGTAAGACCACCTTATTTCTGTCCCTCCCAGCACCCATATCCTACAGAAGATGAGAAGAAACAGATTGCCCTGCAGACCAACCTCACACTGCTGCAGGTTAACAACTGGTGAGTTATCACGCTTTATACATGTGTAGGAACAGGGTAGTCATCTGGATCTCCTCTGATTGGCTCAATGTCTCCAGGTTTATTAACGCTCGACGACGGATCCTTCAGCCTATGCTGGATGCCAGCTCTTCAGACACACCCAAGAGCAAAAAGAAGACGCCCCAGACACGACCCCTACAACGCTTCTGGCCCAACTCCCTCGCCTCCTCTGTGACCCAGCAACAGGTCACCATGGAAGACGGTACGGCACTTTAGACATCATAGATTAAAACTTGCACAGATTATTGTTTAGTTTGAGGGCACAGGGGTACATTTTAAGTTGTAAGAGGGATGATTTCCTTTGCACAACTCACACCGTTAAAGGGTTAATTCAGCCTAAAATGTAAATTCTGTGATCATTTACTCACTCTCGTGTCGTTCCATACCTGTAAGACTTTCATTCATTTTCAAAACACAAATTAAGAGATTTCTGTCCCTCCATTAACAGTCTACGCAATTACCACTTTGACGCTTCAAAACGTTCATAAAGAGATCATAAAACTAATCCATATGAATCGAGCGGTTTAATCCAAACTTTCTGAAGACGCTCGATCGCTTTATATGATGAACAGATTGAATTTAGGCTTTTATTCACATTATAAACTGATCAACTCACAGATCAGTTGTGGTAAACAGAAGCTCAAGCTTGATGTGTGAGAACCAATGAGGTTCATTCTCGTGTTACGCATCACGTTTGAGCTTCAAGAACCAATGAGGTTCATTCTCGTGTTACGCATCAGGTTTGAGCTTTTTCAAGAACCAATGAGGTTCATTCTTGTGTTACGCATCACGTTTGAGCTTCAAGAACCAATGAGGTTCATTCTCGTGTTACGCGGCACGTTTGAGCTTCAAGAACCAATGAGGTTCATTCTCGTGTTACGCATCACGTTTAAGCTTCCGCAAGAGCCAATGAGGTTCATTCTCGTGTTACGCATCACATTTGAGCTTCAAGAACCAATGAGGTTCATTCTTGTGTTACGCATCACGTTTGAGCTTCAGCAAGAACCAATGAGGTTCATTCTCGTGTTACGCATCACGTTTGAGCTTTTTCAAGAACCAATGAGGTTCATTCTCGTGTTACGCATCACGTTTGAGCTTCAAGAACCAATGAGGTTCATTCTTGTGTTACGCATCACGTTTGAGCTTCAGCAAGAACCAATAAGGTTCATTCTCGTGTTACGCATCACGTTTGAGCTTCAGCAAGAGCCAATGAGGTTCATTCTCGTGTTACGCATCACATTTGAGCTTCAAGAACCAATGAGGTTCATTCTTGTGTTACGCATCACGTTTGAGCTTCAGCAAGAACCAATGAGGTTCATTCTCGTGTTACGCATCACGTTTGAGCTTTTTCAAGAACCAATGAGGTTCATTCTCGTGTTACGCATCACGTTTGAGCTTCAAGAACCAATGAGGTTCATTCTTGTGTTACGCATCACGTTTGAGCTTCAGCAAGAACCAATAAGGTTCATTCTCGTGTTACGCATCACGTTTGAGCTTCCGCAAGAGCCAATGAGGTTCATTCTCGTGTTACGCGGCACGTTTGAGCTTCAAGAACCAATGAGGTTCATTCTCGTGTTACGCGGCACGTTTGAGCTTCCGCAAGAACCAATGAGGTTCATTCTCGTGTTACGCATCACGTTTGAGCTTTAAGAACCAATGAGGTTCATTCTCGTGTTACGCATCACGTTTGAGCTTCAAGAGCCAATGAGGTTCATTCTCGTGTTACGCGGCACGTTTGAGCTTCAAGAACCAATGAGGTTCATTCTCGTGTTACGCGGCACGTTTGAGCTTCCGCAAGAACCAATGAGGTTCATTCTCGTGTTACGCATCACGTTTGAGCTTTAAGAACCAATGAGGTTCATTCTCGTGTTACGCATCACGTTTGAGCTTCAGCAAGAACCAATAAGGTTCATTCTCGTGTTACGCATCACGTTTGAGCTTCAGCAAGAACCAATGAGGTTCATTCTCGTGTTACACATCACGTTTGAGCTTCCGCAAGAGCCAATGAGGTTCATTCTCGTGTTACGCATCACGTTTGAGCTTCAAGAGCCAATGAGGTTCATTCTCGTGTTACGCGGCACGTTTGAGCTTCCGCAAGAACCAATGAGGTTCATTCTCGTGTTACGCATCACGTTTGAGCTTTAAGAACCAATGAGGTTCATTCTCGTGTTACACATCACGTTTGAGCTTCAAGAACCAATGAGGTTCATTCTCGTGTTACGCATCACGTTTGAGCTTCCGCAAGAGCCAATGAGGTTCATTCTCGTGTTACGCATCACGTTTGAGCTTCAAGAACCAATGAGGTTCATTCTTGTGTTACGCATCACGTTTGAGCTTCAAGAACCAATGAGGTTCATTCTCGTGTTACGCGGCACGTTTGAGCTTCCGCAAGAACCAATGAGGTTCATTCTTGTGTTACGCATCACGTTTGAGCTTCAAGAGCCAATGAGGTTCATTCTCGTGTTACGCATCACGTTTGAGCTTCAAGAGCCAATGAGGTTCATTCTCGTGTTACGCGGCACGTTTGAGCTTCAAGAACCAATGAGGTTCATTCTCGTGTTACGCGGCACGTTTGAGCTTCCGCAAGAACCAATGAGGTTCATTCTCGTGTTACGCATCACGTTTGAGCTTCAAGAACCAATGAGGTTCATTCTCGTGTTACGCGGCACGTTTGAGCTTCCGCAAGAACCAATGAGGTTCATTCTTGTGTTACGCATCACGTTTGAGCTTCAAGAACCAATGAGGTTCATTCTCGTGTTACGCATCACGTTTGAGCTTCCGCAAGAGCCAATGAGGTTCATTCTCGTGTTACGCATCACGTTTGAGCTTCCGCAAGAGCCAATGAGGTTCATTCTCGTGTTACGCATCACGTTTGAGCTTCAGCAAGAACCAATGAGGTTCATTCTTGTGTTACGCATCACGTTTGAGCTTCAGCAAGAACCAATGAGGTTCATTCTTGTGTTACGCATCACGTTTGAGCTTCAGCAAGAACCAATGATTTTAGTTTGTATGTGAACATACGGTATATATTTGAATTATATGGTTGTCATTCTCAGGTACCACAGTAACAGTCGGTGTGGGTGAGGATGGACTACAGACGCTCTCATCAGATGGAGCTACGCTGGCCATGCAGCAGGTCATGATGGGAGGTCACAGCGAGGATGATGATGATGATGACGACGACGAAGAGGATGAGGACAATGATCCTTCTCACTCCGACATGACCAGGCTGGGCCTGGAGACCAGCGACTCGCTGTAGTAGGACTGAACCACACACACACTCTCACAGTAACGTATATAGTATATAGAGAGAGACGTTTAAGGAGCATTAGAGCACTAAGAGACATTCACACAAACACCTCGGCTGGCGTGTTGAAGGTCACAGCGCACATCCTCAAGCTGTCAAACAGCTTGTTTGGAGTACAGAGAAAAGGGCTTAAAGCCACACACACCGAAACGAACCACACACACACACAGGTAAAAGCACAAGTCTCTCTCACGGCAGAACACACACATCATTTTCCACACAGTTAGCCGAGTGCACTTTTTTTGTATGATACTGTAAACTTAAAGAAAGTGTTCAAAGCACATTTTGAAAGAGCTAAAAAGAAGGAAATAAAAAAAATAGTGATGCTGGATGATTCGGTTGTACGTATCCTCATGGTCTCAGATACTATGACATAGATGAGATTTCGTCTCTTGCATGCCTGTGTTTGCTTTAATCAGGCACCAGGAAAAAGAAGGAACTATTTTTATAGTACACTGTCACAATTGACCGGTGCCAATTTGTTTTGTTTTTATCCATTTGTTTGTTTTGCTCTGGTTTGCTATGTTTTGTAAGGAGTATTTATGTATGAAAAAGACAAAAAAACACACACTTTTAACGTGCAGGAGGTTTGTGGGAACTACTTAGTACAAAGAATGGATAATACTGTACGCTGAAGGCATAGACTCTGAAGCCTTACATTTTTACATTTTTAATGCCGCAATGTGAGACGGTCTCTGATGTCACTTCCTGTGCAATCGACATGAATACCGTGTCCAAAAATGACATTTTGCAAGGTCGTGATTATTGTTTGCGACATTCAATGCCTGTAATTGTTGTATGAAAAGGAAATGTTATTTCTTTTTAATGATTATATTAACCGAAGTTGAACCGAGAAGGACGTCCACAAGACTTGTATTTATGTATATTTTTCAGCAAAGGGACGCATCCTTGATGTTAAACCCTTTCAGCTCAAACATTTATGACTGATTTCTTTTTTTATTCCACGTTAACATGGACTGTTCTGTCGAGTTTTCACAGGAAAACATGTTTTTCACCTTATCGGAGTGGATAAAACTAATGTTTTCAATATTTAAGGATTGATTGCATGTGTTTTCATTTATTATTGTAAAGAAACATACAATTTTATTTTTAGAAACATACTGTATGCTCTCAAATCTATCAGTGACAGTGTAAACTCCATGAGATTGGTACATTTGAGCTGTTTGCAGTAAAATCTTGATGGTATATTTCAATACAGTAGAAGCCGGTATAAAATTTGGATTATGGACATGTTTGTCCCAGATTTTTCTTTTTACAGCAGTCACTCATATATACTGTTTTATAGTTATTTCGCATATTCAGTATGTGCTTTAGGGCGGCTGTCAGTACTGAGTGGCTTTTTCATTTCCAGCATTAGTCTTGTGATGCCATTGGTCAGATGACTAACCCAGAAGCAGAAAGTCTACTCCGTTAGCTTAGGTTGAAACGCTGGATTTGAATATTTTTCTCTTTTCTGTCTCTCTCACACACACAGATTTGCCTTTCAGACTCTTCATTTTGTAATAAAGAACACTGTACCTGAAGGACACTGTTGCATGGGATTTGTTTTGTTTGTGCATCCTGTAGTATGACATCAGAGGTCATGACTGAGCTACATTCACGTCAGGGCCGAGAGAGTATTTTTAGTGTAACCTTCACTGAGTCTGCAACGTTAACAAATAAATCATTTGGCTGGGGGTGAAATTCTAATGTAGTTCACAGAAAATTGCTTATTTATTATTATTATTATTATTTTTTCTAATCGGATTTGTTACTCTGGTTTAGCATTTACTCATTTTGCAACACTTTTTGCACATTTTAAATAGTGGAAGGAATGGAGAGATTTGAATGAGCAGAATAGAGACTTGGGGTACGTTTACGCAACAGCAATGTACTAAAAATGGAAATTTGTTTTTATTTGCGTACAAACGACAATGTTGTCAAAATGATCCCAGTTCATACGGATCTGTGTGAAAATGACTAAAAACACTGTATTATGCACGCCAGGCCAGTAGTTGGCGATGTCACTTTGTAAAGAAACACTATGCTTCTATAGACTGAATGTGTGGAAGCTTGTTTCCGCCACTGAATAAAAAAATAATTGTGACTTTTTATCTGACTTTCCATCTCGCAATTCTGCCTTTATATCTCGCAATTCTGACTTTATATCTTGCAATTCTGACTTTATATCTCGCAATTCTGACTTTATATCTCGCAATTCTGACTTTATATCTCGCAATTCTGACTTTATGTCACGCAATTCTGACTTTATCTCGCAATTCTGACTTTATATCTCGCAATTCTGACTTTATATCTCGCAATTCTGACTTTATATCTCGCAATTCTGACTTTATATCACGCAATTCTGACTTTATATCTCGCAATTCTGACTTTATGTCACGCAATTCTGACTTTATCTCGCAATTCTGACTTTATATCTCGCAATTCTGACTTTATATCTCGCAATTCTGACTTTATATCACGCAATTCTGACTTTATATCTCGCAATTCTGACTTTATATCTCGCAATTCTGACTTTCCATCTCGCAATTCTGACTTTATATCTCGCAATTCTGACTTTATATCTCACAATTCTGACTTTATCATGCAATTCTGACTTTATATCTCGCAATTCTGACTTTATATCTCGCAATTCTGACTTTCCATCTCGCAATTCTGACTTTATATCTCGCAATTCTGACTTTATATCTCGCAATTCTGACTTTATATCTCGCAATTCTGACTTTCCATCTCGCAATTCTGACTTTATATCTCGCAATTCTGACTTTATATCTCGCAATTCTGACTTTATCTCGCAATTCTGACTTTATATCTCGCAATTCTGACTTTCCATCTCGCAATTCTGACTTTATATCTCGCATTCTGACTTTCCATCTCACAATTCTGACTTTATATCTCGCAATTCTGACTTTATCTCGCAATTCTGACTTTATATCTCGCAATTCTGACTTTCCATCTCGCAATTCTGACTTTATATCTCGCAATTCTGACTTTATCTCGCAATTCTGACTTTATATCTCGCAATTCTGACTTTGTCACACAATTCTGACTTTCCATCTCACAATTCTGACTTTATATCTCGCAATTGCGACTTTATATCATGCAATTCTGACTTTATATCACGCAATTCTGATTTTATATCACGCAATTGCGACTTTATATCACGCAATTCTGACTTTCCATCCAAAAAAATTCAGAATTGTGAGATAAAAAGTCACAATTACCTTTTATATTTTTCATTCTATGGCGGAAACAAGCTTCCATATGCGTAATATGCATGTGCATTACGTCATGTCAAAACGTACTCTTTGAAACCCATTTTCAAAATTTGCGTTTTCACGCTCCCAAAAACCCAGTTGACGTGTAAATGAATGACCAAAGTGCAACGGTTTTCCATTTTTAGTTGCAAACAGTGTCGTGTACACGGACCATTAAGAACATCATTTTAATATAGTAAATATCTTAATAACATTCAGATATAATTTTAATAAAACATAATTTTAATGAGAATGGTAAATGCATCACATGTTAAGCGTGTACATTTGGCCTTACATACAAAAATATATGCACTAAAACGTTTCGACATGCATGGATAAATATTTGGTCAAAAAAATTATAATAAATAGCATTTTACAAATAAACTGTTTAAAATATTACTTAAAAATTTGCATTTTACTGTATTTTCGTTCTGGTCAGTAGAATCAAACCAACATGGCTTATGAAGGGGAATCATTTCGAGTCTCTATATATACCATAATACCATGACATGTTTCTCCTTCATAAGCCTTTTTGGATATAATAAAGTCAAATGTTAGTTGTGGAAATATGCAAGTCAGCAGAAGCTTGTTCACCGTGAGGCGCTCAACGACGCTGATCTTCTTCTTTCTGTTAAAAAAAAATAAATTAATTAATTAAAACTATTATTTGCATTCCTTAAATACCATTGTATAACCGTAAATATAAGACTGTAAAATGACTTGAGCATGAAATTTAAACCCACTGAATGGCTAGGGATAAAATTATATGCCAAATGAATAGAGTGAATGGTGTTTGTATTGGGTCTGTGGCTGAATTAACGTCAGAGAGCTTGAGAAGGTGCAGAACAGTACAACACAATCGCCTCTAGGTGACTCTAGTGTTTCAAAAACCATTTCAAAGGTCAAAAAGACCCTGAGGAGCTGGAAGTCTGTCAGTTATTCATCCGCACAAACACACTTACCAATGATCAACCAAGACAGCCTGGAAACAAAGCTAATGGAATATAAATCAGAGTGCTAATTATCCAATGAGAATAAAGTTCAACTGCCATCTTCTAACTGAACGTCACTCCTCAGAGGCCTAGGAAACTATGACTGTGTAATTTACAGTTAAACATTTGTGCAAGGTCTTACTTGTGTGCAAAAAAGATAATATGAGTAATTAACATGATAATTGCATTTTTTTAATATAACAAAGTGAGAAAAGTACTTCCAAGGCCAAAATGAAGAAGAAAAGGGTGAACATGGTGAGTTTCCCACCACAAACCTTTAAGCAATTAAGCTGATTTACACATTTCACTCATTTTACAATATGTTTGTGTGACAGAAATTTCTAGAAGACGACAAAATCATGGTAGGTCTATTATGTATTGAATATATTGTCTGATTAATGATGTTTCTTTTGAGATACTATTGACTTCATTGGTGTTAAAATACAACTAAAAACTAAATTTAATTGGTACTGTTTTATTTTTAAGTCCATCAGTGGTTTAACCCCTACAGTATGTCAGCTTATCCAATACAAAAGTCCACTATAATCGTTACTTAAAGGGATAGTTCACTTTGAAATTAATTTTTGATATGTTTTAGCTTACCTCAAGGGCATCCAAGATGAGTAGGTGTCTTTGTTTCTGCAGTAGTTTCAATTTTTATATTTTTAGGTCAAACCGTTTGTGTCTATCAGTCATATAATGGAGGTCTATGGTCACCACCTCAAAGAGCATGCACAGAGAAGTCCAAATTAAACATGATTTAATGACTCGTAAATGTAAGTACACACTGATGGCGTAAGACACGAAACGAGCGGTTTGTGTAAGAAATCGAACAGTATTTATATCTTTTTTACCTCTTGTAACCACAGCCACGTCCAAGTGATCTGAGGGCGCGAGCGTTTTGTGGCTGTGGTTACAAGAGGTAAAAACGATATAAATACTGTTCGTTTTCTCACACAAACCGCTCGTTTCATGTTTTAGGCCATCAATGTGTACTTACATTTACGAGTCATTAAATCATGTTTAATTTGGACTTCTCTGTGCATGCTCTTTGAGGTGGTGACCATAGACCTCCATTATATGACTGACAGACAAGAACGGTTGAAAATACTGCAGAAACAAAGACACCTACATCTTGGATGCCCTTGAGGTAAGCTAAAACATACCAAAAAATTAATTTCAAAGTGAACTATCCCTTTAAATGACTTGTTACACCTCAATGTTCCTTGGGTTTTAACAGAGCTTGGAAAAAATATTTTAAGTGTAACACTTCTGTTGCTTGGAAAAATCTAGAAAATATATTACATTTGTCCAAGCACCAGTTTTTAACAACTGAATTCCAACTATAAACATTTTGCAAATAAGGAAGTGTAGGGTGTTTCTCGTTTTTTAGAAAATCACTGTTCTTTACCTCCATCTGTTGCTGAATCCATGTGATAGCTTCAGTTATGCTGGTGTAAACACCTGGTTTGTTTTTTTGTCCACAGCTCTCAGCCCAGCTGGCTGTCCCCACCAATGTCCACCCGGACCCCTGACAGGCCAGCGGCCCTCCGTTATCGCCCTACAGACAGAAGACCAGGGATTAAACTAAGGTGCAAATACATTCAAGTGTACTTGTTGTTTCAATAATGACTCTTGCAGTTTATTATGATGACACAAAGATGCAATACCTGACATGTACCAGCTCCGCCATCCAAGTATCCTGCACAGATGTTCCATGAGGTCAGACCCCGTCTGCCACATTTTCTGACGGACAGTAACGGGACCTGAGTGACATGTAGGGACACACTGGCCTCTCCTGCACAACACACACACACACACACACACACACACACACACACATGTGCATTCTGAAGAGTCAACTCCAATTATATAAGACGATATAGTACTCAACAGCTGTGAAATTTGGAAGAGATACCAGTTATTCAGTAGCTCAAATTTGATTTTTTTTTTTTTTTTTTTTTTTACATTAAATGCCCTTAAAAATGTACTAATAGCTGATGGATCCACACTCACCATCATTCACTGTGGCTCCCCAGCCTGAGATTAAACACATCTGTCCATCCTCAAAGCTCTTGCCGTAACTGGGCAGACAGATGGGGGCTACTTGGTCTGGGGCAAAAAAAAAAGAGAGATTCATTTCTTTAAAATCATGCTTTTAAACCCATCTATTTGACAAATATTTCAGCCAGTGACAAAAAGCTAATTCTTACCGTTGAAAGACAGAGGTTGTTTGAGCCTTATCAGTGCTATGTTGTAGCTGAGTCCTTCTGGCCTGAAGCTCGCATGGTAGATGATTTTCTCCACAGAGAGAGCTCCAGATCCACTCAATGGCTGGTCTATCATCCCAGCATACACTGTCCATAACACTGGCTGAGCAAAACTTTGAACAAAAAGTATCACGAATGTAAGTACTGGACCATCACAAACTAATGTGGATTAGCCCAGAGCCAGTTTAAACTATGCTGGACCAGTATTAGATGAATTTGAATTAACCAGTCAGGACAAATACCAGACCAGCATAAACCAGGCTGGACCGTCACAGAACCAGTTTTGTGGACCAGCACCAGATCATCACCAACCAGTATGGACCAGCATCTGAGTAGCATAAAACAGCCTAGACCAGTACCAGACCATTAAAAACATGTCTGGACCAGCACAGAACCATTCTGGACCAGCAATAGACAATCACAAACCAGTGTGGACCAGCAAAGAACCAGTATGGACCAGCATCTGACTAGTATAAAACAGCCTAGACCAGTACCAGACCATTATAAACAATCTGGACCAGCTCAGAACCAGTGTTGACCAAAACCAACCAGTATGGACCAGCATCTATCTTGTACAAAACAGTCTAGACCAGTACAAGAGCGTTATAAACATGTCTGGACCAGCACAGAACCATTCTGGACCAGCAATAGACCATCATAAACCAGTATGGACCAGCAAAGAACCAGTATGGACCAGCATCTGACTAGTATAAAACAGCCTAGATCAGTACCAGACCATTCTAAACATGTCTGGACCAGCACAGAACCAGTGTGGACCAGCACCAGATCATCACCAACCAGTATGGACCAGCACAGAAACAGTATGGACCAGCATCTGACTAGTATAAAACAGCTTAGACCAGTACCAGACCATTATAAACAATCTGGACCAGCTCAGAACCAGTGTTGACCAAAACCAACCAGTATGGACCAGCATCTATCTTGTACAAAACAGTCTAGACCAGTACAAGAGCGTTATAAACATGTTTGGACCAGCACAGAACCATTCTGGACCAGCAATAGACCATCATAAACCAGTATGGACCTGCACAGAACCAGTATGGACCAGCATCTGACTAGTATAAAACAGCCTAGACCAGTACCAGACCATTATAAACAAGTCTGGACCAGCACAGAACCATTCTGGACCAGCAATAGACAATCACAAACCAGTCTGGACCAACACAAAACCAGTATAAACCAGCTCTGAGCCGTTTTTGCATGATATACTCACCCATAGACGCAGTGAGCAGCAGTGAGTATCCAGCGCTCACTGATGACTGATCCTCCACAGAGATGCTGGTTCTGGTAGTGCAGGCTGACCTGCCATGGGACCTGCCCGGGCCTCGACACGTTCCCTCCCACAATACGACTGCGGGCGGCTGGCCTGGAACCACACTCTGCACAACAACACACCAGCTAGATCTGTCCATTTTCTGGGGGAATTTTTTCTTTGCACATGCAAAAGTCACTGACATAATACTATGTTGCTACAGTATGTGGTTGTGAGTGTTTTTACTATACAGTCCCTCCAGGATTTCACGATTTTTTTTTGTGATTTTTGCGATCAAAATGACTGATTTTGTGGTGGTAATTTCCAAAAATTTGTGAAAAAATTTGCGACATTTATATATAATATTTACCATAATAGTTTTCAGTCCTTCCAGAAAAACGCGGAGTATTTTTGTGATTGTTGCGGGCAAAAATTGATTGATTACGCGGCCCGTTTTCTTTTAAAATGCAATGGAATATGCGGGATATTTATGCAATGAAATTGCAGGAATTTGCAAAAATTGAGGGAACTTGCAAAAATTGCGGTTTGATGAAAAAGAGAAAGAGAAAAAATGATTCCCCCAACATCGTGTTCTCACTAGGCTAATGTAAGAGTCATTTCTTATTACTTCCTTTGATAAGCAAGCATACTACATCATAGAAAGTGCTGGGAATGTTTAATTTCTCATCTTGTTTTATTTCAGACTGTAACGAGTGTAAATAAGGTGTGGCCCCTTTAAGAGCTGTGCGCTCCCTGTTGAACTCTCTGCAGTGTTATATGTGCGCCTTGAACACCCCATGTGTGCGGGTAATTTCTGTTTGATGCTACACTTCTTTTATCTTATGTTGTTTATTAAGTAACGATGTGACGGTAGAACGTGTGACAGACAGTTATACGAGTTCGATTTGTGAGATGTCAATCGCCTCCGTGAGTCTGTCTGGCGTCGCGTAATTGCGTCACTTCATAACGTTCCCATGGAAACAGGGGGAAATGGCTGCTCTTGTGTGAAGCAAACGCAACATTTTTCAACTTTCTGCTAAGATACATGTGACTTTTTTGCAACGAAACTTTTTTTGCAGCGAGGATTATGAAATTATGCAAACCCCGCATATTTATGCGGCGAAAGTGCGGCGTATTTGAAAAAATGCGGCCCCCGCATAAATATGCGGACTTTGGCTGATTTTGCATTGAATTCAGCGATCGCATAATCGCGTTTTTCTGGAGGGACTGACTATACATACGTTATAGCTATTTGGTTGCTGGGTATTCAAGGGTGGATGTATTCATTGTTGTTCTGGGTGGTTACTAACTGATTACTGACTTTTTATTGTCATATACACAATATTATCAAGATGAAGACAATCTTAACTTTTATGAGAGTATGATCTACTTAAACTGCAACAATTACACTCATTTCTTATCTTTAAAAGATTAATATCAGCTACTCACCTATACATTTGACAGCTGTCACTATACCAGAACTGCAGAGAGTCTTTCTGAAATAACAGAAAAAACACTTTTAGTGAAATCGATATTTCTGTCTGACTAAACTGTTCTCGTTTCATTTAAATGCCTCCATTTATCTTTTATTCTAAAAATCAAATTGGCTTGTCTGGTCAAACTGTGTCACAACTCTGATCTCATTTTATTGCAGCATGGAGTCAAGATGTCTCTTTTCTTTTTTCATCTCAGCTGCCAAGAATAAGGCCGATCTCTATAAGGTAAGATATCTCACAAACACAGTCCTGACTGCTTTATCAGATCCCAAAAACACTCCTGAACATCAGTATCTGCAGAGACACTTCAGTACTGAACGATCTGCCATGTAATGCATCAGTCACTGGACTGATCGTATTTGACAGTCTTTGGCCTAAATACTTCCTCCTCAGGCTTGAGTCTATTTGATTTGGGCCTGAGAAAAAGAGACACGGAAATGCTCATTTGAAAGCTAAAGAGCAACCGCTATTAATATCATAGTCAACACGTACAGGGCTTCAAAATTTGGGCTTAAAATGATCATTTGGCTTGTTTGAAAGGAGAGTCGCCGGATTCAAAAAAGAAAAGATTTGCGTCATTCAAACTTACATTTGGACCACAATGTTTTAAAACAAACTTTTATATATATACTTAAATGTGGCTTAGAATACTAAAACAAAACAACCAATCTGATATAAGTCTCACATAGCTGAAATAAAGGCTACATCATAATATCACGTTCAATCGTTTCGAATAAATCGAGATAAGAAGGGCCCGTTTACACAATACAATTTTGTTTCTTTTTTTTTTTTACGTAAAATTTTTTATGCGTTTCGGCCGTTCATTTACACAACAATGGCATTTTGGGAGCCTGAAAACCCAGAGTTTTGAAAACAGGTTTCAAAGTGTACTTTATATCACATTTGACTTTATATCTTGCAATTTAGACTTTGTATCTCGCAACTCTGACTTTATATCTTGCAATTCTGACTTTATATCACGCAATTGACATTATATCTCGCAATTCTGACTTTATAATACGCAATTGCGACTATATCACACATTTCTGACTTTATATCTCTCAATTTCGACTTTGTATCTCGCAACTCTGACTTTATATCTCGCAATTCTGACTTTATAATACGCAATTGCGACTTTATATCACACATTCCGGACATTATATCTCGCAATTTCGACTTTATATCTCGCAATTCTGAATTTATATATCGCAATTCTGACTTTATATCTCGCAATTCTGACTTTATATCACGCAATTGCTTCTTCATTTCTGACTACATCTCGCAATTCTGACTTTATAATACGCAATTGCGACTTTATATCTTGCAATTCTGACTTTATATCTCGCAATTCTGACTTTAACACGCAATTGTAACTTTATCACGTAATTTCGACTATATCTTGCATTTCTGACTTTATATCTCGCAATTCTGACTTTATAACACGCAATTGCGACTTTATATCTCGCAATTCTGACTTTATATCTCGCAATTCTGACTTTATATCTCCCAATTCTGACTTTATAACATGCAATTTCGACTTTATATCTCGCAATTCTGAATTTATATCTCACAATTCTGAGAAATCTCAGAGATTTAAACTAGCAATTGTGAGAAAAAAAGTCAGAATTGTGAGATAAAAAGTCGCAATTACCTTTTTTTATTTTTCCTTCTGTGGCGGAAACAAGCTTCCATAGTTATCGGCTCTGTGTAAATGGGTTTTATTTTTTCAAACATCTACTGGCCTGTCAGCAAAATACAGCGATTTTAGACGTTTTTGTGGATCCATTTGAACAGGATCAGAACTTCAAAAATGCAAAGGAAAAACTTTTCAGGTTTTAGTACATTGTTGTCGTGTAAACACATTACACAAGCCAGTTCAAAACTGTTGCAAATCTTTGTAACTGAATCACTAGAAGAACCGGTTCATAAGAGTCATTTGTTCGCGAATCGGACATTACTGCGCACTCGTTGCATGCGCTCTATATATTTGAAATCTGGTGAAGGCTCATATACAGACATGTTTGTAAAATGTAATGGAGCCTTAGAAACCACAGTGTTAAACTAATGCTTTGTTTTGGCAGGGTATATTCGGTTGCTTTAGCACGCAGGTGTGTAAAAGAAGGTTTACCTAACGTATGAAGAGTTCTGGATCTTGAAGGTGTCTTGAAGGGATGTTTGGTTGATAGTGAGAGCCACTAGATTATTCTGAAATACTGCTTCAATAGAGGAGATGGGAATGGCAGCAGAGCTTACGTAACTACAACCAGAGAGAGAGGAGTACAAAAGAGAAATGATTATTACCAAGAATCGATGGGATAATACTTGAACACACTAAAATGGCACAATTTGAAAAAGGTTTGAATCCAGTGTAAATTGCTTGTATAATGAAAACAATTACATGGGAATAAAGTGCTCTCATATTCTAAAGCTGGAGCACTCAGTACATTCTCATTAAGTTTATATTAAATGCTAAAAGACACAAAACTACAGTTGTAGAAGAAATTGTTCTATATAGAACCTCTATAATAACTCTATATAAGGTTCTATATATAGTCTATAGTCTATATAAGGCTATATTAGGGTTCTTTATAGAAACCCACTGAACCTTGTATAGCCAAAACAGAAATATCTCTGTTTCCCTCTCAATTTCACACTTATTTACTTTCATTCATAAGCTGTTACTTCTGAAAAGATGAAATCAGTTGACTGAGACGTGGCCCGAGGGACTGTAATTAATCATTATTTCTGGCCAAAACAGCTTCTAAATTTGAGATGGATTATAAAGACAGTGATGCCAAACAAAAAGATCAGACCTCTAAAATAAAAATAAAGAGGTGTTAAATGTAACATCTTGACCTAGTTGAGGTGAAACAGCGTTTGCAATGATGTTTTTTTTCTTCGTTCATTTAATGGCAGACTGATTTTAATTGGATTAACTATGCAGGTAATGAGGCCACTGGGAACAGAGGCACATTATTATTCATAGACACCCACACAGTGCAAGAAAACACACACACACACGTGAAAAGTATCACCATATTTCTGTTTAAAAGGGGGAAATCCCTGCTTTGCTCTGGAAAATTAATTTTCCATAAATAGCAAACATGGGCAGTGAAGATGGCTGTTAGTTAACAGAAATGAAGACCCAAAATGTGTAAATGCCATGGAAATTTTAAATATACATATATAGTTCCTAGTTAGAAATATGTTATTGGATGGAAATTGTTAGTTCCGTAAAACTTAAAATAATAGCCCGGACTTTTATTTTCCAAAATAATCCTGCACTGGCTTGTATTTGAGACAGGCGTCTACATGAGACGGGCCTTCATATTTAGTGTTGAGATGTTGTTCATTGAGTGAAGAAGTAGTTTACTGTTTATTAGTATTTTATTAATTGCTGATTCATAAAATATTAATTAATGAGGAAGGTTTATTGTAGGCTACTTTCACCACATGTAAACTAGTTAAACAACTGAAGCCTTATTGGAGAGTGTCTAAACCTTAATTTTATCAGCAGGGCTTACTTCTGCTATTGTAGACTTATTTTGTAAATGGAACCAAATTTAGACAAGTGCAAACTGGGTGCTTAATGCAAATGTGTTCCTATTTACAAAACGAAAGGCTTTTATGGTCGCCCATCAATGCAAATGTAAAAGGCGTCTATTTGACTCGTCTACTCGGTTATTATTTGAAGTTTTACTGTAATATATATGAAGAGTTCAGATGCAAAAGCCTCTAAATGCCATTTGAAATTTTCTTCTTTAATGATGATTTTTATCAAACTTGTATATTTAAGTTCAGTAATTTCACTTAAATAACAATTAATAGGTAATTATCATTGCCATTTAAGTGAAATCACTGAACTTAAATATACAAGCTTGATAAAAATGATCATTCTAGAAGAAATTTTCAAATGGCATTTAGAGGTTTTTGCATCTGAACTCTTCATATATATATATATATATATATAGACCATTTCACAAGATGTAAACAACACTGGTCCAGAAGCACTTCCTGTTTCAGTTTGTAACTGTTTTCTTTATTTCACATGTAAAGAAAACATAAAGATGTTTGTTTAACTTTTTGATTCAGTTTTAAATGTTCTGTTGGTTGTATTTTATCCCAGCTTTTATGTAGTGTTAAAAAACTGAAACAGGAAGTGCTTCTGGACCAGTGTTGTTTACATCTTGTGAAATGGTCTATATATACTCACACACACCGGTATAAAAAAAATCCTAATTCGTAATCCTATCCGGTAAATCACACAAAAAAGAGAGAGATATATAACTAAAAAATAATTTAAAAAGACTGGAAACCCTAAAGAACATTCAGCTCTTGAAACTGAAATTTAAATGACTGGAATCCAGTCCATCTGCCCCGACACACTTAAATGATAAATATTCATTGTAATTGTGTTTGTACCTGGTGTATCCCAGTTGTCTGCAGGCTAAGGAGCCCAGGTGAGAATCCCAGCCTTCAGAGCACACAGTCCTCCACGAGCCCCTGCTGAACACCTGCAGCACAGAGCTTCTGCCACTCACACGCACTGAGACCGAGAGAGAGATGCGAAGGTCAGTCAAGACATGCACGCTTCACATGCTGTCACATCTGGGGTCCGGTTTTAATTATTTTGTAAGATTTGCTTAATATATATATATATATATTTAGAGTATAGAGACAGACAGGATCAGCCCACCACAGTTGAGTTCATCTTCTCCATCTCCGCAATCCTCAACTCCGTCACACACCGCTGTTCTGCTGATACACCGAACTGACGACATGCAGTGAAACTTTCCTGAGCAACTCTCCAGACCCACTGGGGACAAAGAGACTGCTTTCAAAATGCATGATGGTGACTGAGACACACACACACACACACACTCTCTAAGAGAACTTAAAACAACCATCTGTTAGCAGTGACCTACTGTCATAGGTGGAGCTCATTAAACATTTACTAACTCAACTTTACACACACACACATTTATTTTCGTCATGTTGGGGACTTTTCTTTTACTTCTATTGTCTATATACTGTATACAATTCAAAATAACTGCTTTCTGTGTGAATATATTTTAAAGTGTAATTTATTCCTGATGTAAAGCATCATTATGCAAGTCGTCAGTGTCACATGATCCTTTAGAACTGGATTAATGATGCTGCAATGATGCTGCTGCAGCTTTGCATCAGAGGAATAAATTACATTTGAAAATATATACAAATAAAAAACTGTTGCAATAACATTTCAAAATATTTCTGGGTTTTACTGTATTTTTGATCAAATAAATGCAGCCTTGGTGAGAAAAAAAGACTTCTTTCAAAAACATTTTAAAAAGTAAGAAAAAGTTAACGTTGAAATTAATTTGGTATAATTGAATTTTTTGATATGTTTTAGCTTACCTCAAGGGCATCCAAGATGTAGGTGTCTTTGTTTCCACAGTATTTTCAATTTTGATATTTTTAGGTCAAACTGTTCTTGTCTGTCAGTCATATAATGGAGGTCTATGGTCACCACCTCAAAGAGCATGCACAGAGAAGTCCAAATTAAACATGATTTAATGACTCGTAAATGTAAGTACACATTGATGGCCTAAGACACGAAACGAGCGGTTTGTGTGAGAAAACGAACAGTATTTATATCGTTTTTACCTCTTGTAACCACAGCCACGTCCAAGTGATCTGAGGCCGCGGACGCTTCGGTCTGCGCAAGCGCCGGAAAGTGCCAGAAGTGATCTCTAGTGCGGTTGCGAAAAATCAGCGTTGTCTGTTAATATATTGAAATCGTCTTCCATTGCGATTTCCTGTATATCTAAATATGTTTACATCTTCACAGTGAAAGGTAAAATTTCCGAAATCTCTGTGGCGCTTTCCAGCGCTTGCGCAGACAGAAGCGCCAACGCCCTCAGATCACTTGGACGTGGCTGTGGTTACAACAGGTAAAAATTGTATAAATACTGTTCGTTTTCTCACACAAACCGCTCGTTTCGTGTCTTAGGCCATCAGTGTGTACTTACATTTACGAGTCATTAAATCATGTTTAATTTGGACTTCTCTGTGTATGCTCTTTGAGGTGGTGACCATAGACCTCCATTATATGACTGACAGACAAGAACAGTTTGACCTAAAAATATCAAAATTGAAAATACTGCGGAAACAAAGACGTAAGCTGAGGTAAGCTAAAACATACCAAACATAAATTTCAAAGTGAACTATCCCTTTAAGTTGGGAAAAATGTTGTGGCCAAATTATAAAAAAAAAACACACACTCACCTCCCAAACCTATTCCCAGTGACAGAATCAAGACTATAAGCAAGACCACGATGATAAGCAGAGCCAGCAATCTGCGAGACACATACGGCCAACACAAAGATTTCAAGTTTGACAGGTCCTCCCCTGCGAGAGAGAGAGAGAGAGAGAGAGAGAGAGAGAGAGAGATTGAATAATTGATTGAATAAATCAGTCTGCTGAAGGCCAGTGCTGTCACTGGAGTAAGACTGATTAGATCACATTTTAACACCTCAGGTAGCAGAGGTGGCCATGTACACCACTCACCGAAACCATTCCAATTTACTTACACCCTGTCACACACCTTGAAAGCAAGAAGCTTGCTTACCATCCAAGAAGGGCTGGACCTTGATGACGGGCACGCCTGGGCTGGGTGGGATCTGAATGTTGTGGACTTTGTTGTACACAGGCAGTGGAGCTGACGCCACTGTAGGCAACTCGACAGGGACGTGGGGGTCCTGCGAGCCCGGGTCGTAGAAGTGAATCGAATGGCTGTTGTGACTGCTGAAGGAGCTCACGTTGAAAGTATTGGGGGTCTCCACAATGGGAAGGTCCTCTTCTGTGATCGAGACCAGCTCAAGAGCTCTAGATTCAGTGCCGTCCTCTACTACCAGATCCTGAGAAAGTTGCTGAGAAGACTGACGAAAAAGAAACACTTTTAAATGATATCAAGGTATAAATAATATTGGAATAATTATGTTGTTGTTGGTTTATGTTTTCCTCACTATCCCTGCATTTATTTGATCAATTATACAGTAAAAACAATGAAATATTATTACAATTTTTACAAACTATAATACATTTTCAAATGTAATTCATTCCTTATTACTCCAGACTTTAGTGTCACATGATCCTTCAGAAACATTAATAATTTTTCTTATTATTATTAATGTTTAAAATAGTTTTGCTTCTTGAAACTGTGATAGACTTTTTTCAAGATTCGTTGATGAATAGAACGTTTTTTGGAAACAGAAACCTTCATAAATGTCTTTACTGTCACTTTTGATCAATGTATTTTGTCATTATTATGAAAAGTCCAATGAAATGTGAAATTTTGCACACAAAAAAAGTGAATAACTTTCATATAAATATTTGGCAGCAACATTGTTCATCATAAAAGGAGGTGAAGTTTTGGTAGTGTGTCATTGTTTCCACAAAAAAGTTAAGCAGCACCACTTTTTTTTTTTTTTAAATTCTACCAGACCAACAAAAAGAAAGCTTTACACATGTACACTTTCACAATGAAGTGTATTCACGGTGTAATGACAAAAAAAAGAGCCAGGTGTATGGAGTGACACCAGAGAGAGAGTATGTGGCAGCTGATGTGATAGACGCACGCGCCTTGTCAACCTTGATATAATTTAAAAGTGTCTGAAACACAAGGACACCAGCGAACTCTCAGTCATGCTTCCTTACCCTCTCCTCCCGGCTTCCTCCCTCTGATCCCGGCCGCTCCGTCTCTCCTGTGGTCTGGGAATAAGAAGCCATGATGACTGTTCTTTCATCCTCTCATCTTGGATGAACGAGGCAAATGAGAGACGACACTGACACCGATCTACTTAGGAAGTAAGAAAGTGACGTTATGAATGGGAATCCAAGGCCCTCAGCCTGTTTAATCCTTGTTAGAAAGAATGAAGGATGAAATATTCCAAGTGACCGCCTGTGAAATTAGCTTTGGAGAAATTGAGGTGACTAACTGGAGAGCTTGAGAACTGTCCTTCTGACTGACTTCATATCTTATTCTTGTTCCCCCCTCTCTCTCTCTCTCTCTCTCTCTCTCACACACACACACACACACACACACACACACAGTGACACCTGAGCAGGTGTGCAGCAGTGTTTTGTAGTGTGACTACAGCTGTGGATCAGGTAATGCTGGACGGGCTCGGCTTCTGAGGTCCAGTTACACTAAAAGGTCAGGCAGGAGCACCAGGCACGAAAAGGTCACCAGTCTTTAGGCTGTTGCCTAATTTAATCCTATACCTCTTGGGCTTTTAATTACATTCATTAAAAGGATAGTTCACTTTGAAATACATTTTTGGTATGTTTTAGCTTACCTCAAGGGCATCCAAGATGTAGGTGTCTTTGTTTCCGCAGTATTTTCAATTTTGATATTTTTAGGTCAAACCGTTCTTGTCTGTCAGTCATATAATGCAGGTCTATGGTCACCACCTCAAAGAGTCCAAATTAAACATGATTTAATGACTCGTAAATGTAAGTACACATTGATGGCCTAAGACACGAAACGAGCGGTTTGTGTGAGAAAACGAACAGTATTTATATCGTTTTTACCTCTTGCCACGTCCAAGTGATCTGAGGGCGCGGGTGCGTTGTGTCTGTGGTGGTTACAAGAGGTAAAAACACTATAAATACTGTTAGTTTTCTCACACAAACCACTCGTTTCATATCTTAGGCCATCAATGTGTACTTACATAAAGCTGAATGATTAAGTGTTTCAGTATTTTTAACCCTTCATGGTCATTAAATCAACAAATCATTGGATTTGTTAAGGGTAGTTATGGGTGAGACAGTTAACAAAGTGTGTCAAAGAGAGTGTCATTACATCAGTCTAAAACTGAGAACCGTTGTTAGTTTTCCATCATGCTCTGAGAGCTGTATCTGGTGTCGTGGTGTCTTTTTTTTTACCCTGTTAGTGTGTTTGTGTGTGTGAGAGACTTATACATGCAGTGTCGCTTTCCCACCAGCAGATGTCACTGAAACGCTGTCACGCGTCTGCCGCTGCATGACGCATCTTGAGCTTTAGTTTTTTTCAGGCGGGTGTTCATGAGTCAGCGCCTTCTCGATTGTTACTGGTGAAGTGTGCTCTGTTGCAAAGATGATTCACATGTTTGTGTGATAAAGGAACCAATTTTTGCTCGGTTATAATCCGTTCCTCCCTCTCTCGTGCAGTCACGACTATACTGCGGTTTACTCAGCGTAGACTGACAGAAACAAGACCGTGACCGATGAGAAACTCAAGAGGCCAAATAGGCCTTGAGGCATTTATAGTTTCAAAACTTGTCTAACATTTCTCTCCAGTAGAAGCACTGAGGTGTCTAATTAAATTAAAACCAGCACTCATGTTCAACCATGAACACATTGATTGACCAGCGGTTTGTTTGTTTGTAATGGTTGCAAAAGTATTTGTATCCTGGAGTTGCTCAAAGAGAATTAGTGGCTCAGTGTTTTTCACTCAGAAAAGTAATAAATGTTGACATTTAGAGGTAGGATAAGAGCCAGTTACAGTTTGCTTTATTAAATGCATTTTCCCATTAAGATAGCTCTTAAAATGATTAATATGTTAAATAATTCTTAGCTCCAAACAGACTGAAGTTTCCCAGTCTCTCCTCTTTTGATGGGGAGATTCATAATTTAGGTTTGTGAAGCCTAAAGCTGCTGGCCCACCTGTCCAAAAATAGTCGAGTCCCGACCTTAGGCTTTGCATATGAGTCACAGTATTTTAGCTTCAGTGGACAATAAAGTACACAAGACATGTAGGTTTTTACAATAAATGTTAACTAAGTTTTGAGGTTTAGCTCTATAAAGTCTGATAGCTATGAAGTACTAGTCCGATCTTTTTTAAATGGAACAGTTTATTGAACCTTTAGACCAATTATAAAAATGTGCATATATAGTGTGTTTAGAATAAAAATATATGGAGCTCATACTAGATGAGGAAAAAACAGCTCAATTTTATTTAAAACATGATTTTTTTTTTTACATTTCAGACAGGCTGTCCTGGTTAAAGAAAGGTTAAAAGTCAAATAATTGAACTGAGCAGCAAAAATATGCAGTTTATATAAATATTTACAACAGTAGGCTATAAAACAGACTCCTGACATAATATGCATGTAAATGTCAGTTGTCGCTCTATATTTCCCAATAATATTATAAATTATAAAAGCTCTGTAGTTTTTATTGTGGGTCAAAACTACAATAGCCTACAAAACAATGTGAGATTCAAAAGCCTAATGTATTGGCCTATTTGATATCCTATACATTTTTACATGATTTTTCTAAATAGCCTATATATATATATATATATATATGTCTGTGTGTGTGTGTGTGTGTGTGTGTGTGTGTGTGTGTGTGTGTGTGTGTGTGTGTGTGTGTGTGTGTGTGTGTGTGTGTGTGTGGATATCAAGTAAACCTAAGTTGCGTCAGTGGTCTACATGTGTATTTTGATATACAATATACAAGTTATTCTAACATTTACTTTAGAAAAGCCTAAAAAATCAGTAAAGATTTCACAGCAAAAGGCCTATACCTATACTGAACTCTCAATCAGAGGGTATGAGGCATGTTGTAGAAGATTGTGCACAACACAATTTTTTTCCCATGTTGATAATTTAGAAGCTTCATAAATTAATGTAGGCTTGCAAATACTAAAGGATAGGCCTTAAGATATTTTCCATGGGTGGACATAATTAAAATTCAGAAAGAAGAGGATAGACGTGATAGGTGGCTAACAGTGACAACAGTGGTGATGTCAAACATCACCAATTCAGGGCTTGACGTCACCGCCGACAGCGCTAGCGATTGGAGGATTTAGAGCGCGTCTCTGTGTTGAAGGACCCCACTTCCGCAATACTACAGACAGACCTCGTTTTATTGCGCTAATACATCGCTGTAACACATGCTCCAAACTAACTATAGTTTTTTCAAAAAAAAAAATTTGTGAAAAACAATAAGTATATATACCCAGCCGGCATTTCAACGTTGATTCAACGTTGAAACAACGTCAGGTACCATGGTTGGATCAACGGTGAATTACCTTTCGATTTTGCAAAACGGATCAACGTTGATATTGTGACGTCGTTTCACCGAGGAAGAAACAACGTTGATTCACCGTTGAAATCGCGACGTCGTTTCACTCTTACCTTTCAAGTTATGGTCTACTGTCGACGTTAAATCACCTTTCGATTGAATCCGCGTTGATATTTTAATCCTGTACCCGCGTAGCCTTCCTGTAATTTTGCTTAAAGGTCAACACTGAACTGTAAACTTTTTTTTCGGACCATATTTAGTATTTTCAGCAACTAATAAAACTTAATTTGCATGATTTGCAATTGGACAGCATAAAAACGTTGTAACAATTATGTTCATATATCTACAGTGCAGGGATGAGATGCTTCATTTTTTAAAGAAAAAGATTAATAATTAAACCAAATGGAAAAATACATTTCCTTAGAATTTAAATATACATCTATATTGTACATTTTACACTTTCACATAATGTATTAAAAAAAAATCTCATTCAACAACAAAGCATTTTCTTAAGGGTTTAATGATTTCAGACTGCAGAGGGAAAAAGCTTTTCATTCAAATTTCATACACACTGCAATCATTCACAGAATAGCTTATAAAAATAATTACAAATATCGTTAGGAAACTTGATTAAGTCTTTGACCAAAAATACATAAACCGTAACACTGACAAACCATAAATGTTAAAATTGAGAAGGACATGATTTTCTCTCAACATAATTTTCTCTGGGTACTGTGAACATACTTTCAGAAGCCTAGACTCAAGACCGAAATACCACCACAAAATTCTGTGCATCAACATGGCGAGGTGTCCCCAAAAGTGTTCTGGCATCCTTAGGCAGCCAATGTCTCAGCACAGAAAGGAGCTCATCTACAGATGTCCGTGTTGTTTTGTTCAGAACCGCCCATTTTGCCAAATCACTCCATAACTCTCTGATTTCATCTGAAGAGGAGCCAGTTTCAGTGTCATCAGTGGTCATCCAGATCAAGATTCTCAAGATTACGGTCAGCAATACTTCCTGCACAATCTTCTCTCAGAAGGTTTTCAGAACTGATGGTTGCACAAACACCAGCCTGGGCAGAAACAAAAAAATGATCCTCCAAGTCACTACTAGAAAGCGTCATTGCAAGCAATTCTGCATTTTGCCGTCTCCGTTTTTTATGGTTCGCCATCTATAAAAATTAAGTATGAATTTCATATGCCATAACTAGAAAGTACAGGACACTGATAAAACTATTTTGAAAATTGTCTAAAAATATGGGAATGGGATTGTAAAAAAAAAAACGGTCGATTAAAATTTAATTACTTCTAGTTTTGTCAAAGTCTGTGTAAAGTAAAATTTGTGAATTGTAAACACATAAATGTTAGAAATGCATTGTTTAAACATGTTACAAAGACTGTGAACTACATAATATTTGATGGTGGAGTTATACTGTTAAACAGTTTTTCACCATTTTTTATGAGCAAGATTTATTGGGCAGGGGATCAAAAAAATCACTAAAAGTTTAGTTAGAAAGCCAGATTCAGACATATCCATGCCTTTTGATTCAACTAAAACAAAAATATGGATATGATGCTTTGAGTGACAGCATGAGCTCCGCTGTTTGCAGTAACAGTTAAAAAAGATAAATAATGCAATTTTCATCGTCTTTTTAAAGGGATACTCCACCGTTTTTTCATATTAAACTATGTTATTCCTTAACTAAGGCGAGTTGATACATACCTCACTCGTCTCAGTGCGTGCGCTCAATCGCTCTGGTGCAGGAGACACTGTGATCGCACTTAACTGGCCCAGGTCATCCAATAGGGTCCAAGTAGAGAAGCGACCAAACAACTCCGCGTTTTCCCTCAGCGCAGTAATATCATCACTCCGGATAGGGAGAGAGGACTTTTCATGAGTGATGATATGATATTACTGCGCCGAGTCGAAGTGCTCCCAAGCACTTGCTGTGGTATTCCACCATACATTATAGCTATCCACTTTACACGATTAGAAAAGCGCAACGTTTTATTTTGTGTCACCGTCCTAGGTCGAGTTACTCTACTCGTGTAACTGTATTTAAATAGGGAAAATGTGGAGGTGTTTGGTCTCTTCTCTGCTTGGCCCCTATTGAATGAACTGCGCTGAACTATGTGCTATCAAAGTGTCTCGCGTGCCAGAGCGATTGAGCGCACGCACTGAGACGAGAGAGGTATGCATCAACTCGTCTTGGTTAAGGGAATAACAGTTTAATATGAAAAAAAAAAAACAAACAGTGGAGTATCCCTTTAAGAAAATTATGCAAAATAGATGTGCACGGCCAGTGAAAAATAATTCTGGACCCCATAAACAAACCTTATTTTTTAATTCCGACTAATAGCGGTTTCATGCTGTAAAATGCAGGACTCACTGTGAGTTGGCTGGTTTCTCTGAGAAAACTCTGAGCACGAAGTCTCCCTCTTTGCTGGGCTCGAAAGTGGACAACACGATGTCCTCTCCGGCCAGCAAACGAAAGCGTGAGCTCACCTCCCGCAGGTTGATGAAGAGCTCAGAGCGAGCACTGGACACGTGACTGAGGAAGAAATCTCGCTTCAGGTGTATGGCCGACCTGCCCGTATAATGAGCGGAGAAACACACACAACATCAACTGAGGGTTGAAATCCTGAGGGTCAAAACTCTGAAATATCTCACAATCTAAAATTCAGTCATTCAAACGGCCTCTCATCGTACCTCATTTATTGACGCAAGGGAGCCACCGAGCACTGGCCCGACTGCTTAGGGAAGAAATAATAAAAATTAAATATACACAAATAAAAAACTTTGTACATTTTATAGTTAACAGAATAGATAGCAGAACATTACAATCTAAAATTGCTCTTTAAAGCATTAAAAATCACACAATTAAAAGTTAAAATAACTAAAGTAAAAGTACATTTTAGTTGCTATGAGACACACATTAACTTAGAAATTAGGACTAATTTGCTTACAGTATTTTATTAGCAGTAACTAAGCTTAACCCCTTTACAGTTACTAATATTATAAAAATACATGTAACGTTAGGTTTAAAATTCTACAAAAGGCACATAATCTGTGCAACATAGTCTAATTAAACAATTATTTGCTCAGAAAACTTGCAAAACAGTAAAACTAACATGAAAAAGAATCGTGATAATATTGTGAATCATATTTAAGACATAAAATAAACTCGATTGGATATTGTTTTCCATATCGCCCATCTCGTTCATTCTCCTTCCCTTGGCTGAATCTCGCGATATTACTGTGAATGGACAGTAATACTAAACAGAAAAATTAGCTTATCGAACGTTAAGCTTTTGTTTCCTGATTTTTTTTTTATCTGCGTACACACGTAACGCTATAATATCTTCTCCCTGAAAATCGACGTAGCAACCGCAAAAACACAAAAAGACAATGAAGCGGCACGAGTAACGTTACCTCAATCGACATTTTAAAAAAAAGTAGGCCTCCGCGACACAAATTAATGTGGAAAAGCATTTCCTGAATATCGAGTTAAGAAATTCATTGAACAAACTGCATTTTTCCAAGCACTGACATGCATTAAGTCTAAGTCATGACCTTACGTATATTTGTGAAATCAGACTTACCTTTAGGTCCCGCGGCCGCAGATCACTTTCTATCGTGCTCTCTTCTCTTGGTCAGTCTCGCAATCAGAAAGACGGTCAGGATAACGGTCATATTTTCAAAATGAAATAGGCGCGCACAGTTTCATTGGCCAGTTTCATGAATGACAGACAGATTAACCAATCATAATCATGAAAGCAAATAAGGTTAAAACCAATAGGAATTGTTTTATACCGGTAATATTTATATTAGAAGGTTCATGATAAAAATGTAAAATGATTATAAAATAATAATAATAATGATCTTAATAATAATTTAAAAGGAAGAAATAATTTATTCTGTACATACATTAATTGATTCAACATAGATCTTAAAAAAATATCAAAGTTGATTTATAAGTGTTTTTTTTTTTTTTACCCTTTTTCAACCATTTATTAAACATTATTTCAACGTAGTTTCAACATTGAAAAAAACAACTGGCATTATTTCAACCATATTTCAACGTTAAAGGTTGGTCATGTTTTCAACCATTTAACATCAAACGTTGTATCAACGTTGTTTCAACGTTGAAACAACAACTGACATTATTTCAACCAAATTTCAACGTTGAAGGTTGGTCATGTACTGGTTGTTTTTCAACCATTTAACATTAAACGTTGTATCAACGTTGTTTCAACGTTGAAACAACAACTGACGTTATTTCAACCATATTTCAACGTTGAAGGTCGGTCGTGTGCCGGCTGGGTATGTAGCTGCCATATAGCGTTAAATCCAGCATGTGCTAATACTCATACATCCCAATCTGGATTTATTCTGATTTAATTCGGTTTAAGTGATGGATTCATGCTAATGTCATCCGCCACCTCTTCTATACCCGAATCATGATTAAAAATAAGCCTACGGACACGACACGAGCACTGCTGTACGAGCGTCGTCGTGATGTCAGTGAATTTAGGTGCCCCCTCAGAATGCCTGAGTAGTTGCGCTCGCCAATGAGCGTCTCCAGTCGGTGTGAATGTCCTTCATTTCTCTGTCTGGCTAGTGAACTTGCCATCACGGATCCTAATTTGGATTTTTCTTTAAGGGAAGAAAAGCACCTCTCCGGTTCGCCACTACTCCTTAATCGCGTGACATTCTGGAGCGATTAAAACAACTTTAACTGCGCGCGACATGGAATGCCGAGTGCTGTCGATTCAGAGTCATGTCGTGAGAGGATACGTGGGGAATAAATCTGCATCCTTCCCGTTACAGGTGAGCAGCTGAAGCACGACAATGCACTCGTGATAATTATGTTATAGTGCATGACAGCATGCTGGTGGAGAAAGGAAAGGTCACATGGTCAGTATTCCTTTGCATGCTGTTCTTGTGATATCTATGAAGTGAACTTCCCTTATTCTGAGTCTAGGCTATTTAATTCCCAGAACTTGGCCTTTTGATGCTTGTTGCAGCCGGAATTCAAGATGCTTCTATTAATAGTACTATTAAAGGCTACATTTATATGCCACATGAACTTAATAAAGCTCGTGTTGTTAAAACACCGGCAGTTTAATGCTCACAACCCGATGCGGTGAGATGTCATCATTAGCATGAGTGACACTGCCGTGATTCATCACCAGAAATGATTCGGATATCATTGATTCTCGGTTTCTGAAAGATCATTTGGCATGAGGGTTCGAGCCCTGTCCAAACTATTAAATTGGGCTCATTAGCTTTTGAATGGCTGCAGCTGTCATGCCACCAGAAAGCGGCTGTCTTCCTCTCGTGCGTGCTCGCGCTGTTTTACGATTACAAGACTGACGTCACAGCCGCGAGACTCAATCCCAGCAAAATCGTGACATGTTTTTTTTCCAGCGGCTCTCCCAGCCACCCACGCTCGTGCATCCTGCTATTTAAATGCATTTTCTTTAAACTTTCAGTCCGTGTCTTTCATTGACGGAGAGCGCTATTTGCATTGACCCTCATGTTTTGAAAATGCCTTTATGTTTTGGTTCCGAGAAACTCGAAATCTGTACGTGTATCATATACTAATAGTGGTGGTACAAGTAATAGTAAGTGAAATGAACCTTTTATTTACCATTCAAATTCTTCCAATGTGTTATTTGACAATCAAATTCCAGTAGACAGATAGATGGCATTAAACGGAATTGATTGAATGGTTGTGGTTTGCTATTGGTGGATCTCATGTGAGTGACAGGTTGTCCCGCCCTCACGCCAGTAAACACGTCATCAGAGAAGAGATGTTGCTGCTAGAGGGGCACATGCATAATAAAATAACTAATTTATAATAAACACTGCAAAATTCCATAAAATACTGTTTTTCATGCATCTGTCAATTTAGAATTTTGAGGCTTTTCATAAAGTTAAAACGTCCAAAATACACTGTATTATGTGGATCTTTTATAGCACTTTATCTATTTGTGTCTGTAGAATTAAATTACAGCATATATCTTTAAAAGCGTTTTAAAACTTAACTTAATTCATATCTATATTCTGAAGGATTTTTTTTGTTCCTATATAATTTGCCTGATTTTATATAAGATTTTATTCCTTAAAAATAATTTTTCCTGATTTATGGAGTTATTACAAAAAATAGATATACAAAATCCAAACTGTAAAAACTTTTGAATCTAATGTTAAAAAAAGAAAAGAAACAAGAATTTTGAACCTGACTTCATCCAATTTTCTTTTTTTTTTGTTCTAGAAATGTATGCAAATTAATGGATATTTAATTAGATAATTCGAGAACCCTAGAATTCGATAATTTCAGAACATGTAATACAAAAATAAGCTATTTTTAATGTATTCAATCAACTGAGGAAGTATAGTATCATTAGTTTTTTTTTTTTTTTTTTTTGCCAGATTAACCTGGTGTGCCTTTAGTTGTTTTTCGCTCTAATTTTTGGACTTTGGACTAGATGTTAAAACAGCAAATCCACTGCAAGAGAAAACGCACATTTGTGTTATTTGAAAATTGTAGTAGCCCTGGTTATAGTCTGCTTAGGCTATGGCATTTCATTATTTAAAGTAAATGAAAGCATGAGAAAACAATAACTAACTCAATATACCTGTTAAATCGTCTTGGTTACAGCAGTTATGTCATGGGGAATGTCCTCGATAACTAGTAAAACAAGAAGACTACTTATTTTTGTTAAGTATTCTTAGTTTTAGTTAGTTTTTCTGCCAGTGTTTAAGTTCTATTTTATAATATGCTCATGATAATACATGCCATTACAGACTCTTGTGATAAGGGCTTTTAGAGTGTGTTACTCTAAATGAATTTCTTTTCACGTTTGGGATGTGTCTGTGTTTGTCAGGTCATGGGGTTTGAGGTGGACTCGATCAACTCTGTTCAGTTCTCCAATCACACAGGTAGGCTGACTCAAACTTTCTGCTTATTTTTGGATAACAGTCTGTCTCAGTGAAACAAAGCCATACAAAAGCATTTTTAGATTTAAGTTGTTGTGCGGTTCACTTATTTGGATAAAGAGTCTCAAATTAAGTCTTAAATCTAAATATATTATTATTAGTATTATTATTCTGATGTCACACATGCCCTGATGAGAATGTGTTGCTGTATGATGTCATAATTAATTACTAGAACCAGATGGAATATTTTTGGCACATTCTTTAGCAATAAAGGTTGTGTTATTATCTGAAATGGATCATGACATGGTAAAATGCGTTAAACTGCACAGTCCGAGTACAGTCGTTTGTTTTAAATATTGTAAAGTTGATGTCACAACACAGTATATGCACTGAAGTAAAAATCACTACAGATTTCATGAACACAAGTTAATGTGTTTTTCAAGTTAATTTTCAGTAAACCTGACAGGCATCCCCAAACAACTGCTCAGCTTATCAACATGTGATTAAACATTTGCTAACATAATTTGGTAACACTTTACAATAAGGTTAATTCATTAACATTAATGTATTACCTAACATGAACTAACAATGAGCAATACATTTGTTAGTATTTATTCATCTTTCTTAATGTTAAATAATAAAAATAGAGCTTTTCATTGTTTGTTCATGCTATTTCGCGGGGCATTAACTAATGTTAACAGATGCAACCTTTGATTTTAATGACATATTAGGAAATATTGAGGTTATTATTAACTAAGATTAATACATGCTGATAAAGTTATAATGTATATAAATTAATAAGTGTTACCCACAATGGAATTAAAAAACATTTTTATCGTGATTGTATTTTATGAGTTCATGAGTTCTGATCACTTGTCAGATATCACTTGTTTCAATAATGCATTATTGCATTAATGAATGCATTAGTGTGCATTTTCACATTGTCAGAGTAATTTTCATCTGCAAATGCACTGTAGTGCCCCTTGACCTCTTAATGACAAGAGGACAGGAACAGATGCTTCATTCAAGTGCTTTAAGCATATTGCTTTCACATGTTGTGACAGTTCATTTGTGTGTGTGTGTGTGTATTTGGGAGCTGTTAAACAGACCACTGATCCTTGTACTTCAAGATAATAGGAATATTGTGATATGTTTTCTTCTCTTTGGAGTGTACACTTCCCTTCTGTTTCTATATAGGGTGACCATATGTCTTCTTTTTCCCCGACATATCCTCTTTTTGGACCTAAAAAAATGCGTCCCGCTGGGTTGTTTAGAATAGATCGCCCAAAATGTCTGGTATTCGGCTTTTGCTTTCTACAGCCACCATTCATAGTTTACATGCACACCTTTTGTTTCAATCGGACTGAATTCATTCAGATTGATGAATATGAATGTACTGTTTACATGATTGATAAACGAGTGATCGGGTTGATGTGCTTTAGGTCCCACCATTGGTCGTTCGGTCATGTACATAACGCAAACATTGGTCAAACTGCATCTCAGTCAATACCCTCAGCACCGCGGCAAACGCCTAGAGACAGAGCGGCGCTTGCTTGTCAATGGTGGCACGTGGCTCTTGAACGGCGTGAAAAAAAAGGCCAAATGTAAATTAATTCACAGATGATTTACAGAGAAAATTCCTGTGTTTTGGTCTCGGTCGGGATCCGTGTGAAGCAAAGCTGGCATGTACGTGTCATAAAGCTGCTAGTGACCTCCAATCCCACATAAGGAAAGTATACAAGAGAACATCTGGAGGACTGACATCATTTCTTACTGAAATAGTGGGGTTTAATGGCAACTGATTTAAAAATAATAATAATTTAGCCAACGTTCATGAAAAGAAACAGTGTCATCTAAAAGGTGTTAAAAGCTAAACTATTTTTTTTATTTATTTGTCATTATTCTATTGTTGTGGCCAAAAGTTGAATGGAAAGGATGTATTTTTTTGTATTAAAGTTCAATAACACAGTTGCAAGGTTGTGGATGCATTTGTTAATGCATTCAGCCAGCGTATTTTTAAAAAGTTTCTCAATTTTATGGCCCCCATAATATTTTGTTGTATGAATATCTGAACATGCAAAAGACATTACAAATAATTACAGAACATCTGCTTTAAAAAAAATGTATTCTAGATTCATGCATTATTTTTTTTTATCAATACTTAAAGGGTAACTAAACCCCTGGTCAGAGCCTGACTCCACCCACTGGCAATATTTGAAAATGCTGAAAAAGTGGGCAGACCCCAGCGGAGATAGAGGGGACGAAATAGATGCTGAAACACTCTATCCTGATCGTTTTCAATACTCACAATTCCAATTCCTGACTCCCTACAGTGGTTTTGACGACACAAGATAGTTTTTATACTGCCAAGGGCGTAGCTCGCGTGGTGAGCTGAAACCTGCGTACGTCGCGAAGTGCGGAACATCCAGTAGGAAAATTCAACTGCAGTAGCCACCGTTCAACCTGAAGAGGGCAGCACTAAGACGTTTTTACACCATATATTGTAGAAATAGAACACTTTATAAACAAATGTCAAAAAAGTTACTCCAATCAATGACTGGTATTAATAAAGATCCATTCTTACAGATCATTAACTAAAAAAAGTTGGTTTAGTGTTTAGTTACTCTTTAATTGTGGGTAAGTTTTATAAAAAAGAAAACAGAAAGCTGAGTGTTTTGTCGAAACCGGATCAGATTAAGAACTATGAAAAAAAAACATTGAGTATTTCCATAGACTGTAAAAAAAATATGTACGTAGTGTACATGATGTTACCTGTAGGTTTCTGAAGAGCATTTTTAAAGCCCAAAGTGGGCGGAGCCGGACGTCGCCAACTTGGCAGCGCGTCACTCCCGGATAAATTAAAATGGTCAAAGAGGCGGGATTAGTTGAGGTGACGTGACGCTAACGTCACATTTTAGTATCGCCTTAGCTCGCTCAGAACCTCGCCGGAGGTGATACTAAAAAAAGTACCCGAAAGAAGGTACAGGTACAACTTTTACACAGTGGAAAACCAAACAAAGGTGAGCCGAGCCGAGTCGAGTTAAGCTGGTACTGTGTAGTGGAAAAGCGCCATAATTTAATTACACCCTGACTTCAGAAGACTTGGAATATAGTGCATGATTCATATAGGCTACTTTTATAATACTTTGCATGCTTTTTGCACTGCCCCCATTAATTTTCAATAGATCATAATGATGAAAACAGGATTTTCATATTTTCCTGTGTATTGTCCCTTTACAGAAGTTTGCGTGAGAGAGGAAAATCAATTGATAGAGTGCTATAAAAGTCTGCTCTGGTGACCTAAAATTGGTATGCTTGGTGTCACATGGTTCACTGTTAACTTTCCCAAACACTATTTCTGGACCAGCTTCTCATAAACTTCCCTTCAACACACATTAGTTAGAATAACCCTAACTGGCCTCGGATCAGTAGTATAAACAACACGTGGCACAACCCACTGTAGGCTGTTGCCCCTTGGACTGGCTTCCTCTCCGCTCGGCTGCTTTCCCCTCCTCAGCGCTGTAACATTGTCTTTATCCACTTGAGTTTGCTTTTTAAAACAATTTAAGCCTATAGATGGAGGGACACCAACTAATGCCAGTCTGGATTACTTAGTATTCCCAAACCAGCAGCCGTTGTCAGCACAGCTAACCAAGTGCCAGTGACTCTCGTAGGAATCTGTAGTTGTAGTTGTGTAGGTTAGTGGTTTACTCCTGTGGTCACATCAAGTCTCTGGCAGTTCCAGTAGCACTGTGTTTATAGCACATGGCTGATTAAAGTCATGGGTAACTGGTTTAAAGTAAGTGGATGGTCAATTTGAAGTCAGAAGATACACTATACCAAAGTCTTATCCTTCTTTCTTGTTGTCTCGTCCTCATTTCTGGTGCTTCAGGAATTTAATTCAGCATGTTGGGGAAAAAAAATGTATATACATATAAAACCAAAATAACAGTTTGTGTTACTGTTTACTAGGGATGGGCAACGATTAATTGCATCCAAAATAAAAGTTTGTGTTTACATAATATGTGTGTGTAGTGTGTATAATTAATTTGTATATATAATTATTAACACATGCATGTATATATTTAAGAAAATGTGTTATTAATATATCAAATATTTATGTATAATATTAATTGTGAATAAATATATATAAAATATATACATGCACATATTTCTTAAATACATACATGCATGTGTGGGTATTTATATATACAAATGAATTATGAACACACTACACACGCATATATTATGTAAACACAAAGTTTTATTTTGGATGCGATTAATCGTTGCCCATCCCTACTGTTTACATAATATATGTGTGAACTGTGTATAATTATTTATATATAAAAACACACACATACATGTATATATTTAAGAAAAATGTGTTATTTGTGTTATAGAAAATATTTATGTATAGTACAAATTATATATATATATGTATATATATATATATATATATATATATATATAAATTAAAAATAAAATAAAAATAAAATTATATATATATTTATTATATATTATAAATAATTATACACAGTTCACACACACATGTATTATGTAAACACAAACGTTTATTTTGGATGCGATTAATCGTTTCACAACCCTAAAAAATAAAAATAAAATTTTATATATATATATATATATATATATATATATATATATAAATTAGAAATAAAATAAAAATAAAATTATTTATATATATGTATATATATATATATATATATAATTTTATTTTTTATTTTTTTTAGGGTTGTGAAACGATTAATCGCATCTAAAATAAAAGTTTGTGTTTACATAATACATGTGTGTGTGAACTGTGAATAATTATTTTGTATATATAAATACACATGTATACATTTAAGAAATATTTGCATATATATATATATATATATATATATATATATGAGAAAATATTTCTTAAGTGTATACCTGCGTGTGTGTGTGTGTTTATATATATATACAAAATAATTATACACAGTATAGGACCGAGTGCAGGACTGAGCAATCAGTGTTTCTTCAGTCCACATTTAGAATGAATTTCTTGATGGTAAATAATGGCCATTTACTCTGTGAATCAGCATCTAAAAGTACAGTTGAGGTGAGGACCATTCCTCTAGGACTTTATCGTTTGACCTTGGAAATATAATTGCAGGTTGTGACATGCAGAGGGGTTATCTCAGTTCGGAACATCGATGGGCGCAGCAAGGCCTTATGGGTAGAAACAGCGTGCACCTCACACAGCGGCTTCTGAATTTTGGTCGTGATTTGGTGTGAAATCGAGTATCTGCATGATGCGTGCGGGTGAAGCGTTTGGGATTAGAGAGCTCTGTGCTTTCAGCGGCAGCAGGAAATGATGACGACAGACACCCGTCTTATCGCAGATTCCCCATCGCAGTCATTTTCTCCCTAAAACACACACACACACATCAAGGCGACAATGATGCGTCTTTTTCATCCAGCCCCTCAGGCTTTCCCCTGTCCTGTTTCTTAGCAACAATGCCGGTGACTCACCTGAATTGTGACATCATCACAGCTCCCGCGGCAGCACCAATGGTCTCTGGCGAAACGACGGGACTTTTGTTCGCATCCCATGATCCCATACACTGGATTGGTGTGTGTCTGACCTGTGATCTGTCATTACTCAGGTTACTCTCACTGGAGGGGACAAGTGTTGACTGCAGATGAGCTTCACGTGCTGTATGAAGGGATCAAACTGAACAACGTCAACCACTACGACTATGTACTTACAGGTCAGTTCTTTGACTACCAGCTCTTGTCTGTCACACTGCTGTGGATAATATTTACATGCTTAGTCAGTTATTATTAAGCCTATAGGAATGAAAACAATTGAATGATATAATTCCCTGATGGCATCAGGCTCCCATATTGCCAGCTCTTTTTAGTTGGAGGGATGTACATGGGCCCTGTGTGAGGCCAGCGCCTTATCTGTGCTCATAATGTCATATACACATGAGAAAGGCTGTGTGTATATCTCCAGCTACAGGCTGTTTGGACTCTGTGGACTAGTGAGAGTGGGAAAAGTGTTTTAACAGTTTACATGCATCACAGGAGAATTCAGAAAAATAGATTTTTAAAGTAAAATGTCATTCTGTGGTGGAAGTGAAAGTGGTAGAAATTACATTTTTAAAGGAGTAGTTCACTTTAAAAAAAAAAACTTTTGCTGATAATTTACTCACCCCCATGTCATCCAAGATGTCCATGTCTTTCTTTGTTCAGTCGAAAAGAAATTAAAGTTAAAATTAAAAATTAGAAAAGTTTTTTTTTTTTTTCCCCATTATTGGGTTAAAATGATTGTCTTGCTCAGGTTTTATAGCTAACATTTCATGTACCCTAAATACAAATTTCACATTTGCATAATATTTGTACAATCTTCTCACACACATAGCTTAATATTTGTACTTTTTCACACGTTTTGCATTGTATTTGTTTAATATTTTTGCATAATATTTGTACAGTATTTTCACACGTTTTGCTTTTGCATTATAATTCCTATATTTTCACACTTTGCTTGCATACTATTTTGTACAATTACAATATTTACATACTTTTTGCATAACATTTGTTCAATATTTTCACACTTTTTTCTAGGGGTGTAACCATATATCGTGCCACAATATATCGCAATACAAAAATGCAACAATACGTATCGTGGATAGTGACAATATATATCGTGGATAGTCCCCCCAAAATAAAAATGATGAGTTTTAGTGCAAGTACTACATTGTATACTACTATGTATATATAATGTTGTTTATAATGTATAATAATGCAATGGGGGAATATTTGTGGGTCCTCATAATGCCAAATATCTTATACCAGTAAAAAGTGGCTGACATTCTTTTAAATATATCTAGTTAGTGAGAGAGATCAAGTATATTCATCTACAATAACACAGAATCATGAATATTGTTATTCTGGTGTGACCATTGTCCTTGGGTTACAAGCACCAACTCCGAACCTATTCATTTAAACCCACAATGTAGTATCAAAGTTAGCATTTTAATCAACAGTACAGTTTTTGATAACCTTTTATTATATGTTTTCGCAATAATATCATATTGTGAGTTCTATATAAAAATGATCAAGTATTTCCTTTATTTCATACATCATGTTTCATATATTTTATCTCAATCATTGTAACCAAGTACACTAACTATTAGTGGCACAATTGTTGGTTTGTGTGCTTTGTTTGTAAAATATTGATATACTCGGTTTAAAAGTTTGAACTCTGTCTCACCAAGGATGCCTATTTTGAGCAAAAATACAATAAAAACAGAAATATTGTGGAATATTATAATTTAAAATAAATGTTTTGTATCTGGTATATTTTAACATTCATCTGATCTCAATTTTCAGCATCATTACTCCAGTCTTCAGTGTCACATGATCCTTTAGAAATCATTCTAATATGATGATTTGCTGCTCAAAAAAACTATTATTGTTTAATTTTATTATGTTATTATCATTAATGTTGAAAACACTTAATTTTTGTGGAAGATGCATTTACACTATACATTTTCATCATTTCATATTAAAATGTTTTATTAGATACTTGGAACTTAGAAACCTGGAACAAGAGTAAAACTATAAAATCTATATATAAAAGGTATTTTGAAAAAAAAAAATGATAAAGACATTGTAAAGTGGTTACATGTAAAAATGTAAATTTAGTTTTAATAAAAATCAACCCCCGGATATTAAAGTGCCGGTCAAACTTCAACGCTGTGGCGCTGAGTGTTGCATAGGCAATGTAAAAGTCTTGTGTTGAGTTGTCAGGAGTGAGAGAGGAAGTGAACGCATGTCTCTCGCCCTGTAAAGGCGCTGCTAATAATCATCACTGGGGGACCGTAGAGGACATATAGAGTCGCAGGTCTCGCACGAGCACCACAGACTGAGATGCTGTGCTCTACTGAGTGTGTGTCGGGTGCATTAGCTCTCCTTTATCGTCACCTTGAGAGGAGAGGAAAACACAGAATAGGGAAAGGAGAACATGGGAATAGAGAGCAGTGTGTGAAGAACGTATACATGCAGTTTGCAGTCCAGTAGAGCCACATTTCACAAGATCAGGATTATTTTATTTATTTAAATGTTTTTTTATGTTATTTTAGCAAGGATACATTCAATTGGAAAACATGTATAAAAAATATTAAGCAGTTTTCAACATTGATGATAATAAGACATGTTTCTTGAGCAGCAAATCATCATATCAGAATGATCTCTGAAGACTGGAGTAAAAAAAAAAAAATCAACTTTGCCGTCACAGGAATAATTAAACATTTAAAATGTATTTATTTAACATATAAATAGAAAACGGGTATATTAAATTGTAATCATTTCCCACTATTATTGACCAAATTATTACAGGCTTGATTTATCATCAGAGACTTAATGCAAAAACATTTAACTGACCCCAAACTTTTGAACTGCAGTGTATTTGATTTTAACATCAAAACCAGACTACTTTAAAATGTCATGTAGAAGTGGTTTTCTTGCGTCAGCTGATTTAGGGAGTTATCCAGTGTCCATCTATCCCATCGAATGCTTAAGCACTGGTTAATATGCTATATTTCTAATACCAGCTGTAATGTTGAAACATGAAGTGCTATTTGAAGTCATCTGCATGCCTATCTTACATGTGGCTTGTGTTGTCGCAGTGCGATTTATTGTGTGACATCATGAAACGCAGTGAAGGTCAGATGCGTCTCACATAGGATTTATTTACCTCAGCCGCCACATGACCAATAGCTTGAGCCCTGGGAGTTTCAAGGCTCTCCCACCTCAAATAACTTTGATATTTATTGTCACTTTCTCTGAAACGGTGCAAGCTTGGTGTGTTTATTCTATTGAGTTCTAAGTCTATCAATTTAACTAGGACCTATTATGCTTTTTTGCATTTTCAACTTTATTTAGTGTAAAGCAGGATTGCCAAATGTTTATGCATAATTCTGACACACTATTTCACCCACAAATTGAGTGTATTGTATTGTTTCCACCTGGACTGTTTTAAAGTGAACTGCTGCCCGTGCTGAGTGCTCGGTTTTAGTACTTCAGGCAGACTTTTGATCTGGAACGAATGGAGATTCTCAAGAGGAAAACAAAACTGTTGATAAAAGCTCTTTTGTTTCTCCATTACGGCAGGTTACACTAGAGATACATCATTTCTGGAGATGGTGGTTGATATTGTACAAGAGCTGAAGAGGGCCAATCCTAACCTGGTATATGGTGAGCATTTTTTACAGGCTTGTCTATACATCATAACCCCAAACCTTTGAACAAAAGTGTACATTAACCATATACATTAAAGAATAACTTGTTTAACTCTATTTTTCTGTCAGTGTGTGACCCTGTCTTAGGTGACCATGGTTCAATGGTAAGCCTGCTTGTGTTCTTGATCCTGTTCGGTTATTTTCATTATACAGGAAATAGAATTTGGAGTAAGCTGACGTTTGTTTTTCATAGTACTCTGTCTTTTGCAGTATGTTCCTCAGAATCTCCATCCTGTCTACAAGAATAAAGTGGTACCTGTCGCCGATATCATCACACCCAACCAGTTTGAGGCAGAGTGAGTAAAATACTCTTCACTCAACATTTTTTTTGTGTGTTATCTAGTCATTGGATGTTTCTGTGCTGCAAATGTCAAACCTCAGTGTTTTTCAGTCAGATTGCTGAAATGAGTGATGTTGTAGTGCCCTCTGCTGGCCACTCGTGGCTTTGCACTCAAATCTTCAGTCGCACTGATGTGCGATCAACTCTGCTAACTCTGTGCTCTTCATTCCAGGTTATTGACAGGGAAGAATATCAGCACAGAGAAAGACGCTGTTGAGGTGAGTTTAAATACACACACACACACACACACACACACACTCACAGTAGGCTTATAAAAAAGGAGGGAAGCAGAAAGCAATGTCTGAGCACAGATTAGATGCTCTGACTGCAAATGATACACAAGCCACTTTTTTATTTCCAAATGTTATATTATTTGTTAATAGTAAAAGTATTATAATTTATTATCATCATCGTCATTAAAAATACAAATAATAATGTTTTAAAATTATTGCTATATTATTATCTTAATATTATTAGTAATGCTTTGTTACAGTGAATAATAATAATGATTAGATTATAATATCAAGGGAATATAGTAATATTCATATACTATGTAATCAATTATTGTTGTAATTATTATTTATACACACACACACACATTTCACATCACATGTATGTAGAGGAGGATTATATTTACTATATTATATTTACTATTTATATTAATAATATTATTATTATTATTACCTTAATATTATCTAGTAATTATTTGTATATAATTATTTATTATTATGACAATTATTTAACATTATTATAACCTTTATTTTGTTACTATCATCATTATTATTATTATCTAAACGTATATGATTAATCTATAATCAATAATAATTATTATTTTCATTAAATTATCTAATATGTTGTTAATATATAATTACTATTGAGATTATAATATGAATAATTATTTTTTATTATTATTAGAAAAACATTTGTGATCCCTTTGAATACAGGATATCAGTATTCTTGAGACCTTTTGAAAATTGTGACAAAGCTCAACCATCAACAAGAAACGTGTTGCTGTCAACATTATAATGCAGATCCAGTAAAGGCCTCTTACTGTGTGTGTGTGTGTGTGTGTTCAGGTGATGGACCTGCTGCATAAGATGGGTCCAGACACTGTGGTCATCACCAGCTCAGATCTGCCCCCTCGTCTCGGAGACAGATTCCTGGTGTCTCTTGGCAGTCAGCGCATTTGTAAGTGTGTGTCCATGTGTGCTGAACTGTGATAATGTGGATTTTGACAGATGACAAATCCTGAGAGTTTATTGGAATGCAAAATGTGAATTTAAATATTTTGGCTTGAATGAGGAACTTGATCTTAGTGTATTTCTTTGATGTTCAGTTGTTATATGTGTGGTTTTAAATCCATTTACTTTTTTATTTATTTTTATTATTTTATTGTATTTTTTATATTATTTATTTTTGTTTATTATTTTTATTATTTACATTTTTTTTTGAAAATTTATTAAAAAAAAATACATTTGAATTTCTTTTCTTTTCCTTTTTTTTTTCTCACCTTGTTGGGTTGTACTTAATTAATTAGTTAAGTAGTGGTAATGATGACATCTGCTGTCCCATTTGTGTACTGTTACCTGAGCACCTCTGTTGACAGATGGAGATTTCTGATTGGTGGACTGTTGATTTATAAAAAACTCTGTTGGTTTGAGATCTGTTTAACTCGCAGAAGAAGGCATGTAGCCGAAACGCGGTGGAGTTTTTTAGATGGTTAAAAAGCCTTTATTATCATGGCTTGGTCAAATTAACTTTTCTACTTGAGAGTGCCTTGGAGTTCCCTTGCTTTTGACCGGTTGTGTATATGTATTTATTGCTTTGAAGCACCTTCATGTTTTTGTATAGCCCAGAGTTTGAAGATCAGGGCTGGTGAATTCTTGTGAAGAATGCAGACATGAACAAAATGCCCATGTTTCTGCAGTGATGCCGGACGGCACAAGGAAGACCCAGCGGATCCGAATAGAGGTGCCGAAAGTGGATGCGGTGTTTGTTGGGACAGGTGATCTATTTGCTGCTATGCTGTTGGCCTGGACTCACCATTACCCAACAGACCTGAAGGTACATAAATCATCATATCATAAATGCATCTCGGTGATCATGCAGCGCAGTAATAAAATGCTGATCAAGTGTTATTCTGTCTTGGTCTCTTTCTCAGACGGCATGCGAGAAGACTTTCTCCGTCATGCACCATGTCATTCAGAGGACTATATCTTATGCCCATGGTAACAGCAGCCAAACGTTGTTTGTGTTATATGTGTGTGTGCACGTTGTTACAAAACCAAAATGTGTTATTATCAATATTCAAATTACAAATGAAAACAGTGGTACAAGGCCTTTTAGTAATTGCTCAAGCAAACACTCAGTAATAAGACAAAAATACAGATTATCAAACTCAAGAAAGCTGTCAGGAGGTTGGTTTTGACATTGGCTGTCATGAAGCCATTATAACTCTTTAATGACAAATTCAATTAGTACCACTGTAGTTGAGCTCACGGAAATATTCATGACACAGTTATAATGGCCTCATGACAGCCAATGTCAAAGCCAACCACATGACAGTTCAACTTAATTTAATGTCAAGTTCTCATGACAAAAGACTGACAGGTTATGATGTATTGGTTTATGTCAAGATGTCATAAAGATATCTTAAACAATGTCATATCTGCATTCAATATGTCATAATTGAGTGAAAGACACTTAATGACAGCTATCATAAACATGCATAAATCCTACTTCATATTCAAGACATATGTCATCTCATGGTTATGAAGGTCTTATGCACACCCCTTCAAGTAAAGTGTTACCCACTACACACACTAAAAGATTTTGAAAACAATTAATACTTTTAATGGACGCATTAAATTGATCAAAAGTGACCGTAAAGACTCTTTGCCATCACAGAAATAAATTACAATTTAAAATGTATTCAAAAAGAAAAGTTATTTTAAGTTATAATAATATTTCTGTTTTTGATGAAATCGTTCCATTAAAATGCTCTCCTGTCTTTGTCTCGCATGTTCAGAAATGGCAGGTCCAGGTAGAAGACCCAGCCCGGCTCAGCTGGAGTTACGGATGGTCCAGAGTAAAGCCGACATAGAGGATCCAGCCATAGTCATGGAGGCCACCGTTCTATAGAGCCGCCGCACGCCACGTCTCATCCACACACCTCACCCTCCGCTCACAACTGCACAATGTATAGATGTTGTACATTTTGATATGTAATGTGACATTGCCTTAGAATCTCAGCCAGAGCACAACAGGTCCATTTCCAAGAGATTCAGCAGGGTACGGCCAAACAGGCGAGAGGGGGAAGAGCGATCAAGACAAGGGAAGAAGAGAATGGGAGAGATGATCGGCCTCTCATTCACACTCTTGCAGTCTCTCTCTCTCTCTTTCTCTCAAAGCTCCTCAAGAACTCCGGTTCGTCCTGCACATAAAGCCCAGTCTCTGACGTTTCCAGTCCAGGTCAGTGATGTACCTAAACTGCCATCGATCTAGTGTGGACCAATTTAGAAATGACTTTAATATAAATGTGATGCTTTCTACACTCTATGATTTTGAGTCAGAACTGTTCAACATAGAAAACAAAACCTCAAGAAATACCCAAGTCATTTTTTTTGTTTGTGCTCAAAATCAAAAGGTAAAAATAAGATATTTATTGTATAAAAGAAAAAGAAGCCTATTTTTTGGACCATTAACTGTTAGTGCATTATGCTATTAGCTTTGTCATTTAAGTGTAATAATAATAATAAATTATTTTATATATATATATATATATATATATATATATATATATATATATATATATATATATATATATATATATATATATATATATATTTATTTTTAGTATTATTATATTTTATTTTAGGGAGTTAAGTGTATTTCTCTGTTTTATTATTATATTATTTTACACTGTTTATATATATAAATATATATATATATCCGGAGAGGATGATTTTCATGACTATGGTATTACATTTTTTCTTCAGGGATAAAATGTGATTATTTGTCAATACAATGTTGGTCCTAAAAATAGACTTTCTTCATGCTAAGTTTAATTCTGTATTTTTGTCGTTTGAGAATTACCCTAAAAGCTTGGTCTTTTGCTCACTGCGGTTCTGTATCTGGAAAAGATATGTTGTGGCCAACCTGAAAAATGCAAGTAAGTTGTTAAATAAGTATTACAGACCCAAAGCACTCATTTGTGTGAGAGTCCAACTTGTGTTTAAATGTGTATTTTATTGTTTATTGCGAATATTTTCTCCCAAAAAGGGAGATTTTACTGAAGAGATGCGCTGCTGTATTGTGTGACTTGTTGATGTTTTTGGTGAGATGTACTGTAATAATTTTTTGGCCTTTTAATTCTCTAGTTCCATTGACTTGGTTTTGCATTGAGCAGTTACAAATGCAGAACTTCTAGCATTTCAATTCATGTTTGTTTGTCAATGTAACTAACATTATCATCTCGTTTGCTTTGAACTGATTGTATTTGCATTGATAATCTACTTGTTTGTACAAGCAGAAGAGACTTTAAAAGTAGTTTTATCTTTTTATTTGATAGTATTTTCATATCTTAAAAGGAAAAGACTTGTATGAAGTCTGAAGTACTGGGGAAACGTCTTAAAATGCCTTGATTAAAAGTAGTTGTGTGTGTTCGTGCTGGTGTGGTGACCTGCGACAGGTTCTCTCTCACTGTGCCAGAGAACATGCTGTCTCTTGGTTACAATGCTTTGAAAGATAATAAAAGGCAGATGAGTTATACATTTAATCAGACTTGCTCTCCTTCGTTCAGTTCATAAGGAGATTGATTCAGGCGACATCATCTTTTCTTGTCTGTTTTTTTTTTTTTTTTTTTTTTGGATTTCTCAAGTTTTATTTTTGCTTTAATTTTGACTTCTGTTTTACACCTAACTAATGCTCTTCCAAATTATTCACATTTCTTTAATCCATCGGTTCATTCTTTGATCATTTTTGAGTTGAATTTGTCTTAACCACTCAAAATTCCTTCTAAGTGAATCTCACGAAAACATTGGTGTCACATTTTACCCCGTACTCAAAAGAAGGAACTACAAAGACAGAAATAGGAAAAAGTTGAAGAAGAAAAAACTATTTTAGGAACTTTTTTTCACTTCTGTTATTGTGGTGAACAAAAAAGTAGAACAAAAACAACCATGTATAAATATTTCATAATATAAAGGTAATAATCATGATTATTAATACTAGTTTCAATCATTTATTTTTGCATTCCCATAATGACATACTTGATTCTAAGACCATACAAATTGTCTAAATGTAGCATTTCAGGCCTACTAGTGCTAAAAAAAATCAGTTATTCCTGTGACTTCAGTAGCTCTGATTCTTGACTTTAAGTGAGTGTTGGATTTATTTATTTTACAATAAAAAAAATGGATGAAATCTTAATTGGCTGAAAATGTATATTTCTTTTGATTTTGGAGTGAAATATGACCCAGCGTTGTCCTTGAGGTTTCATGAGATTCACCTGTTTTCATCCATTTCAACTACTGTCTTATTTTCCATAGCAAAAAAAAAAAAAGTTGGCCATGTGCAGGACTAATCAGGGGTCAGCATTGCTCTGAGGGGCATGTGCTTCAGCTTTTCATGAGTTCCTGAGCTGTTATCTAACTTCTTATGTATACTTGTACATTGTGTACGTGTAAGTGTGAATGACAAAAGGATGGTTCTACTGTGAGCGTGCGAGTATTTGTGTTCTCTGAAGGAAAAATGAGGGTGTGAAGGGATAAACTGGGGGGAGGGGCCATAAATAAATAAGAAGAGCCAAGTTTAGTTTTTGTGAATATTGACAGTGAGATTCAGATGATCATGATATCACAGTCTCCAAGTGAACTGTATGGCTACCATTTGCTCTTAGTGTAATGGAGGCCAGCTATTTGGTACATTTGATGCCGTGACCCGGATGGTAGTGAGGTTTATGGGGGTAAGTGTAACGGAGGCCAGCTATTTGGTACATTTGGTGCCGTGACCTGGGTGGTAGTGAGGTTTATGGGGTGAGTAACGGAGGCCGTCTATTTGGTACCTTTGGTGCCGTGACCCGGATGGGAGTGAGGTTTAGGGGGGTGAGTGTAACGGAGGCCAGCTATTTGGTACATTTGGTGCCGTGACCCGGATGGTAGTGAGGTTTATGGGAGTGAGTGTAACGGAGGCCAGCTATTTGGTACATTTGGTGCCGTGACCCGGATGGTAGTGAGGTTTAGGGGGGTGAGTGTAACGGAGGCCAGCTATTTGGTACATTTGGTGCCGTGACCCGGATGGGAGTGAGTTTTATGGGGGTGTGTGTAACAGAGGCCAGCTATTTGGTACATTTGGTGCCGTGACCCGGATGGTAGTGAGGTTTAGGGGGGTGAGTGTAAGGGAGGCCAGCTATTTGGTACATTTGGTGCCGTGACCCGGATGGGAGTGAGGTTTATGGGGGTGTGTGTAACAGAGGCCAGCTATTTGGTACATTTGGTACCGTGACCCGGATGGTAGTGAGGTTTAGGGGGGTGAGTATAACGGAGGCCAGCTATTTGGTACATTTGGTGCCGTGACCCGGATGGTAGTGAGGTTTATGGGGGTGAGTGTAACGGAGGCCAGCTATTTGGTACATTTGATGCCATGACCCGGGTGGTAGTGAGGTTTATGGGAGTGAGTGTAACGAAGACCAGCTATTTGGTACATTTGGTGCCGTGACCCGGGTGGAAGTGAGGTTTATGGGGTTGAGTATAACAGGAAAGCTAGAAGAGCTGCATGAGTAAACCTCACTCCCTTGGCCTCAAGAGGTGTGTTAGTGACGGATGCAATCTTTAACGTCCTTGTAAGCACACCCTCCTCCCATGCCAGAAGCGCTGGAGTGGGGCGAGTAGAACCTGAGGGGTTACATTTGGTGCCGTGATGTTTAGGGGGGTAGAGTGTAATTGACACCAGCTAATAAGAGCTGTGCAGGTAAACCTCACTCCCCTGATCTCAAGAGGCGCGCTAGCGACTTTCTCTAGATGCTGCGGTCTTTAGCATCCTTGTTAGCGTCCCCGCCTCCCATGCCGGAGACGCCGGTTGGAATTGTTCTCGGAATGATACGAGTAGAACCTCAGGGGTTACATTTGGTGCCGTGACCCGGGTGCAAGTGAGTTTTAGGGGGGTGAGTGTAACAGAGGCCAATGTGCGAGTAAACCTCAATCCCCTGATCTCAAGTGGTGCACTAGCGACTGTGGTCTTTAGTGTCTTGATTAGCATGCCCGCTTCCCATGCCAGGGATGCCGTTTCGAATCCCACTCATAGCAGTGCGAGTAGGATTGGTTACATTTACATTTGCGAAAGTGCTACTAAACAGGTTTAGGGCAAACATGGCTACTTCTGCTTGAAGATGCCTTGGTGAACAGTCGACCTTATGTTCTGCAGAAAAACATGCATGTTAACAATATTTAAAGATGTCAATGATATGCTTACAATGAGAGCCTGCTTGTGTTTACTGTTAATGGAACAAGGAGTGCGTTCTGATATAAGAAAACCTGTCGGGACCTCATGAAGACTAAAAAGAAAAAAGTGGGTAGCCAAATATTTTGACTGTTATAGCAGTGATGTCTAGTACATTCCCTGAGGGAACTGTGGTGAAGAACTTTTGAGACGAACTACATTTTTGTTTGTTCTGTAATGTTTGTAAATTGTATATCGGTCTGTGGAAATTATGTGTTGTCTATTGTAAGACTGTGGATCAAAGATGACCAAATGACGCTGAGCTCCTTCTAGTGGACGGAGCTTATATCGTCTGGGGGAAAAAAAACTATTCCACTACCATTATTTAGACTATAAACAAAATGATCTGTAGTATATAGGTCCCTTATTGACGTTCTTTTTTAATCTGATGAGTGTAAACAATGTCCTGACTCCATATGATAAGGTTATATATTGCTTGGACATATACCTCATCATGTATATGTCATTTCCTGTTGCACTGAGTTTTGTATTATTAGCTGCCTTCCATCACAAGGCATTACAACATGTACAAACGCATTTCAGGCCTGCTAGTGCTCAAAAAAATCCATCTGCTCTTCGCGTTAGTTGCGGCTTCCATAGCTCTGACTCCTGAAGTGAGTGTAGGATTTATGTTGATCGTTTTTTTTAAATGTCATTTTTATTGAATTTCACTTCCACACGGACAGAATATTTCCAGAGGCTGTTTGTGATGTTGGATGAAACACCTCTAGAAAATAATGGACTTCGACAGAAATTATTCATTAAGTCTCGGAAATCATTTCACCTGTAAAATAAGTGTTTAAAACCACTGTGCTTGCTGTAATGTACTCTTGTCCTCAACAGTTCTGTTTGATAGAAGATGCTACGGCAAGAGTACATGAGAATACACTTGAAAATGTGTCCTTCTCCGGAACGCCAAATATGAATTTCAGTGACATCATAATGGGAAGTATGACATGTTGCCAGGGCAACAGTTGGATGCACCCTTTTACTTCTCTGTAAATATGTCTGTCTCTCTTAACAGTTCTAATAGTGACATGTCAGTGCTTCACGATTCATTTTGATTCCCTTTCTGTTGACATGGTTGGTAGAAATTTTTTTTTTTGTTCTTTCTTTGGTTTTCCGTTGTGAATGGGGTCAGAAAAGACAAATATAAATGTTTGGTAAAGTTTTTAGTGCTTTGTTTTCAAATTCTGAATATTTTATAATATGTAACAACAATAAAGATTGTAGTGTACAAATCCACATTTATAATGTATGTATGTTATAATGCAATAAAGAAAAACAAAGTATTATATTAAATGCTGTCTGTGTGTGTGTGTGTCTAGGTGGGGAGAAGGGGGTGTTATAGAAGAGTAAATGCTTTGTCAAGTTAAAGGAGTAGGTCACTTTTAAAAAAAACTTTTGTCGAGGTTTTTTGAAAACATTCCAGGATTTTCTCCATATAATGGATTTCAATGGGAACCAAACGGTTCAAGGTCCAAATGAGAGTTTCATTGCAGCTTCAAAGGGCTTTAAACGACACCAGACGATGAATAAGAGTCTTATCTAGCGAAACGAGTGGTCATTTCAAAAAGAAATAAAAAAGTTTAAGTTTTATAAACACAAATGCTCGCCTCGCTCTGTTCTGTCATGAGCGTTCATAACATTCCTGTTCAAACTCGTTCTTCGAGTCATGACTCGAAGGGTCCTAGATAGGACCCTTATTCATCGTCTGGTGTCGTTTAAAGCCCTTTGAACAGTTTGCACTGAAACTCTCATTTGGACCTTGAACCTTTTGGTTCCCAATGAAGTCCATTATATGGAGAAAATCCTGGAATGTTATCATCAAAAACCTTAATTTATTTTCGACTGAAGAAAGAAGGATGTGGATATCTTGGATGACATGGGGGTGAGTAAATTATCAGCAATTTTTTTTTTAAACGAACTTTTTTTTTTTTCTTTTTTGTTATATATTCACAATTTTATGATTAGAAATGAATTTTGCAGCTCTGATGCTGCTGTGGTTCTGTCTAAATGAAATGCAACTCTAAAACTTTGTTGTTGTCATAACAGCATATATAGCCTATTCCTCCAATTGTTTATATATTCACAATTTCATGATTCAACTGCGAAATATATTTTCTGCTATTGAATCTGCATATATGCAGGCAGTAAACTCACCCTTTTGTCCATGCAGGCAGTAATATGCAACTTCTAGTCGCCTTTGCAGTTAAAGTTAATTTAAGGAAGACTAATTACACGTCTAAAACACGTACAAATGTATTTAATTCTCCAAAATTGACTTTATTGATAAGGTCAGCGTCTTCCAGCAGCCTGCTGAGGATGAGAGAGGAGTGGTGGAACCACAAAGCGCCATTGTTTCCAGTCGAAAAGCAGAGTAATCGGACAGGAAGTCCCATGGCTAGATGCAATGTGTAGAGAGTGTTGTGCGTGGATGGATAACGACACACACGGACACAAAGAGTAGCGATCATCTGAGCAGTGCACCAGAAGCGAAGACAGCAGTTTCTGACAGCACTATCGCATCACATTAAGCGGAAGAGTACGAATCCTCCACGCAGATCCACCGATGATATTTAAGCAGGTAATGCACGCGCGTGATGACGATGACTGTTCTCTAAACCCCATTAATAACCATTCTGACACTGCTGTTATTGATGTTGACAGGCGGATGCATGCGTCCGCCTATTTGATTATTTTGTATTTGTATTGCACATGCATTTTTGACATCTGATATGTGCGCGTGCGAGCGCTCCCTGTGCTGCAGTGGCTAGTTAATAGGAACCGCATGTTTATGAAGCTCACCGCTTAGTAACCACTGCGAGGCAGTTTGACAGCGCAGGGAACACCCGTTTAAGATAGGCATCTTTCTCCATTTGCGTTAGAGGGCATCTATCTTGTTCATTCATCAGTGATTTGCATTTGAATGGCTTTAGATTGGTTGAAGATAAGTGGTGTTTATGACTCGGTTGCCGTGTGTCATTCTCTCCCGACCTGCGTGCACGTCATTGTCGTGCGATGATCGGGGTTACTAGAGTTCAGATGCTGTGCTGGGCTTTTGCCTTATGTTTAGTCGCTTTTGCACAGTAATTACCATTAGTCATGTTTTTATATCATTATGGCGCTTGGTTTTTAATATGTCGTAGTATTTTATTGGTGGTTGATGTTATTGTCTGTAATATCATTCTAAAAGGGTTTATTTTTAAATATAGAACAATATAGATATATGACAATATATAAAAATAAATAAAAAATATATATATTTTTTTATTTATATCTATTTTTATTTATTTTTATTTATCTATATATCTTATATATTATGATATATAAGATATATAGATATATAGAAATAAATAATAAATAAAAATAGATATAAATTTTATATATATATATATATATATATATATATATGTGTGTGTGTATGTAGATGGAGCTGGATAAATTGATAATCTTTTTTTCTTTCTTTTTTCAAATAGAGATTCATAATCAAATATGTAGGGAACTAAACAAAGTAACAAGTAGCCTAATTTACTAGATTTAATTTCTCAACAAAATGTTATCTGCTGCAGTATATTTAAATTGTTTAATTAATTTGAATGAGTTATTTGTTTATTTGAATAGGTTTGTTTGTATGTATGATTCAATGACTTGCTCATAAACGCTTGTTTCATTGCTGGATGAATCAGTGTTTTTTTTATTGAATCTATTATTTACAAATAATTTTTTAACGTCACTTGTCGCCACCTGCTGGTGTAACGATGTTATACGATAGAATCGTTATAGGTCAAGTTACTTTCAAACGGTGATTTTACTCAATTTTGATGTTTGGCATCGACGTCAGTGATGATATCTGAACTATAAACGTTTATCCTTCTTCTGTGATTATTTTAATATTTGTAACAAGAAAAAACACACAAAAAAAACTTTGTATCGGTTTCATACCTAGCCTAACTGCATTTACAACCCGGGTTGTAAAAAGTACACAAGAATTACCCATTATTTACTGAATCTCACATTAATGCTTTCATTAGGTCTGATTTGAAACAAAATCATTACTGTTAACTTAATTTGAAGTTCTTGTGAATAGTATTTCACAAATGACAATTGTGTATGTAAATACACACATCATAAGTTTGTAATCAGTGGCATTTGAGTGAATGAATAAACTGATTCCCCTTTTTAGTATTTTATTTTAATTTGTTGTTAGGGCCAATTATTGAATACTACAAAAAAAAGTTAATGGAATAGGATATGGATATTATATTTTACAGAGTGTAATTCATTTTTATACTAAAGTCTTAATCTAGACCCGTCGTTCTTTGCCAGCCGTATGGAACATGCACAATATTTTCTAATGAGCTTGTGTTGTGACCTTTTTTTTAATATCATGGTAAAGTGGGTAAACGCATAATTGTTTGCCCTTTGCATTCATGTATGGTTTGTCTGTAATATTGCTGTGTGAGATCTCGCAGTAATAATCACTCTAATGAATTGGCTCTGAGATGTAATCAAATCAATTATGCATGATGCTAATTTTGATTAGTTTCAGTTAGAATGAACATGTATAAAGTTGTATCCAATAAAATATCGTGTTTGTGTTTTTTTTACTACATTGTGTTTGTTTCAGAACCTACCATATTTTTAAATAGAATATATATTCATTATTCTTTTGTCCCAATGGGTGTATCCATGACACTGCTTTGTTACTGCGTTTTAACCTTACCTTTAATCCGATACAGCTTGTTAATTAAACCTAACACTATTACTTTGCCCCTGAGGTAGATAACAGCAACCTCATCCACCGTCTTGATTGGGGACGTGTATTCATATTGTTGTTGGGAAACTTCTTTTATCTCGATTAGAATGTGGGTCAGAGGTTTTTAGCAGCGAAGCCTTGACATTATCCTCTTAACACATCTCTTTGCTTCCTTTGGACAGCAGACACAGTGTATTTATCTTCTTGTTTGTCAAAAGGGCCTGAACGACATCTATTATAATGGACTGCTCATCTGTTTCAGGCTAGTCAAGTCTGGGAGGTTTGAGATGCAAAGTAGTATTCTAGTGCAAACATCAAGATGTTGGTGTCTTTGTTTCCGCAGTAGTTTCAATTTTGATATTTTTAGGTCAAACCGTTCTTGTCTGTCAGTCATATAATGGAGGTCTATGGTCACCACCTTAAAGAGCATGCACAGAGAAGTCCAAATTAAACATGATTTAATGACTTGTAAATGTAAGTACACATTGATGGCCTAAGACACAAAACGAGCGGTTTGTGTGAGAAAACAAACAGTATTAATTATCATTTTTACCTCTTGTAACCACAGCCACGTCCAAGTGATCTGAGGGCGCGGGCGCTTTGCTCTGCGCAATCATTTATGACAAACCATAATCACCACCATTTTCACATTTTGATCCATTGCTTCCCAAAAAATGCCAATGCCTTCCTTAAAGGGATGCTTCACTTTTTTTGGAAATAGGCTCATTTTACCACTCCCCAGGGTTTTACCGTTTTCGAATCCATTGAAGCCGATGTTCTGATATATATAAGAATATCAGTAACCAGAGAGTTTCTGGTCTCATTGACTTCCATAGTAGGAAAAAATGTATACTATGGAAGTCAATGAGACCAGAAACTGTCTGGTTACTGATATTCTTCTAAATATCAGAAAATCGGCTGAATGGATTCGAAAATGGTAAAACCCAACTGTTTAACTCTGGGGAGTGGTAAAATGAGCCCATTTCCAAAAAAGTGGAGCATCCCTTTAATGGCTTTCTCTTGTAAGTACCAACCGAGACCAAGCCAAGGTCTATTTTTTGAGAAACCTTTACAAATTCTTGGATGCAGTTAAGCTGACCTTTCTGAAATTGGAAGAATTGAGGAACCGGGATAGTATAATCAAAGACCGACGGACACAAAGATAAAAGCAGACAGAGGAAATAATGAGATACAGCAAGCAAGAGAAGCAGAATGTTTAAAAAAGAAGCACCAAGGGCTCTGTTGTGTGATGTGTAGGCCTGTGGCACATTGTGTTGTCCGTTTCTGACGGTAATCCAGTTATGCCGCGGTGGCTTTGGGCCACAACCTGCCTGATCATCTTTGTCACCACCTCATCTAAACTGGACTCAGGGTCTGCTCAACCTTGGACACCAAGAGCAAGTTCACAGATCTACAGTAGGCCAAGTCGAAGCTTACCCACAACAATCATATCATGTCTCCTTGTACAAGCTCATTTAAATACTCCACTTTTTTGGGGGAAATAGGCTTATTTTACAACTCCCCCAGAGTTAAACAGTTGAGTTTTACCGTTTTCGAATCAATTCAGCCGATTTTCTGATATTTAGAAGAATACCAGTAACAGGACATTTTCTGGTCTCATTGACTTCCATAGTAGGAAACAAATATACTATGGAAGTCAATGAGACCAGAAACTGTCTGTATACTGATATTCTAAATATCAGAAAATCATCTGAATGGATTCGAAAATGGTAAAACCCGATTGTTTAACTCTGGGGGAGTGGTAAAATGAGCCTATTTCGAAAAAAAAGTGGAGTATCCCTTTAAATGCCGAAGGACTTGTCCCTAAAGGCAGCTCAATTACCCCTTTTCCACCAAAAAAGAACAGGTTCGGAACTGGTTCGAAACTTCAAGCATAACAATAACAGAGGCGGACTCCATCGTGTTTCTGCAAATGTTTCTCCTGGCTTTGCGATCCTATATTATGGTCAGAAAAGATGTTTAGAACACATCTAAACCCGCCCCACCATCCAACGCAAACATGACGTGGTAAAAGAATGGTTCAAGTCCAGCAAAGAGTTGGTGGTGCATTGGAACCAGTTTTCCTGGCCGATAACCGGTTCTTCCGAACCGAACCGGCTCTCAAAATGCTTTGGTGGAAAAGGGGCACTTGTGGCTCACCACTGTCCTTCCCACTTAGCTCAATCCCATCTATCCTAGCCTCGCTTGAGCTTGACGTAAATGCGATGTGACATATCCAGGGTGCTGGTCCAGAGTGCTAATCATTGGTAATCTAATCCAGAGGAGATTAGACAAGAGGAGGGAACACATGATGCTGAGAACAGCTCTCTTTGGCTTAACAGGAGGCGGCCGCTACGTCCACGTTATGCTGTAAGATTGTCGTGTCTTGCTAAGGGTTCGCTAATTACAACTGTGTTTGGAATTTGGGATTGCAGTTGGTAACATCCAGTTGGAGTTCAGCACTGGAGCGGAAGACTTTGTCACCTTTTTCCGTGCGGTTTTGAGTGACGCCGTCTTGTTTATGGGATCTAGTTTTGTTCCTGCTTGCATCATCATAAAAGTGCTTGTCCTTCTGTGGGATTAGCATTAGCATGTGGCTGTAGCCAGAGTCAAACGAATTCTTGCGCCTTGTTCCGCCTTGTTTTGAAATTTTTTGCCTAATATTTCCAATTTCTGACAAGCTTGTCGAGAACAGAACTGTCGGTCCGTTTTTTTGAACAAAACAAGAGGAGCTCATTTCATAATTAACCTGCTTTGAAGGTCCCATCACCAACAGTGGAGATGCTGAACCAGGGGGCTGTGATGATATTCACAGGGGTCTGTGGGGCGTTAGTGGTCATGGCAGTGGCCTACTACGCCTACTGGTGAGTCCAGCTAATAGATATCCACCTGCTGCTTATGTAAAGGGTTATTGGATTGAGCGCAGGGAAAGGTCAAGTAAGATACTTTTTGCCTAAGTCTTTAACTTGTTAGTTTGCAGTTACTCGCATGCCTGCCATATTTGTGGATTTTGAGGGCACTATGATGACCACCTGTTGCTCAGTTGTATCTGAAAGGTCATGTGGGGTTTCATTTTTTGCATCTTTAGATTCTTTGCTGCAAATTCTGGCCGAATGCAAATTGTTGTGTCTGAAATTGGAGACTTATCGTGCATATTTTGAGGCAGTGTGCGTTGAGTTCTCGTTTTTCTTTTGCAACCCTTAAGCTTATAAGCTTTGTAACCTTCTTTTTTAGAGGCACATTTTTGGGCATCTTGGAAAAATATGGCCCCAGGCTGTCTAGTGATGCAGTCCAGACAGCTGTTTCTTCCTAAGCTGGTTGATCCCTCCATCTCTAATCCCTCTACCCTATCTCTTTTTATATTGCTGTGTAGTCCTCTTGCTACAAAGGGAATGAGGAACCGGATATCTAGTTTTATTTTAGTTTAATCATCTTAAGTGAAAGGACTTGGAGTAGTTCACTTTTAAAAAAAAAACCATGTCATCCAAGATGTCCATGTCTTTCTTTCTTCAGTCGAAAAGAAATTAAGGTTTTTGATGAAAACATTCCAGGATTTTTCTCCATATAATGGACTTATACTGGGAACCAAACGGTTCAAGGTCCAAAAGACAGTTTCAGTGCAAACTGTTCAAATGGCTTTAAACGATTCCAGACGATGAGTAAGGGTCTTATCAAGCGAAACGATCGCTCATTAAAAAATAACGTTTTATAAGCTCAAATGCTCGCCTTGCTCTGTGATGCGCGTTCGTGACTCTCCAGTTCGAATTTGTTCATCAAAATGAACAAATCCTTTTTCAAGTCAATTCGTTCATTTTGTTTGTTGAATGAAGATTTGTTCATTTCGATGAACGAGTTCGAACAGGAGAGTCACACAGAACAGAGCAAGGCGAGCATTTGAGCTTATAAAACTTAAACTTTGTTATTTATTTTTTAAATGAGCGATCGTTTCGCTTGATAAGACCCTTATTCGTCATCTGGAATCGTTTAAAGCTCTTTGAACAGTTTGAAGTTTGCTCTGAAACTGTCTTTTGGACCTTGAACCGTTTGGTTCCCATTGAAGCCCATTATATGGAGAAAAATCCTGGAACGTTTTCATCAAAAACGTTAATTTCTTTTCGACTGAAGAAAGAAAGACATGGACATCTTGGATGACATGGGGGTGAGTAAATTATCAGCAAAAGTTTTTTTTAAAAGTGAACTACTTCTTTACGTGGTATCTTTGGGTATTTTACCCAAAAAATGTTTCCATTTATGTTATTTTTTCCAAAGAACAAAGAAGGAGATGTTTGGCAGAACGTTAATGCTGCTTTTGTCCAGTAAAATGTTTCCAATGAACCTGGAATAGGGACTGTTGAACAATGAAGCACCTTTCGTTTCGATACACGTTTTCGGAGCCTTCTGTCACGATTCAATACCCTGAAAAACAGATGTATCTACATTTACTTATATTCAAGAGAAATGCATCAAGACAATTTTGTAACATTTTTGATACATTTAAAAGCTCCGACTGAAAAGAACAAGTTCTATGGACCACGTATGAACCCCTATTTTTTGCTGTTCCCATTCACATTCATTATATTGAAAAGTAAAGCACAAAGCACATTAACTATTTGGTGTTGCATGTTGAAAAATCTCTTTTCTTTGGGCTTGGAAAGAGGGTGAGTAAATGATGATTGATTGATTCACTTGAACTTATCTTAAACCAGAACACGTGAATTAAGTGGGTTTAACCTTGTTGCAAAATAACTGTGTAATTCACTCTTTGTTCCACCAATAGTTAAGTGTCGAAATAACTTTTTTCATCCCCTTGGTCACGGTTAATTCCCTTGGTTCAGTAGCACACTCAGTCTGGCTGTTGTCTGTAGTGTTAATGATCTCAGTTGGTGGAGAAAGCGGGGTTTCTTGTTGGCTGAGCCAGTGCTCTGCTCCGACAAGTTGATCAGGTGATCGCTCGGATAGCGTGGACACACTCCCCCTCACACACCTAGTGCAACTCATTAACTGGCCCGAGGGGTTTTGACATTCAGAGCACTCTTCCATTCTCTTGTTCTCAAACACACACACTTGGTGAGATTCCAAAGTTTGGTTCCAGTTCGTGCAGTGCTGGCCAGGAGGACAGAGTTCAACTCTTTCCTTTCCCACCCGCTCTCATTTTCTGTCTTTCAGTCAGTCTCTCTTAAGTCACAGTTAACTTAGCACACTGCCAGTGGATCGTCATCTAAGGTTAGTGCTGTGTGTGTTCTGTTCGTCTTGGCTGATGTGCTGGTTGAGGAACCAAAGCATTTTTGGTGGTTTAAACTTACTCGCTGGTCTATTTCTGCCCTCATGTTGTAACACGATTGTTTTGTGTTTGAAATTGCAACATAGAATAGAATTGGCAGATTTACTATTATGCTAAATGCTAATTCACATTGACTATGACCGTTTAAAGATATTAGCTGGATTTGTTACATTTTCTGAAGAAATTGTGAGCTACGTGCCTGTGCAAACTTGACACAATACTAAGGTATTTTGGATGGTTGCCTGGGGCATTGCTATATGGTTGCTAGGTGGTCCATGACACCCAAATCTTGTCTTCATTTTTTTCTTCAGTAGAATAGTCTCAGGGCTTCAAACGATTAATCGCGATTAATCGCATCCGAAATAAAAGTTTGTGTTTTCATAATATATGTGGGTGCACTGTGTATAATTATTTGATATATATAAATACACACACTTGTATATATTTAAGAAATATTATATACTGTATATGGACTTATATATAATTTATATTATATGTAAATATAAATATTTTAGCCTATATATAAATAATATTTTTCTTAAATATACATTACTGTGTAATTTTATATATATATATATATATATATATATATATAAACAAAATAATTATACACAGTGTACCCACATATATTATGTAAACACAAACTTTTATTTTGGATGCGATTAATCGCGATTAATCGTTTGACAGCCATTGTGTCAATACTAAATCAATAATGCAAGTAATAAACAAGTGACCTGGCTGATTACATGAAACAAGTGCTGTCCATAGATTTAATAATTCAATGTCAGTGTCAATGTAGTTTGCCATCATTCTTATTCTTTTTTTATTGAAATTAACGCGTTCAGTTTCTTCAAAGCATTTGCAATTCATTTGGTAGAAATTCATTGTGGAATATTTGTACAGATTGGAGGTAGATTATAAATGACCAGTGTTGTGCAAGTTACTTCCAAACTGTAATACATTAGGTATTACTTGTTACTATTTATTTAAAAGTAATTCATTACCTTACAATATTACTGTCCCAGAATTGTAATGCGTTACATTACTCATGTATTACTTTTGAGTTACTTTCACCAAAATAACTAAGTAGAACTTAACTTTTGGGCTGTAACGATATGCAATATGAAACCGAAATCGCGATTTGCCACACGACTCAGATCAACGAACCTACAGAATCGCGACAAACCTCTTCCAACTCCAGCGTTATTCTCCTTACCGTCCAGATCCAATGCTGCCTTATCTTTAAATTAGGCTATTAGTATTATTTGAAGTTAACATTATAAAATACGTAGACCTACACCACAAAACTAGTTGAGGATAAATTATTTAAAATTGGGGAAGTCCAGCATTATGGACATGACATTTGCAGTCAAAACTTGAAATAAAAATTCTCAGAAAATACATGTATTGAAACGTATATAGGCTACTTCCTTAAAGGACTCCAGACATTAGACAAATATCAGTCTATGTTTTATTTTTAATATTAGGGAAAAGACACACATTCATGCGTAACAAAAAAATAGGAGGTAAAATATATTTTTTGTAATTCTGTTAATTACACTGCGCAAATCGGATGAGGAAGGGTTGGCTCTCCAGTCTCCATAGAACTTAAAATATTCATTTTATTTCAGTTTTTGTGTTCGTTTATGAGGAAAAAACAATGTTACAGACGCGACCGCTCTGAACCGGCACTAAAAGACTGCTTTAAAACTTTCACATAGTCTGTTGCCTTTAAGAAGTAAAAGCAGACAATACACTGTAATACAACTGTAATACAAGCCTCACTGAACATGTAACGAGTAAAATATTACTGAAAATTGAGTAGTAATGCCTTACACTACTGCGTTACAGCAAAAAGTAATATGTTACTGTAATGTATTACTTTTGTAATGCGTTACTCCCAACACTGTAAATGACACACAACCACTTCCCCCATGTTTTACTTGCTAATGTATCAGATGGTTTTGCTGCTATTATATACTTGTTTTATTAATATTTGCACAAAGATACCATTTATTGCATTGTTGTTTGGGTCAGGCAGAAATGGGCAAAACTCAGTTCTCTCTATCTCTAAGAGAAAAGTACCTACTGGCCACAAAATGCTTCACATGGAGATCATTTTTATCAGTGTAAGGCATCATTCAAGCTAGATCTTATGACTCTCCAAATCCACCATAACCTTTTTACTTGCTGCTCGCTCACAACAGGGATTTTATTTTACACACACAAAAACACCATCAAACAGACTGTGCTTGTCAGATCATGTTGGACTGAAAGTATGGGCCATCGGGCAAAATGAACAGTATTGCACTTTGTAATGATATATTAGTTATCGTAGTAGGATGGTTGACTGAACTGAACTTTGTTATCAGAGCAGACACAGATGACACTTTATTTTAGTGTCCTTGTTACAGTATAAATTATGCATAATTATGGCGCTTTTCCATTACCGGTAACAGCTCGACCCGACTCGTCTCGGCTCCATAGAGTGCCGAAGTCACGACGTCATTCTGTAGGCCAAAACGCGGAAGTGAGTTAGCATTTTAGCACTCCCGGGTTCCCTCGATATGGTTCCCATTGACTACCATACTATGGTAGTCAATGGGGAATGAGATCTGTTTGATTAAAACATTCTTCCAAATATCTTCCTTTGTGTTCAGCAGAACAAATAAACACATAGAGGTTTGGAACAACATGAGGGTGAGTAAATACTGACAGAATTTTCATTTTTGGGTGAACTAACCCTTTAATGGGGTCACCAGCAGGTTACGAGACGGCCAGTTAAAGTAGTTTGGGAAAGAGCAGAGTCACTGGTTTTCTGCATTAAGCTGCAATCCTCTCTTTTCATTTGGTTAAGCAGTGCTTTAAAAGATTATTTGGCAAATAAATTTGCTGAAACGCTTACTTTGTTGGAGAATTTGATATTAATCCAGTGCTCTCTCTTGTTATCGGATTAAGCAGTGCTGGAATATAAAGCTTGATAAGCTTGCAAAATCAATTTGAAAGCGGAGACCTTTAGATCCAGTTCTAGTGTTTGTGAGAGTGACATTTTTGTACGTGACAAATCATGTTGAGATGCTGAAAGAGAGAGAGATAAAGTTGGGCTGCAAACACCAGGCAGTGTCAATGCGAGAGAGAGAGAAATTGGAGGAGGTGACTGGAGCTCCTCCAATTGGGTGAGAGGGTGTGTGTGTGTGTTTGCGTGGGGCATGTGTGGTGCAGTTGCTGCTGCATGAGGAATTTTTGGTGCCTAAGGGTCTGTGGTCATGAACTCTCGCCCACTTTACGCTGCATCTTTGTATATCGGGACGTGGAAGTAAAAATAAACAGAACTAGATGTGATATTGGTGACTGTCATGAAATCTCTAAATGCGCTCTGTCTCCTTCTCTCTCAGGTCGGTGGTACTAAGTGAAGGGCCGTGTAAAAGAGGGTTGTAGAGAAGAACCCACTGTGGTGAGTTAAACTAACATCCGTTCACTAGTTTGACTTATTTATTTTTAATGCAAATGCTAGTAATATGCATGCATGATTTTAATATTTTTGTGCATTATTATTGTGTCTGCTGCTTAAGTTTGATTTGTTCTCTTTCGGCAGTGTGTGTGTGTGTGTGTGTGTGTGAGTGTGTGTGTGTGTGTGTGGAAGGGGCTCTCGGTCATGGGTGTGGTGGCGTGGCTGAAGAGCCTGTTCGTACTGCAGCTCTTGATTGGCTTCGTGTTCGTTGTGAGCGGCCTCATTATCAACTTCACGCAGCTCTGCACCTGTGTGCTGTGGCCCTTCAACAAACAGCTGTACCGCAAGATCAACACCAGACTCTCCTACTCGCTATGGAGCCGTGAGTTGGGTTTTGTCGCTGCATGTATTTTTACAGACATGTTACAGTTGTTTTTAAAGGGATTGTTCACTTTGAAATTAGTTTTTGGTGTGTTTTAGCTTACCTCAAGGGCATCCAAGATGTAGGTGTCTTTGTTTCCGCAGTATTTTCAGTTTTGATATTTTTAGGTCAAACCGTTTGTCTATCAGTCATATAATGGAGGTCTATGGTCACCACCTCAAAGAGCATGCACAGAGAAGTCCAAATTAAACATGATTTAATGACTCGTAAATGTAAGTACACATTGATGGCCTAAGACACGAAACGAGCGGTTTGTGTGAGAAAACGAACAGTATTTATATTGTTTTTACCTCTTGTAACCACAAAAGCGCCCGCGCCCTTCAGATCACTTGGACGTGGCTGTGGTTACAAGAGGTAAAAACGGTATAAATACTGTTTGTTTTCTCACACAAACCGCTCGTTTCGTGTCTTAGGCCATTAATGTGTACTTACATTTATGAGTCATTAAATCATGTTTAATTTGGACTTCTCTGTGCATGCTCTTTGAGGTGGTGACCATAGACCCTCCATTATGTTACTGACAGACAAGAATTGTTTGACCTAAAAATTTCAAAATTGAAAATACTGCGGAAACAAAGACACCTACATCTTGGATGCCCTTGAGGTAAGCTAAAACATATCAAAAATCAGTATATTATTAAGAATTTGCAGATGGATAGCACTTAATATGTTTTCTTTCTTTTTTTTATTTTAAGCATTTGTCATATCACTTTAGTGTTATGCTAAGAGATTTAATGTAAATTTATGTGGCATTATGGTGTTTGTAGTACACTTCAAACGCACAGATTATTCTGGTTTTGCATGTTACATGTATGATCAGTGTTTCAGTAATACATAAAGCACACTTACCATTAAGAGATGATACTTTGTTAATTTAAAATATAAAGTATAATTTAATTTAAAAGACACAAATCCCATGCTTTTTGGTGTCAGAACAATATCTAACTTACTAACTAATATCTACCTACTATATCTAGTAACTTGGATGAAAAGTAGATTTATTTTTGTTTAATGGGTAAAAGTTTTAACGTTTTTTGCTCAAATAAAACCACGTTTAGAGGTCCAAAGTTTTCCAGCACTCGATTCAAATGTATTTGCATTTACATTTACGTTTATTCATTTAGCAGACGCTTTTATCCAGAGCAGCTTACAAATGAGAATTATATAACCCGACGATTTTGCATGCTGCTTGTCACGATGTAGATCATCTAATATCATAACACCCATTACATGTGTCGAATAATGACACTTTTGCCTTGTGTAGAACTGCATATAGATGAGTTGAACTGAATCAACTGAATTGACATTTTTAGAGAGATTTAACTTGAAGTTGTCTCTTGTTTGATGAAGCTTGCATCATTTATTCTGTTATTTTCCTGTTTATCTCGGTTTAAAGACAGATTGTTTAAAGAGATAACAACTGTGAAACAATCTGTATTGTACAAAGGTGAAGTGACTTTACTCTACTTTCCCAACAGAGTTGGTGATGTTGTTGGAGTGGTGGTCTGGCACAGATTGTACTCTGTACACCGATCAGGCCACAGTGGATAAGTTCGGTAAAGAGCACGTCATCATCATCCTAAACCACAACTATGAGATTGATTTCTTGTGTGGCTGGACCATTTGTGAGAGATACGGCGTACTGGGGGTGAGTCCTGACGAGGTTGTGAAGGGTGTAATAGTCGTGTAGACCTGTCGACTTCAAATGCGTCCCAACTGAAATGCAATCTCATAATGAGTGTGAAAAGTTTTCCACACACGACACTTTCATTTGGATGTTATAATGTGGCTGAGATACTCCAATTAGTTTTTGAAGCTTTAAATAAAACAAAAACAAACTAGTATTGGGTTTCACAATCCATCATAATATATTTTGTAATGAAATTTTGGCTGAAAATGTTTTCATTAAAGAGCATAATTATGCTAAATATTGTATAATAATAATAATACATTTTATTTAAAAAGGCGCCTTTCTGACACTCAAGGTCACCGTACATGCATACATGAAAATTAATACAGTAAACAAATAATAAAGTTATGCCAAAAGTTGTTTCAAATAAATTTAAAATCAAGTAAAATTGCAGATAGATGGGTGCTACAACGAATAGGCTTGTTTAAACGGAAAGGTTTTGAGTCCAGTTTTGAAACGAGGGAAAGAATCCATGTACAAGACATCTCTTATGTAGGGGTTTGACCTGTGATGGCCATTAAACCATAACTGTGACTATATTAATATGCAATATCATCGATGAAAAAGACTTCACTAAAATTCAGTTAAAAACTTTACCAAACACTTCCAAAAAACAAAATATTACAGCCCTCTACTATGAGCTTTCTTGCTTGCGGTTGCCAAATATCACAAGATTAAATCCCCCAATCCAAACTTTTCCTTTAAAAAGGATACATTTTCAAACCTTGCGTACACGCTCTCTAATAAATCAAAATAATCATGAATAATCAATTTAACCAGTATGTAGCATGATGAAAATGTGACTGCATTTTCATTGACTGAAACTAGACTAAAATGCAATGGCATTTAGAAACTAAAACTTGACAAAACAAAAACATGACGAGGTTGACTAAATATGATGAAAAGTAAATTTGACACAGGACTAAGACGAAATTCAAAAAACACTATTGCCTATGTGACTTTTCTAATATTCATTGAAGTTTTTCATCAAAAGATAAAATAAATAAATGTATAACTTCTTTATTTCAATTAACCCTCTAACCGTATTCAATTTATAGCCCTTAATCCTGTAATTGTGGACAAATGTGGGCACAGAGGACTCAGGTGTGATCCTAATTTTTATTTATTATAAATATTATATCACTGTCTTCGATAAAGTTTTGTCTATTCATTTATGGTGTTTTTTTTAATTTTGGGGGTATTTTTGATTTTATTTACTTCAAAAAGTACCATATTTTCTATGTAAATTATGCTTATTTTTATGTTTTATTTTTTTTTTAACTACATTAAAATATCATTCCAATAAGTTCTTAGAGCTAAAACCTAAAGATGAAGTGACTTTGCTATCACCTGGTGTCTTATTTTGGCTTATTTGCTTAGTTTTACCCATTAATTTGTATGGATGCCCATTTTTGACCCAAATACAAGATTAAGGAGTTTTTTTTTTTTTTAACATTGTAGAATTGAGTCCCCAAAAAAATGTGTGTGTTCAGGACGCAAACTTAGGAAAAGTAGCCAAGTCTTGTACCGCTCGGATCAAGGAAAGTATTTTTTAAAAATAAATCAAAACTATTTTGCCCACATTTGTCCAGAATACGGTTTTAGGGTTAATAAAATGTTTTTAAATAGTTTTAACACTGCTTTGTTCTATATTTAGTTATCTTAGGCTAAATCCCAAGAGATTCATTTGTTGGATTTAGTTGTTTTGATTGAGTGGGTGATTTTGAATCCTTCTCTGTCCTCTCTGATTTTTAAAATTTTTAAAATAATTTTCTATCTGCCTTTTATTTTCATATTTCGGATCCAGAGTTCTAAGGTTCTGGCTAAACACGAACTGCTGAAAGTGCCTCTGGTTGGCTGGACGTGGTATTTCCTGGAAATAGTCTTCTGTAAGCGGAAGTGGGAGGAGGACAGGGACACTGTCTTCAGCGGGCTGAACCGTCTCCGAGATTACCCAGAATACATGTGGGTGAGTACACTGACCTATCAGGATGCTCTAATGACCTGATAATTAAGCAGAGCTTTGACAAGACACTAAAGTGATGTGTTTAGACTATTTGCTTACTTGTTTATCACATTTGAAGCTAACCAAATCTCACTCACTCATTTTTTTAATGGATTAGAACTATGTAATACCCTTGATAGGCATATTTTATTTACCCTGCACTTTACTTTTTTGGGTTTTTAGTTATTATTTTTACAGTTTACTTTACTTTTGCTCAGTGAAGGTGCATTGACACATTTAACCAAGGTTCAAAGAAATAAATAAATAACAGAAATTGCAAAGCAGTATGAATTTAAAGTAAAACGTGTCCCCTTGCTCGGTTCATAAGAACTCTTACTCTTTTAAAGGTTATAAAAAACACAATATTATAATTATAAAACCTAATTAGATGCACATGGCCATGTCTTAATTCTTCATTTATGATTCCTGGCATTCTAGTTTATGTATTTATTCATTCATTCTATTAAAAACTAACAATTATACAGGAAACAGGAAACACTACCAGGTAAATGCCCACCTATTCCCCTGTGACCAATTACCTGGAAATGCATACTCAAAATAAAAAATAAAAGGCAAACATTTTCTGTACTTACAAATATTATATACACTGCACATATACACGTATACAAAAAAAAAAAGTTGCGGTTTGGATTTAAATGGGCAATACATGCTTAAGAGTCTATGATTGGATGATCATTATTGCAGAGATTATTATGTTTCTAGCATGTTGTATGTTTGGCAAAAGTTCTTTAACCCTAATCGATGGAGTGTGTATTTTTTTCATTTCTTAAACAACCATGCAGGAAGACATATCCATATTCCAGGATGACAATGTCAAGATTCATCCACTTAAATAATAACCATTAAGGAATGGTTGGGAGGGAGCTTGAGGTGAATGAAACATGAATTGGCACATCTGAGTCCAGACCTTAAATTCATTCAAGTCTTTGGGAGATTTTACAGAGTGCTGGACTTTATTTCCATCAAGAGGTACATAAATTTTTGGTCAAGAACTGTTGCCAAATATATATATCATGCTAGAAACATAATAATCACTGCAATAATGATCCAATGATAAACACTTAAAGTGCCCCTGTAGTCAATAATTGTATCCCTAAAACTCATTTTAATTCACCAAAATGACATATTTAAACATTTTATTCTTGAAAAAAAAAATTCTTCATGCCTTAAAGTAGCTTGAATTGTCACTCTTTACATTTAGTATATGTGGTTCTATGAATATGCAAATTAGCCCCGCCTCCACTCACTCCAAACCAACTCAGAGATCCACTCGTTGACGATCACACGTTGACCTGATCAAACACCAGCGATTTCAAACCGCGTTTTTGAGTCTGTCTTTGGTTCACTGCAGTTTTAAAGGAGTAGTTCACTTTTAAAAAACTTTTGCTGATAATTTACTCACCCCCATGTCATCCAAGATGTCCATGTCTTTCTTTCTTCAGTCGAAAAAAGAAATTAAGGTTTTTGATGAAAACATTCCAGGATTTTTCTCCATATAATGGACTTCAATGGGAACCAAACGGTTCAAGGTCCAAAAGACAGTTTCAGTGCAAACCGCAAACTGTTCAAAGGGCTTTAAACGATTCCAGACGATGAATAAGGGTCTTATCAAGCGAAACGATCGCTCGTTTAAAAAAACAACAACAAAGTTTAAGTTTTATAAGCTCAAATGGTCGCCTTGCTCTGTTCTGTGATGCGCGTTTGTGACTCTTTGTGACCTGTTTCAAACTCTTTCCTGTTCGAATTGACTCAGAATCTTTTTCCGAGTCAATTTGTTCGTTGAATGAACCAAATGACACGAAAAAAAGATTTGTTCATTTTGATAAACGAGTTCAAACGGGAGAGTCACAAACGCACATCACAGAACAGAGCAAGGCGACCATTTGAGCTTATAAAACTTGAACTTTGCTATTTATTTTTGAAATGAGCGATCGTTTCACTTGATACGGTCCTTATTCATCGTCTGGAATCGTTGAAAGCCCTTTGAACAGTTTGCACTGAAACTCTTATTTGGACCTTGAGCTGTTTGGTTCCCATTGAAGTGCATTATATGGAGAAAAATGCTGGAATGTTTTCATCAGAAACCTTAAGTTCTTTTCGACTGAAGAAAGAAAGACATGGACAATTATCAGAAAGTTTTTTTAAAAGTGAACTACTCCTTTAAGGAGAAAATCCTCAGCAATGGTGTTGACTGATGCATTTCCACATGGTTTGTCTTAAAGCAGATTAAAAACACTGCATAAACATATACAACAATAAAAGCTTGATTGTTCACAGGGGGACTTTAAGCATTTACCTATTTAAATCCAAACAGCGACTTTTTTATGGCTGGGCAGTGTGTGTTTGCATATATACGTCAGTGTATGCCCAGCGGTGAGGTCACTTATGACGTGGTCCGATTGGAAGTTTCCATTGGCAGAGATTACGAAGTGATAGGATTACTCCGATTAACACTCACCTAAGAGTAACAATCCTCCGTTTGTGTGTGTGTGTGTGTGTGTGTGTGTGTTTGGCAGTTCCTGCTGTACTGTGAAGGAACGAGGTTTACAGAAAAGAAGCATCAGATAAGCATGCAGGTGGCTGAGAGTAAGGGTCTTCCAAAACTGAAATACCACCTGCTGCCCCGCACCAAAGGATTCACCACCACACTGCAATGCCTGAAGGGAACAGGTCAGACGAACGCTTCCACACACTCCATCACTGTCATAGAGAGACTGTTTACACAGAGCTACTATGTGTTACCCTGTTAAAAGAGTCCCTGAGTGAGTGATGGGCACCAGGACATGAGTTAAGAATATCCAAGTGTCCCTAAAGTTTCCCAACTGAGAATCCTCTAAACCACAAATGTGCTCAACAAATGCGTTTTCTGGATTTTCACCACCCTGGTGTTTCATACTAATGTTCAAGTATCAAGTATTCCTGGAATTTCCATGTTCCCAGAAAGCTCTTTAAGAAAATTCCACCTCAGCGATCAAGAGACTCTTATGTCTGTCACATGCGGTCTAAATATAGGCTGCGGGTGTAGACTATATTTTTAGCTATAGACTGCCGTTCAAAGGTTGCTCACTAAGGTTGCATTTATTTCATTCAAAAATCAGTGAAAAAAATGTAGCCTAATATAATTTTTCTGCATCATTACTCCAGTCTTCATTGTCAGAAATCGTTCTAATATGCTGATTTGCTGCTGAGAAACTATTATTATTATTTGCGATGTTGAAAACAGCTGCATACTATCTTATGAAAACCTTGATACACTTTTGATCAATTTAAAGGGATAGTTTACTTTGAAATTAATTTTTTAAATATGTTTTAGCTTACCTCAAGGACATCCAAGATGTATATGTCTTTGTTTCTGCAGTAGTTTCAATTTTGATATTTTTTGGTCAAACTGTTCTTGTCTGTCAGTCATATAATGGAGGTCTATGGTCACCACCTTAAAGAGCATGCACAGAGAAGTCATTTAATGACTCGTAAATGTAAGTACACATTGATGGCTCCATTATATCAAAAAAGTTCATTGACAATGAAAAAAACTTTTTTCCTATGTTGAACACAAAAGATTATATTTTTGAAGAATGCTGGTAACCGAACAGTTTTGGTGACCATTGACTTCCATTGTATGAACAAAAACACATGAGAATGAGTGAATAATGACAATTTTCATTTTTGTTAAAAAATATTCTTTACATCCCATCAAAATGTACTTGTCCTGTTTCAACAGTAAAAGCTGTGTACGATGTCACGCTGAACTTCAAAGACAAGCAGAACCCAACCCTGCTGGGAATTGTTAGCGGGAAGAAATACAAAGCAGACCTGAGCGTCAGGTGAGTTTACTGCACTCGTTCATTTTAATTGGGTAGATTAGCTTCTTTACTTGCATAATCTGAGATTTTAACTGAGGGTGGATAAATCAAGAGTCCAAGATTTTCAATTCAAAAAAGTTTTTTTTTAATCTTACTGCTGGCCTGGGATCTCCTTAAAGGGATACTCCACTTTTTTTTTTTTTTTTTTTTTTGAAATAGGCTAATTTTACAACTCCCCCAGAGTTAAACAGTTGGGTTTTACTGTTTTCGACGATTTTCTGATATTTAGAAGAATATCAGTTACCAGACACTTTCTGGTCCCATTGACTTCTATAGTAGGAAAAAATATATATACTATGGAAGTCAATGGGACCAGAAACTGTCTGGTTACTGATATTTTTATCCTATCTCCAAAAAAGTGGAGTATCCCTTTAAATATTTGGATGAAGGTTGTAACTAAGATCATCTGTGCCTTGTTATTAAAGGAATAGTTCACTTCAAAATGGCAATTCTGTCATCATTTACTCACCCTCAAGTTGTTCCAAACCTGTGTGAATTTCTTTCTTCTGCTGAACCAGACAGTTGATGGACCCCATTGACTTCCATAGTGTTGTTTTTCCTACTATGGAAGTCAATGGGGTCTATCAACTGTTTGGTTGCCGACATTCTTCAAAATCTTCTTTTGTGTTCAGCAGAAGAAATAAATTCAAACAGGTTTGAAACAACTTGAGGGCGATTAAATGATGACAGAATTTTCATTTTGAAGTGAAGTAGGGATAGTTCACTTTGAAACTAATTTTTGGTATGTTTTAGCTTACCTCAAGGGCATCCAAGATGTAGGTGTCTTTGTTTCCGCAGTATTTTCAGGTCAAACCGTTCTGTTCTGTCAGTCATATAATGCAGGTCTATGGTCACCACCTCAAAGAGCATGCACAGAGAAGTCCAAATTAAACATGATTTAATGACTCGTAAATGTAAGTACACATTGATGGCCTAAGACACGAAACGAGCAGGTTTGTGTGAGAAAACAAACAGTATTTATATCGTTTTTACCTCTTGTAACCACAGCCACGTCCAAGTGATCTGAGGGCGCGGGCGCTTTTGTGGTTACAAGAGGTAAAGACAATATAAATACTGTTCGTTTTCTCACACAAACCGCTCGTTTCGTGTCTTAGGCCATCAATGTGTACTTACATTTACGAGTCATTAAATCATGTTTAATTTGGACTTCTCTGTGCATGCTCTTTGAGGTGGTGACCATAGACCTCCATTATATGACTGACAGACAAGAACGATTTGACCTAAAAATATCAAAATTGAAAATACTGCGGAAACAAAGACACCTATGTCTTGGATGCCCTTGAGGTAAGCTAAAACATACCAAAAATTAGTTTCAAAGTGAACTATCCCTTTAAAAGAGTTGTTCTGAATCTACAGCTCCCTCTATTGGTGTGTTTTATGTGCCGCTCACTGTTCTATCCGCAGGCGCTTCCCTGTGGAGGAGATTCCTGATGATGAAAAGGAGTGTGCTAATTGGTTACACAAGCTCTATCAAGAGAAGGTATGAAGCTAAATCTTTAAAAACCTAGTTCAAATATATAGTTTTAAATGAACATGAATATGAACATGAGCCTCTCCTTCAAGGATGCGTTACAAGAGCACTACGAGAAGGAGGGCAGTTACCCCGGCCCCACCATCATACCCAAACGTCGGATTTGGACTCTGCTGAACTTCCTGTTCTGGGCTACTCTCCTGCTTTCTCCGCTTATTAACTTTGCCTGGGATGTCTTTGTCAGCGGCTCTCCCCTCCTCATCATTGGCTTCATGATCTTCCTCATTGTCGGTCAGTTGTTGTTTTCTTAATGTGATATCTGGGTCGTTTTAAAACATTTTATTACAGGATAGCTTTCACTTGATTACTGGTTTAGTTTTTTTGTTTAATTTTAATTTTCCCCTTTGTCATTGTTGTAAAGTACTTTGAAAAAGCTAACTTTTATAGGCACTATTTAAAACAAAGCTATTATTATTGAAGCTTATTTATAAAATCCCCATAAATTAAAAAAATGCTGTTTCAGCCAAACATTTTCATTTGCAGTAATTACGGTGCATCACTATTTTTTCTAATTAAATGTTATACAGAATGATAATGTCCAAATATGCCTTAACCTAGCAATAATCGAGATGTATCTCTTTTTCCTCAGTTATTATGATTATTATAATGATTTTTAAAATATTTACTTTATTACCTCTCCAACACATTTATTGATTGGGTGGTTTTGCCATGTTTGAGAATGGCACGAACTAAAAGCTGTTGACTATTTGGTAACGTTTTAGTTTAGGGTCCAATTCTCACTATTAACTAGTTGCTTATTAGCACACATATTACTAGGATATTGGCTGTTTATTAGTATTTATAAAGCGCATGTTAATGCCTTATTCTGCATGATGACATTCTACATCCCTTAAATCCTACTCAATTCCAAAACTTAAAGGGATAGTACACTTTGAAATTAATTTTTGATATGTTTAGCTTACCTCAAGGGCATCCAAGATGTAGGTGTCTTTGTTTCCGCAGTAGTTTCAATTTTGACATTTTTAGGTCAAACCGTTCTTGTCTGTCAGTCATATAATGGAGGTCTATGGTCACCACCTCAAAGAGCATGCACAGAGAAGTCCAAATTAAACATGATTTAATGACTCCTAAATGTAAGTACACATTGATGGCCTAAGATCACTTCCGGCGCTTGCGCAGACAGAAGCGCCCGCGCCCTCAGATCACTTGGACGTGGCTGTGATTACAAGAGGTAAAAACGATATAAATACTCTTCGTTTTCTCACACAAACCACTCGTTTCGTGTCTTAGGCCATCAATGTGTACTTACATTTCCGAGTCATTAAATCATGTTTAATTTGGACTTCTCTGTGCATGCTCTTTGAGGTGGTGACCATAGACCTCCATTATATGACTGATAGACAACAACTGTTTGACCTAAAAATATAAAAATTGAAAATACTGCGGAAACAAAGACACCTACATCTTGGATGCCCTTGAGGTAAGCTAAAACATACCAAAAATTAATTTCAAAGTGAACTATCCCTTTAATAACTACCATACTAACAATAATAAGCAGCAATTAAGAATTTATTGAGGCTAAAGTCATAGTTAATAGTTAGTTAGTTAATATTGAGATTTGAACCCTAATCTAAAGTGTGACCAACTTTTTTTTTTTTTCACAAAGTCATGAAATTACCAATAAATTACATAACTGGTACATTGTGTGTTAGCTGGGAAGGATTTTCATGCAGGCATGAATGTTAAGTAAAGTGGAATGGTACTTGTGTGCGTGTTAACCAGTTTTGGGAAATGTGTCAGCTTAATTCAAATTAATGGCCATGGGAAAATGTGGGTCCCATGGTCAAACCAGTTGAGAGCCACAGCGGTATGGCATCAGTTAATGAGTTCTGGAGTTGAGTGCACTAGTTAATTCTTTCTCCCTGTCACTGTTTCTCGCTTCGCAGCTTCTGTAGCAGTTCGCCGGCTCATTGGAGTAACCGAAGTAAACAAGACCGGATCCAGCTATGGCAACATAGAGGCCAAGAAGGAGAACTAAACATTTTCATCGTGTCAACACCATGTGGCCACTGTAACGCTTACCCTACGGTCCAGCCTCAGGCACAGAGCTGCCCTGTGTGCAGTTATCCTTCTTTTTACAAAAAAAAAAAAAAAAATCGAATAAAAAATCGAATAAAAATTAATGAAATATAAAAAAAATCTCTTCAATGCAGCATTGGGAGGTAAATAGGGATATAACTATAGATATAACTTAAACACGCTAGTCTAAAACATTATGATAATTTTTATGAACCAACTAAATGGGAAATAGAAGAAGCGCTCAGCAGCTGCGGATCGATGCCGAAATGCTTGTCTCCTCTGGCGGAGAAAGATGAGATGACCTATAGAGACCAACCGCTGATTCTAGTCACCCTATCAGTGACTTTTCCCTCTTGTTTAGCCCCGCCCATTTTCTGTCCCAGTTCTCTTTTGTAACACTTCCTCCTCTGCATCTATCAGCACCTCCATATCAGTAGCCGTTTCTTCACGACGTTTCTCTTTGGGTCACTCGAGTCACTCGAACTGATTTTCTATGCTCAGAATTTCACGTTACGGGCCGGCAGAGCATGCTGCGGTTGAAGACGACAAACAGCCCGGCCAATCACAGATGAGGTGGTCACGTCACAGTCCCTAACTAACAAATGAACTGCTGTAGATCTTTGTCTGGGGTCTATTGCAGCTGGAGTGACATTGATGGAAACTGTTATATGACCAACGGATTGAGCAGGGTCTTCTGTAACTTTACCTTTTCACAATGGTGTCTTATCCCACTCCATCACCATTGCATTACTGGGGTATACTGAATAAGCAATACATGTTTTCTACCAACCTAGAGCAGGGGTGTCCAGACTCCGTCCAGGAGGGCCGCTGTCCCGCAGACTTGAACCCTGCGGGACAGTGGCCCTCCAGGAGCAGGGTTGTACAGCCCTGACCTATGGCACCTCTTTAGTCAATTTTGTCCAAATAATTAAAGGCCCGTGGACTGAGATTAATTTGCCCACCATCTCTAGTCATGTGTAACTAATGAAATATAGGGGTTAAAGAGTGAGATACTGAGAGGAGCTGAATGACCAAGAAGAAAACGATCTGTTCTGTCAATAAACAAAGATTGTGAAACCGGTTTAGTGTGATGTAATGACACTAATGGTTTGTAAATACACTTTAGAAGTTTCTTCTTGACCCAAACCCACCCCCGCCCGCCCCCCCTTTCATGGCGAAACAGGAAACGACCCATGCAAGCCTTAACGGAACAGAACAGTGCATCTTCTGTGGTGTGTGTGGTTGTGATTCTCACATATTGTGCAGGTTTGCTGGTCCTCACATCATCCGTCACTCACTGTGAGATACACAACGTTCATGTAGGGATCTGAAGATGTGGAATTCATAAGATCTGCGTGACACAAGTTATATTTCGGTCAAAGACCAAAAACCTGGTTGGAGGAATAGTGAGTTGACGTATTTTTATTGCGGAGAGACTTAATTTATTAATTTGACTGAAAGCTTAAAATGTTTTTTTAGGACATGATGCTCTTCATGTAGCTGATTGGTTTGCTTAAAAACAAAAAATGTATCAAATTGTTGACATTTCAGAGTAAGCTTGCTGATTTGGGATCAGTGATTGCAGTTAAATGAGAACTCCGGTGCAAAATGAACCTTTGGTCTAATAAAACATTACCTAGTCAACCGTTCTGAGATTTGTTTTCATGATAATCGAATGTATAGAGTTTTATCTCTAAAAACTTAGCGTTTAGCGTATAATGCTAGTACTGGGGGGATTTACTAAGTAAAAAGAAATCACTAGTTTATACCTCAAACAAGGCTCAAAATAGCCCCACACTAACACAGTAACATACTGAGGGTCTCTGCATGCAAAACGAAGCATTGAGAATTTTGTAAGTGTACAGACCGTTAAATAAGAGCGAGGATACTTTATAAAGACAGTTCACTTCGTGCCGAAGTGATGACGTCACTTTGTTGGACAACTCAGAAGCTAGCGGCCATCCCTCGATCGAAAAGCTATCCATTTTCCCCATAGACTTTTGGAAAATTTTAAAAAATAAGATCTGTGTTTAACAAAGAGTAGTGACCCTTACACGTTTTGTCTATCAAGATAATCTTTACAAGTTAATCCAAAATTTATACATTTTGAAGCCTATATAAAGATTTTAAAAAAACACAATCAGACACAATAAATTTTAAAAAACACAAGCAGGTTATAACTGTGTGTTCTATGTCATAGATCAAAACGTGAAAATATTTAGAGGCTTTGTTCACCACAGACCTTATTTCAGGTGATTTAGCAAAAACCCATTCAAAAATCCCATAGACTTTAGAGCGAGGGAACCGGTAGTGCTAAAATGCTAACTCACTTCCGCGTTTTGGCCTACAGAGTGACGTCGTAACTTCGGCAGAAAATAGTCTCGATAAGTCGATCCCCGAAAGCTGTTCATACAGTTCAGAAGTTCGCTGAACTTCATACAGTTCAGACTTCAGATCACTCGGCACGTCGTTCGTGGTTCAAGTGGTCATAACTGTTTTCCAAGATGGCTCCTGTCGGTTGACTAACGATGTTTTATTAGACCAATTAAAGGTTCATATTGCGCAGGAGTTCTCGTTAAGACCACTACGGACAGGGTAGGACTCTGAGCCAAGATCAGTTCCTGTGCTCTAATGCTGTTAATGAATGTGTTACCTGATCTGAGGCCAGAATTACCTCTGCTTGTAATATATCTTGCTACTACTTACTGCAGTGTCGGACTGACGAGTTTGAGTTTGTAAAGTACAGACTAAATGGCAGACTGCTAAACTATATAGAGGGTGTTTCTGACTTGCATTTAAGTTAAATCCCTTCTCGAAAAAGGCGGTATGAGTAGAACTAGAATTTTAGTCACCACCTTTTTTGTATTTAATTCCAGATTAATTAAAGCATTCAGTGTATGATTGGAACTGGATTTGTTTCATTTCATACTGTGAATAACCAGGTTTATAGGAATATAATAATATAATGAAAGAAGCATTAACTGATTACACCTTGTAAAGAATAGAACTGCAAAAAAAAATCTTGGTTTGCTTATTGATTACTGGAATATGTCTCTGCAGAAGTATAAATAAACCAACAGTCAAAAATTTTTGACACACTTGACTGCATGTTATGAAATCTTTTGATTCAAAAGCTTATGCTTCAATGCCTAAAATAGGTTTTTAGATAGTGTGTTATTTAAAATGTGTAATGACTTATGAAATGTTTATAGTAGTAGCCTAATAAAGAGTGTGTCCACATTTTTGACCCTTTAGTGCCCGAAAAGAAATGCTGATTAGGGACTTTCATTTCAGATGAAGTCGATTGAGGCTTTATTGTGAAATGCAAGCACTCCCTGTCATTGTCAGCTGTGATTCTCTTCCCTGGAATCGCATGACTTTGGTTTCATCAAGTCATGCAAGTCAGCTTTTCTTCTCTTTTTTCATTATTCTGTTATTTTGTTTTTGCAAAATAGAAAAAAATACAAAATAACACAGTAGAGCCAGAACCAACAGCCTTTGTTATGAATGTAGTCACCAAATATGCTGTTGCAAAAAGAAAAAGATAAGCAAGCCGGAAACAGAACAGTGCATCTTCTGTGGTGTGTGTGGTTGTGATTCTCACATATTGTGCAAGTTTGCTGGTCCTCAAATCATCCTTCACTCACTGTGAGATGCACAACATTCATGTAGGGATCTGAAGATGTGGAAGTGGCCCAGATAGCACACGTACATCATGGAGACGTCTATTTGATGTGCGTGTTTACATCTGGAAGGCGTATTTTTTAGAGCGTTTGCTCATCTGCGATACGTCTATAGGACGTTTCCTGTCAGATGTCAAACAGATGTTTAGAAGATGTGTTTAAGATGTAATGATTTAGAATGTATGTTAAACTAACATCTTAGATATGTTTATTAGATGTTAGTAAACAGCAGATGCTTTCCAGATGAAGTGATAGCACAAGTCTATTTGATGTAATGTTTACATATGGAAGACGTATTTTTAAGAGTGTTTGCTCATCTGCAATACATACGTCTATAGGACGTTTCCTGTCAGATGTCAAATAGACGTTTAGAAGATGTCTTTAAGATGTAATGATTTAGAATGCATGTTAAACTTACATCTTCTAAACGTCTATTTGACATCTGACAGGAAACGTCCTATAGACGTATTGCAAATGAGCAAACACTCTTGGATGTTTCTGTCAGATGTCAAACAGATGTTTAGAAGATGTCTTTAAGATGTAATGATTTAGAATGGATGTTAAACTGACATCTTCGAGATGTCTATTAGTGTTAGTAAACAGCAGATGCTTTCCAGATGAAGTGATAGCACAAGTCTACTTGATGTGATTTTTACATCTGGAAGACGTATTTTTAAGAGTGTTTGCTCATCTGCAATACATACTATAGGACGTTTCCTGTCAGATGTCAAATAGACGTCTTTAAGATGTAATGATTTAGAATGCATGTTAAACTTACATCATCTAAACGTCTATTTGACATCTGACAGGAAACGTCCTATAGACGTATTGCAGATGAGCAAACACTCTTAAAAATACGTCTTCCAGATGTAAACATCACATCAAATAGACTTGTGCTATCTGGGCCCAGATAGCACACGCACATCACGGAGACGTCAATTTGATGTGCGTGTTTACATCTGGGAGGCGTATTTTTTTAGTGTTTGCTCATCTACTATATGTCTATAGGATGTTTCTGTCAAACAGATGTTTAGAAGATATCTTTAAGATGTAATTATTTAGAATGGATGTTAAACTGACATGTTAGAGATGTCTATTAGATGTTAGTAAACAGATGCTTTCCAGATGAAGTGATCTTTAACAGACTACATCTTGCTATAATTTCAGTTTGTGAAACTAAAATATGGATGTACCAGGTTTCGTTTTATTAGGCTACCTTATGTGTTACTGATTACGGTTGTATCGCCCGTGTAGGTGTGTGAAACAACCTCCCCACCCCCCAGTTAACCGCTTTCTGAGCAACTCAAATGAAGGAGGCAGGACTATCAGGTGGCATTTGCATATGTAAGCAAGTGCTTATAGCCACCACTCCGGGCACAAAACAATGGGGAAGTCGTTGAAGAAACCGTCTTCTCCAGCAAAAGAAAAAGAAAAAAACACTTAAAAAACCGGTCATTTGTCACGTTGTTCCGAACGCAGAGCCTCGTATATCTCGCATCATTTGCGTGACTGTGCTTTAATGCTGACGATCTGTCGGTGACCAGGTGACAGACATGGGGCTCTGCTCTTTAACACATCAGATCGATGCCTTAAACATCCTTCATGAACTGCGAGCTCACGCCACAGCCAGTAATGCAGATGGCGAAGGCCAGTGTTCAGGTGCTTTGTCGGCCGGTAAAGTCGCGGTTCGCCCGGGCGATGTGATGAAGGAGCCCCGCAGTATGAAGACCATCGCGGAGAGAGCTCGAGAGAGCTGCCTCACACGACTGCTCGAGATACTGACACAGCTCATATCTGTCGAGGAAGACTTTATTAAAGAGGTTTCCTACGAGAAGAGTTTGCTCAAGCGTAAGGTAATATGTTTTTTTTGTGTGTTTCTGCTGTAGTCTATAGTGTACACAGTTGTTGTCAAATGATTAACGTTATGTCTGTATCTGGCAACCCGTGTTGGATTAGTCATTTATTTTGGTCTGATAGTACGCTATTAAACTATAACACAGTGGATTAAATTCATTCGAAGTTAATGAAAAATATTTTATTTCAAAAAGGCTTTATAAACGTAGGTTAGGTGTTTCCACACGTACTGACTATGCAGTGTTCTGGTTGAACTGTGATTAAATATAGGCCTATACACTCAATATTGGCATCTATGGTATCGTCCATAGAACCTCTCTACAAAAGCTTCTTTATAGAAAAAAGGTTGATTCAGATTATAAAAATGTTCACAACATCTTCTATACATCATCTCTGTGGAAATCCCCTTTTGGAGCCTTTATTTAGTATGAGTTAGTGTATAGCCTACTGTTTGTATGTGGATGCTAAACTCATGGCTTTACTTAAATGTGATTATATCTTGCCTCTTTTTCAAACTAACCATATTTTTTTTGGTCCTTTCTTT